TCGATTGAGAACGATCTCGATAACGTTAGACGTTGCAATATATCTATCGTTGTGTTATCCAAGAGTCCTTCCAGTTCGTATCGCGTGTTCTCCTTCTGCTATCGTGATATCTTTATATCCATCCTATTCCTATGTAGTAAGTATATATGCACACATATAGAGTACATCTTAATATATATAAATTACGTGTCAGGTTGTTTGTCCGCAATGTACTCCTAAACTACTGAACCGATTTGAATATTATTTTACACCCCTAGTATTTAATAATTATTTTTCAACTTTTTTTTCTCTACCTTAACTCTTATTGAATTTTTGTCGATTAACTATCTCATATGCATTTTTTTAAATGAAACTGTTTCATACTGATTGGTGTTGTTCTAAAAAAAAAAGTTGAAGGGAAAAAAATAGTTTTATCACGCCAGAGGTAAGTTCGTAGTGTAAAGGGTTAAATACATCCCGAACATCGTTCGTTTTCTAATCGTAAGACGATCGTGGGTTCTTCTACGTTATGATAGTCGGAGTGGTCTGGCAATGAGATATAGTACGTGTAGCACGAATCTTAAGCTTATGTCAGTTGGAGGAACAAGACAAGAGGGAGAAAGAGAAATATAGAGGAAGAGTAAATGGGTAAGTAAAAAGGGTCCAAGTCAAATCCAAGCTACGATCTTTCACGAGACGAAAGAGAAGGAAAAAGAGTAGGTGGAGAAGAAGAAAAAAGAAAAGGATAAAGATAGGGTGCAGAGGTTAACGAGATCCTGATACTTGAGGTACTGTGTGATCGGTGAAAATGTTCCTGCTTCTTATCCTGCTTCTTATCCTTCTAGTAGTCTACAATAACAGACCCCTCTTGTTTGCTCTCTTTTTTTTTTTTTATATTGCACTACTCTAATCTCTTTCTTAATATTTATAAATATAAGTATTCAATTTAAAATGTTATACAGATTAAAACATGAGCTTCTAGATGATCTGGTAGAAAATTTTTGTTACAAAATTAATTAGAAACTTATACGTGCATATATATGTACATACATTCATTTTAAACTATTTACTTTAAAAATGTATTCTTATTGAAGTATTCTCTCGTTGTAATAAATGTACGTATAAAGAGGTTAACTCAGGGAAATATCGCGACGAAGGGAGACGACGAAAAAGTTCGTCGTAAGTACACGCAGACTTCATTTTATTATTTCATTTTGAAAGGAAGGAAGGAAGGAAGGAAGGAAGGAACTTCTTGGTGAACACGAACGTCGCCGATACTTTGAAATTTATGAGCTAACGTCAATAAAACCTCGAAGAAACTTCCGATATACCTAAGTTTTCATCTCTCTCTCTCTCTCTCTCTTTCGTCAAAAACTTGTATCCTTAGGATAAACCGTAACTTGAAATTCTCATAACTCCTTCCGTATCTTCTTTCTTCCATCAAAGGATTAAACTACTAAAGTTTTCTTCCCCGTTTCGATTGCTAATTTCATATTCCTCCTCCTTATATGGTTTTAAGATACGAAGGTCGTCCTCTTTGATGAGAACGATCATAATATCTATACTTTTATCTTTAAGACAAAAATAAAAAAAAATATATATTGAAATTTTCTTAATATCTTTTGATTCTTCTTTCTTCGATCTGTCATCGACAGAAATTTCCAAGTACCGTATCTAGACAATGAAATAACTTTACGAAGGGAAACACCAAAAGATAATGTCATAAATTCTCGACGACACTATTGTTTCTCTTCTCCCTATTCCTATCTTTGTCTTTGATCTTCCTAGGGTTGCAATTATCTTAGCTGCATGTATATATCTACATGTGTGTGCGTGTGTGTATGAAAGGGAAGGAGCAATACTATATGAAATTCAATAATATTATCTTATAAATTACGGGATATAAATAGAACCAAGTACTATAATCTAATTTCATTATATATGTAATAGTTGCAATAAAAAGAATTGTTTAATATCTTTTATTTAATTTATCCTATAAAAATATAAATGTTAAATCACAATTTTTCATTGATTAAATCGTATTCGAGCTATTATCGATCATGCTGTAAAAAAAAAGAAAATAAAAAGAAAATGAGAACTGACCTACCGCTACTCTTCGTCGACGAAGCGAGGACGTCACGTGACTACGAAGGTATATTTTGCGATCATTTTTTTTACCACCACATCGAGGTCAGTCTCTCTTTCATACACACACAAATACAAATATACATACAGCAAAAGAGAGTGAGAGAGAAAGAGAGAAAGATAGGAGTTACGTAGGCGACCGATTTAAAACAGCCAAAATCGACGGTCACTCGTTGCTCGTTGCCGACAAGATGGCGTCTGTACTACTAAAGAATTTTTCATGACTCTTACGTCAACTATGATGTAACATGTAACAATGTAAAAGTCATAAAAAATGTTTATTTAAATCTTCGATAAATTAAATTTGGACATACGCGTATAATATTATTTAATATTGTTATTAATTATTGAATAGAATAAAAAGGAAAATTTGAAATGGCGAGTAAGTAAACGCTTTCACTGATTGTCGGTAGCAAAAATTCTTCTGAAAACAAGGAAAGCGGTTAGTCGAGCGATCGATCGAAGGAAAGGTTGAAAGCGAATGAAACGGAGAGGGAGGAAACGAGAGGAAAAGAGAGAAAACGAGAGAAAACGAGAGAAAACGAGAGAAAAAGAGAGGACTCTAAAGAACTCGTATCTGAACATTCTTGACGCAGTGAACTCGAGCTCGAGCATGACGATCTTGCATTAAAAGCTGGGTCGCGAAAGAGATACCGTTTACTAGAGACGTCAAAGCAGTTATACAATGAAGTAGTAATAGCGATCGCGTCGATGAACTTTACTCGTATTTCGCGAGAAAGAATACGAGAGAAGAACGTGTGTTGTTACACCATCATCTCCTCTCATTCTGTTTCGCATGAACTTCGAACGATGTTTCAAGATGATATGACAAACAAAAAGAGGGTAACTTGAAATCTTTATAAAATGTCTAATAAATCAATCAATCTGTTTCTTTCTTTCTCTCTTCCTTTTTTTTTTTTATTCATTGCATCCAAGTAACTAATAACCAATGAAGATACTGTAAGTTTGGGATTACAACAAAATGTCGAAGAAAAAAATAAAGGGTCATGAAACTCGAGACCATTGAAGGACTTGCCTGCACTTTCTCCCCTCTCGCCAATAAACTCCATCCACCCTTCCAGCCACCCTTCCAGCCTTTCTTTCAACCTAGTATTATCCGCGTAAAAGTATATCATACGGAACATTTAAGATTTTTAATTATTGTTACAAACATTATGCAAGTTCGGTAATAAAATTATTTTTATGCTAAAAAAAAAAAAGAAATAAAGATAATTAGAAACATTTCTGTTATATTTGAACTTCTCATAATCTTTTCTTTTGGTCCATCATCTTTTTATAAAAAAAAAAACAAAATCACTTCTGAACGTTTTATTGACGATAAGAGAATCAATTATTACGCGATGTAATAATACGATAAAACAAATATTTTATTAACAAGGATAGGTCGAACGATCGATATTCATGATTGATATTACGAAAATTTACACATTACGATATATGTCAACTATATGCTAGAAATGTATCGGCAATGATCTATGACGCAAGATAAATTCGATCTTTTTGATCAATATAAGATGTTGGTAAAAAATAAAATAAAAATGCAAAACACTCACCGCAAACGTTGAGCCATCCTTCGACGCGGCAAGGGTAGTCCAACTTCATCATGGTACTCGTTGTTACAGCTGATAGGGATAATGTCAATGATGATGGTGGTGGTTGTGGTGATGATGATGATTGTCCTGATGAAAATCCAAAATCCAGCGTGCTCGAGTGCGCGCGCGCGCGCGCGCACCACAGCTGTGCCGCCAACGAACGACGATATTATTTTGTCTTGTCGTTCAAACGTTCAAAATTGTGTAAAAAATATATATCACTGAGAACAAAATCTAACTAAACTGGTAACGTTCTTCATCCTTCCTTCTTCCAGTTCATCCCCTGTCCACCACCAACCACCCACTCAGTCCTCTTTACCCTGAGAAAAATCGAAACGACAAAGGTCCGAAAAGCAAAGAAAAAATAAAAAAGAAAAAAAAGCAATGAAAGATATTTAATTAATTTGTAAAAACGTCGATACGTCACCGACGTACATGCACGCACGAGAAACAACACACACACAAGCGCGAACACCGTTCAAAACGATTTAATATAATAGCGCACTTGTCGCACGCGACACTATTTACACTACCGTTGACGAACACCGACTGACTGACGACCCTCGTGCATCCTCGTTGCCAGTCGAGCGCCACCGCTGTCGCTACTCCCACCATTCGCTGTCGGTACTCCCGCTACTCCCACCACTCGCCGCACCTTCTCCTTTCCACCGAGCCCCTTCTTCTCATGACTCTGGCACTCGTCTCAATATTTATCATAACAAAAAATTATTCCTTCTTATTTACCTTTTTAACACGTAATTGCATATAATGCATACATTCATTTTATCGGTATTTACGTCTTATATTGTTTGTTATACCCATTATATATATATATATATATATATATATATACTTGTATTAATCTTACGTAAACTCAATAGAATTAAATTTCTTTCTTTGAATTTGATATCGAAATATAAATGGCTGTATTAATTAATTTATTTCATAATGAATTAAAGCCAATCTATACGATTATTCTTATAACATTTTGACTGTGCAAACGTTCATACGCGAGTCACGATTTATATATGCATTATTTGTTATAAATACGAAACCATGCTTTTCGCTAATCACTTTTCCAAAACTACGTACTTTTAATTCTCTTTTTTATATCAAACATATATTAATTTATTTTAAAAATAATCACATAATTACATTAAATAATTGCGAAAAGCGAAGAACTCAGCGATAAAACGAAAGTGTTCAACTCGAACTAGCCATTTCGATAATCGAAATATATCTCGAAGTTTAAAAAAACGATATATTTGTTCGATAGTATACCGAAACTCCATCTGACGGTTAAAGATCCTACAGTACTATCCAAAATGGCGCTCAAGGCACAGGTTGGTCAAAGTAAGTACTTCCAAATATACAGTTTTTTTAAATAGAATTAAAGCAGAAATAAATAAATTAACATCATTCGTTTGAGAAGGAATAGTGTCATTATTAGAATTATCGAAAATGATATTTTTCTGCACTGATAAGAAATTTTCGAGGAATAGGGCGTATACGAGACTGGATGACTTCATCCCGCGATCGTTCAAAAGAAATATTTTACAATTTTGACAAAGATAATTATATTTCGAAACTGACACGCCTTATCATCGCAGATTTCTATAAATTTCATTATTACGCAAATACTGTTTAATCACATAAATATAGATAAAATTGTAATCAAAAAATATTTCCTCGAATCGATGCACAAAATGTCACACAATTAGTTTCCAATCTAATTGCATTCCCTTACGCAAAATAATAAATGACGTTACAAATGATACTCCAAAATAGCTTCATTTACGTTAAATAAATAGTACGTTGCTTTCTCGGACGCTTGTCAACGTTTCAATAATTTAATCTCACCATTGTATTTGTCTCGAGCTGTCAAAGTTACATTCGATCGAATATTGAATCGGATAATCCCATTCCTAACATTGTTTTTCGTCCGTCAACCACCCACATCATACAATCGCATCTCACAGCTGAATGATAATTTGATTGATTCTGCAATGATTAGCGAATTACGTTCAAACTACGTTTTTATTCGTACGAGGAGCATAGATTGATAAATTGCTAGCGAAAATTAAATGCCATGTCTTTACTGTATCCAAATGATTTTGTCATTTAAATCAGATCATTGTTCACTGCCAACAAAAGCATTTTTAATCAAATCGATGGTATCATGAAATTGAAGCGTGAATTAATCTGGTACGGGGCCTCGATTCTTCAAAGTACGAGTTTATCGGTCGTGACGTCATTCGCCCTCATAAGAACGATCAATACACGCGTTGAAAAGCGCCAAAAGATATTTTTTCTTCTCGAATGAGCGACCCCCTTACGTCACCTTAACAATGTTATCTTTTCAATTAGTTACTAACTCTAAACAAAAATCAATAATTGTCATTACTTTTTTTTCTCTCTATTTCTCCCCTTAGCAACAATAATTTATATAAAAGAAAAATGCTCTTACAAATATGTTTTAATGATGTATGAAAATGAAATTCTATTTAATAATCATCTCCCCTTTGCAGAAATTATGAATGAAGTAATCAAACAGAAAAAGAAGACAGCAGGAGGAGTAGAATGGAGAATCCTTGTCGTGGATCAGCTGGCGATGAGAATGGTCTCGGCATGTTGTAAGATGCATGATATCAGTGCCCAAGGGATTACCCTGGTCGAAGATATCAACAAAAAACGTGAACCCTTGCCAACGATGGAGGCTATTTACTTGATAACGCCGTGCAATTCTTCCGTGCAGAAATTGATCGAAGATTTCAGCAACTCGACTAGAATGACCTACAAAGTCGCTCACGTTTATTTCACCGAAGGTATATATTATAATCGATATGAATATGCACATCAAAATAAGGCCATGTTATGCAAAAACCTTACCAACCCTCACAACAATTTAATATTAGTTATAAACGTAATACGAATCTTATTATAATCTTGTAATCTCTTTATTTTGCATTCAATTTACTAAACAGTAGTTGTATTTTAATAAATCATTGAGAGTTGATAGTTTTTTGCATAAGTGTTAGCCCAATCGATCCATCAAACAAACAAAAAAAGAAGACAGAAATAAAAAATCTGCATCATCCTACTCATTAAAAACTCTTAATCATAGAGAACGGAAAATGAACGTTCGACTGAGCGAAAAAATATTCTTGTTCAAAAATCGATTATTATATCCATATAAATTTTCATCCGTGGAAAGTTATGAAACTGTCAGTCTATCTGTTTGCAGCATGCCCCGACGAGTTGTTCAAAGAATTGTGTCATTCTCTGGTAGCTAAGCACATAAAGACACTTAAAGAGATCAACATCGCTTTCATACCATACGAGGAGCAGGTAAACGATTGAATATTTTGCAAGAAAAAAAAAAACAAAGAAAGAAATACGTAAGGACAAAAAAATATTGCATAAAAAAAAAAAGGAAAAATGACAAATGAAAAAGAAAAAGAAAAAAAAAGAAATGATTGAATCGAACGTTGTCCAACGCATCCGTTCTTCTATATTTTAAATGGTGGTGGGCACGCACTACGGAATTTGTTGTAACACGTACACTACACACACACACACACACACACACAATATACACACATAAGTACACACTACTCATATGTATATCAACGTACCAGAGCAAAATGCCGATCTATCATCATTACTCGTTCTCTATCGTTCTTCCGGCATCTACATTCTACTTCGTCCTTCATCCCGTTTTCCTCTTTTCGACTCTATCTCTCTCTCTCTCTCTCTCTCTCATTATTAACTCTTCTACCACGAGAAAGCACATTACTAACGTTCGTAATGCATTCATGCTTGCACTCGACCAGTGTGCCCGGAGGAGCTGTTCAATGAACTCTGCAAGTCTCTCGCCGCTAAAAAGATCAAAACCCTCAAAGAGATCAACATCGCTTTCCTGCCCTATGAGTCGCAGGTGAAGAACAAAGAATTCAAAAAAAAAAAAAAACAAAAAAAAAACAGCAATGAAATAATTCAATTAATAAAACATCGTAGAACGCCAATTGTAGTTCTTTGATATTATCGTCGCGTCACGCTTGCTTACCTCAGTTTTTAATCAAAAATAATGCCTTTTTTTTGTATACTTTGTTTATCTTCTTTTCTCTTGTTTTCTTTTAAAGTAGAAATATAGGCGAAAGACTTTCTCAATAATATGCTCATATGTTTATCTCCATTTGTGCATGTGCAATATCCATATGTATTTTCTATTTTTCTTTTTATTATGTCATTCATGTTTGTTTGTAACGAGCGTTAAAAGCTATTGCATTTTAGTATTGCCTGTAAAAAATAAATGAATATATTAGTTGTATAATAATTCGTTTCAAATACCTTGTAGTAATAAATGTCATGATTATACAGGTCTTTTCTTTGGACTCACGTGAAACATTTGCCTGTTTCTATAATCCATCCTTCTTAAATCTGAGAACTGCCAATATGGAGAGAATTGCGGAACAAATTGCCACACTTTGTGCAACTCTTGGAGAATATCCGTCTGTTAGATATAGAAGGTAATCAAGATTTGTTTAAAATTAAAGTTTATGCAATAATGTAACATTTGAAAAATGACTTACAGTGACTTTGACCGCAACGTGGAATTGGCACAGATGGTTCAACAGAAATTGGATGCTTATAAAGCAGATGAACCTACTATGGGAGAAGGTCCAGAAAAAGCTCGCTCTCAATTACTAATCCTAGACAGAGGTTTTGATTGTGTTTCTCCCTTGCTTCATGAATTGACATTACAGGCTATGGCATACGACTTGTTGGATATAGACAATGATGTTTACAGGCAAGCAACACTTAAAAGAATGACCAATATTTATATTATTTGTTAATAGAATATAATTCAATAAATGAATCATTTGAATATACTCACAGATTCGAAGCATCTGCTGGCGTGGAAAAAGAAGTTCTTTTAGATGAAAACGACGATTTATGGGTAGAATTAAGACATCAACACATTGCTGTTGTATCTCAGTATGTAATCGCTATGATAATTACACGTTGTATAATTCTAATAATTGCTATACAATACTTAATGTGAAACTCATTTGAATTTGTAGAAACGTTACGAAAAACTTGAAGAAATTTACAGAATCCAAGAGAATGCCACAGGGTGATAAACAAAGTATGCGAGATCTTTCCCAAATGATTAAAAAGATGCCTCAATATCAAAAAGAATTAAGTAAATATGCAACGCATCTTCAATTAGCCGAAGATTGTATGAAACGTTATCAAGGAAATGTGGATAAACTTTGTAAAGTGGAACAAGTGTGTAAAATAATAATTATATTCGTATTAATCAAAATATTTTCATCTACAAATGTAACATTTTGTAGGATCTAGCCATGGGTACGGATGCCGAAGGTGAACGCATAAAAGATCACATGAGAAATATCACTCCAATTTTACTGGATCAAAACGTAGATCATTTAGATAAATTACGTATCATTGCTTTATATGTTATCAGTAAAAACGGTATAAACGATGAAAATCTAAATCGTCTGATCAACCACGCTCAAATATCTGCCGATGATAAGCAAACTATTGTTAACATGGCGAATCTTGGCATTAATGTGGTTGTGGATGTACGTATGAATCTAAGAAATGAAACATAATAATAAGAAAAAAATGTTATAACATTTTTGGGGAAATTGCAGGGTAATCGTAAAAAATTATACACGGTTCAACGAAAAGAGAGGATCACTGAACAAACATATCAAATGAGTAGATGGACTCCAGTAATAAAAGATATCATGGAAGACTCGATAGAAGAAAAATTAGAATCTAAACATTTCCCCTTCTTAGCTGGTCGTGCAAGTAGTTCGGGATATCATCCACCTGCCAGGTAATAATCTACTACGAAATATTTTCTATCTATATGTTTATATATCACTATAATAAATATTTGATATATTTGAAGTGTAAGATACGGTCACTGGCATAAAGACAAAGGACAGCAAACCATCAAGAACGTCCCACGTTTAATCGTTTTCATTATCGGTGGTGTCTGTTTCTCGGAAATACGATGCGCTTATGAGGTCACAAATGCTTTAAAGAATTGGGAAGTTATTATTGGTAAGGATCAATGTTAATAAATTTATTTTTTCATGGATAAAAATAGGTAGATAATTAATTTATTATTTCAATTTTAGGTTCATCGCATATAATCACACCGAAATCGTTTCTGAACGACCTAAGTAAACTTCACGTTTAAACGATCCCATTAACCAATAATGCAAAATACTTTCTGCATTCCTGTTACTGTCTGTTTTGAGTCTTCATCAGTACTACCAAACATGAATATATATATATATATATATAATTGTGATCTCTGTGAGGACGAAATGTTAATTACAAAAAGAAAAAAAAAATACACGGTCAATTTCGTAGACGAAAGCTCGTTTTAAACGTTAAAGTCCGTTTAGAAACGGATAGCTAAAAATGATTATGCTACGAAGATAGATTATTTATTACTTTATTATTGTCTGATAGTATTATCTACCAAAAGTACTCTTGCAGTATTTATTAATATAAAGAAGAAGGATTCTGAAAGGAAATATCACCTGGAATCAAGTGCCTGCGTGAAAATCAATAATATAAGATCACGTAAAGCATGTTGGCATTACTGATGTGTAAATGTATAATGGTACCTTATTATCGTTAAAAATTGTGCGTGAATGAGTTAGCGCAGTGTTAGAAACAAGTAATATAGTTGTTAACAAGAAAGAAGAATATTTGAGAAAGATTCTATGTGTTTTAGGAAAGACTCATAATATATAAATATATATATATATATTATATAATTATAATGTACACGCTTGGTCTTAACAGATTAATCTCTATTGATGATCGTTTAAATGCGATTAAAACCAAAATCTCGAAGAATCGAGAAATAATCATTCGAATGTTTGCGAAATAATCATTTGAATGTAACATTTGTTGAATGACGAAAAAAAACAAAAAATCATGCATTTTTAATTAGTATTATCGTATTACAAAGGATGATATAGATAGTTCATTAACCAAGCATATTCCGATAATGAAAACGTTCATCGTCCTCTCTATAAAATAAGATGTTGAAGTATCTGTAATTTATGTTTCATTTGCTTAAACTCTATACGATAAAAGAAAAACAAGAAAAATATAAAAATCAAAAAGAAATATAAAGAAGAAATTTACTAATTTCAAACATTTCATTAACTTTATAGCTATATTGTGCAGAAGTTCTCTTCGATTATTATTTTTAACTATTATCTTTCATAGCTTTGCTCGAAAAGGAGTACGCATGTTTGTTATAATGTTAAATATATATATATATATATTGAAACATAGTACCTTTCAAAACAACACCAAAGACGTATTTTTATTTTTTCGCTTTGACGTATTTCTTGCACCAGAAATATAAATCTAATTATATCAGTATAATAAAAGACCTTCTCGAAGGTTATCATTTGACCCTCTCATGTCAATCCGATAATTCTCCAGTGAACGATCGAAATTAAAGTTTGTAAGCTTTTTCGTGTCCGAAACAGTCGAGTTGATCGTTCGAAAGATCTATACGTATATATTTTAGCAATGGCAGAAAGTAATAAGAAGAAAGTTGTTCTTGCGTATAGTGGTGGCTTGGATACTTCTTGTATATTATTGTGGTTGAAGGAAAATGGATATGATGTCATTGTTTACGTGGTAAGATTCTACACAAAATTATATTATAATAGTTTTATTATCAATACATATCAAATGAAAATCTAGGCAAATATTGGGCAAGAAGAAGACTTTGATGCGCTTAGAGAAAAGGCATTGAAAATTGGTGCTAAAAAGGTAGAATTTTATATTTTAATTTTACATTTCTAATCATAATTTTCTAATAAAACATAGTTTTCTAACTGTTTCTTTTTTTTTTTTATCTTAGGTTATTATAGAAGATCTTCGAAGAATCTTTGTAACGTCTTACGTATGGCCTGCCATTGCATGTGGCTTGCGTTACGAAGGAAGATATCTTTTAGGAACTTCAATTGCACGACCTTGCATAAGTGATGGTCTAATTCGAACCGCTAAAGCTGAGAAAGCATCTATCGTTGCTCATGGAGCTACTGGAAAGGGAAATGACCAAGTAAGATTCGAGTTGAGCTGTTACAGTCTTTATCCTGAAATCGAGGTAACGTTTCAATTAATAATATTTTCATGTATCAATTGTTCACTGATTTTGTATCACATCGGAATTATTTTTTTTTATAGATACTTGCACCTTGGAGGAAACGTGAATTTTATACAAGATTTTCTGGAAGACCAGATTTACTTGAATATGCTCATAAAAATGGAATACCGGTTTCAGCAACACCGAAAGAACCCTGGAGTACCGATGCTAATCTATTACATATTAGGTATGATCAATGATATTAATAATAATTTCTTTTTTATTTATAAATTAAAATGAAACATTTCCATTTCAGTTATGAATCAGGTATTTTGGAAAATCCAGCTGTACCAGCTCCAATCGAATTATGTAAAATGACGACAAATTTAGAGGATTGTCCAAATGAACCTGAAGAGATAGAAATAGCTTTTATCAAAGGATATCCTTCTTCTGTGAAAAATCTTGACAATGGTTACGTCCTAGATAATCCTTTAGAAATAATCGTGTATTTGAATGAGATTGGGGGAAAACATGGAGTAGGAAGGATTGATATCGTTGAAAATCGATACATTGGTTTAAAGGTACTTTAAAAGATTTCCAATCTAATTAATAAATAAGGATTACCAACCATCTTGTCTATCCATTTAGTCTCGAGGAATTTACGAAGCACCAGGTAGTAAGATTCTCTACGAGGCTCATGAAGATTTAGAGATTTACATATTGGATCGTGAAATATTGAGAATCAAGTCGTATCTTGCTGAAAAAATGTCTGATTACGTATACAATGGTAAAATGATTAATAAGATGACTTTTCATGATATCATATGAAATTGTATTATTCCACATATCGTTTTTGAAATAATCATTGATTATTTATTTAAATGATTATAGGTTTCTGGTTCTCGCCAGAATGTGATTTCGTACGAGAAAGTATAGAAAGATCTCAAAAATATGTAACAGGCATGGTGAGATTAAAATTGTGTAAAGGAAGTGGTCAGTACTTTTTATACACTTATTATATACTTATTATATTCGCATGTTAATTTTAATGAATCTTACAGTATCGATCCTTGGAAGATCTAGCGATGTTTCATTGTATAACAAAAATCTCGTCTCCATGGACGAACAAGGAGATTTTCAACCGGAAGATGTAGAAGGATTTATTCGCACGCAAGCTTTAAGATTAAAAGAATTTCATAGGTTTCAAAAACAGCAAAAAGTGGCCGAATGATATATATTGATTCAGAAATTAAAAATGGCGATGATATGTGAGATATGAAATAATTCAATCAAATCAAGAAGTCTGTGCGTGAAGGAATATAAATGAAGCGCTTTTTAGAAATTTCTACACATCTTTGCGTACATTTAATGAAATCATCAATGTAAAGAGATATTTATAATATATCTATATTAATTATATATACAAATTTCTATGAAGAAATAGAGAAGACTGTAGTAGTCTTCTTACCATCCATTTATACATCTTACACGCAATCCAGCGAACATAAAATATTGAAATGGAGAAAGGATGGAATATATATATATATATATACATGGATATATATATATATATATAAAAACACACTGCGATAAGTTTTTACTTTCAATGAATTATTAATAATTAAATCTTGGGATAATCAGCATATTTGTGAATATTATAATAATATATAATGTATATTACCTTAGCGCGGTATTAATATATTGTATACATAATAATATAAACTTTTATATCTCATTATCTTACTTTTTCTTGCTACTTAATTTTAAACTTAAAATATCATTTCAAATACGAAAGAATAATAATAATAATAGTAATAGTAATAGTAATAATTAAAATTAATATTTAATGATGATGTGATGATAATAATAATAATAATAATTATTATTATTATTGATTAATGTTTCTTTTTCGCACTTTTAATTGTCGGATGTTCTTTTGTGACTCGTTTACTCGACTCTCACTCTCACATATTGGACATTCTACATTTCTACATACACACATATCTTTTTCCACCGCATGAGTATCTACTTATTCTTACGTGGATGATGTACGTGTAAACGTACATACGTTACGTACACATACATACATATACACGCTCACAATCATTCAATCTTACATTTTTACGTATTAATTTGTATATTTTAACATGCAAAATTATAAACCTATAGAAAGGTAATTTTTTATTTTTTATTTTTTTTTTTTTTTCTATATAAATGTATAGATTCGCGAGATTAACATTTTTTTTTCTTGCAATAAGTCACACATATTATTATTATTATTATGTATATTCACACTCGTGTAAATTTCACGATATTAATCGAAATATCTAATTAACACTCCTATCTCTCTCTCTCTCTCTCTCTCGTCTTCTTCTTTTTTTTGTTTCTTTTTTTTTTTAATTAACAATATGATTAGTATTAAAAGCACAAGAGACAACATCGTTTCCATATCCCTTGATGTTGTTAAGTATAAACAGAGTTTAGATTTTCAATGTAAATTCATATATCAAATGAATATCGTCGTGTCGTACCGTTTTGATTTAATCGACGATATTTTTGTTATAAACGAAAGGAAGGAATCTTTTGTAGAAAATTCCATCCATTTCGAGCTTTATCGGGAATCGATATATATATATATATATTCAAGATTTACCGTTGTGGTACTTACTTACTTACGTTAGAAAGAAACTCATAATATACAAGAAAACATATGAAACTTAATTGTAACGAAAAGAAGAAATTAAAATCATTCAACGGTATAATTAAATGTATTTTTCTAAATTGATGCATTAAAATGATTTCTCACGAAAAACTTAATAATTGTTCATTTTTTCTATAAGGTACAGAAAATACTCTACTTCAATTATTCATATATATGTATATGTAATATAAATTAATAAAAAAAAAAGCAAACCGTTGAAAGAAAAATTGATCATAACAAAAGCATTGAAAAGCTCTGTCATTATTTTTATTAGCAAACAAAAAAAAGAACCAAAAAAGATTAAAAAAACGTTACTTATCGTATATCGAACAAAAATCTAGAAAGAAAAAGAAAAGATCGTATTTGGAGATGGGGGAGAGATTAGATTAACAAAAAATAATGAAAAAAAGAAAGAAAAAAACACATATAGAATCATTAATAATAAATACGATGGAAAAAAAAAACAAAAAAGCACAGGAGGAATCGTAAAAAGTATGATACAGAGTAAAAACTAAAATAGCTCTCCTTTACTTAACAACATCAAGTATCTCTTTATTTTTTTATTTTTCGCCATTTTTATTAATCGCTCTTCATTATTATTTATGTACAATCATTTTTCAAAGCTCCTTGGATCAAATTATGGATTTCATTTTATTTCGTATTCTTTTTGCCCCCCCCCTCTCTCTCTCTCTTTCTCTCTGTCCCTTTTTTCTAATCTTTATAGCCCATCCTCCTCATCTTTCATCGTTAGTCGCAATACACATTTTACTAAACTCATGTGCCATTTTGGAGATGATGTGCGTCCGTGTGGGAACTTATATAAAAAATTACTTTTTGATACAGCGGAGTGTGTGTGTGTATGTATGTGTGTGTGTGATTTTGGTGTTACTTACGAATTATATATGTATGTCTTTAAACCTTCTAAAAGTTACGCTGAGATCTAGTAGGTAATACATCCGTCGCTTCGTCATATATGTTGTATGTGTATATATATATATATGAGTATGTGTGTATGGGGGAGAGGGTTTCTTTTTTTTATCCTTTTTTTTTTTTATTTTTGTTAATCTTCATCTTTCTTTTCTATTGATGTCCCTTAAATAATTACAAACCCTTATCACATATATAGAGAGATGTATGTATATATGTATGTAATGTTGAATTTTGTGATATTCATCTGTTGTATGTTGTGTGTGTCCTATGTGGTACGCCATTTTAACGTATATGAATTTTTAGTATTCCTTATCATCATTTTTTTTACATATATATGTATACCGTTTAATTGCTGCCGATAAATCTCCTTTCTTATTTACAGTTTATAAACCACGTATTATACAATATTATTAATAATATTAATAATAATAATAATAATAATAATAATAATAATAATAATAATAATAATAATAATAATAATAATAATACCTAAGATTTCTAAAACATTTACTCGCAGTTTTTCTCAATCTCTTTTTGTATTATTTTTTTTTTTTATTATTATTATTATTTTTCATTCGTACACACTCTCGCGCAATTAAAAAGCACGAGAAGAAGAAAAGAAGATGCATCCTTCTTTACCCATTCATTCCCAATTCTCTCATCATCATCATCAACACGTACGCGTTTCATTCACAAATCATTTATATCTTTCATTTATCTATCATCATCGACGCTTTTAGGATTTTTTTTTTTCATACCTCCATGTTAAAGAACATAATCGTCTCGAGTTTTTTTATATTTACGAGATGCAATGTTATTATTGTTATTAATATTATCATTATTAATAATATTACATAATTAGAATTATTATTGGAATAATTATTATTTATCATTATTATTATTATTATTATTTCGTTTCGTTTTGTAAAACTCATGGAGTTATATCTAAAACGAATCGATCAATGAAAAATGATTAAAGCAATTTGATACATATATATATATATATAATGTGCATATAGTATATATATGAAACAAATTGAAGAATCTTTAGTATCAATGAAAAAGGAGAAGATAAAATGATTGTTGTAATAAACGAACTTTGTTCGTTTATTTATAATTAAAAGGAGACACAAAAAAACCAAACAAAAATATGGGTGCGCGCGCGCGCGCGCGCATGGTATGTTTTTATTATTATTAATGTACTCTTGACTCTTATTGAAAAAAAACGCATTTACAATATATCACCATAATGATCAATTATTCATCATTTTTTGTTGTTGTTACTAATTATATATATATAATAATAATATATATATATATATTTAGATAGGCATCATCATTGCGTATTTCAATTTTTGTTCGCATTATGTGTGTATAATAATTGTTTACACACAGTACAACAAACTAGTAAAGGAAAAAAAATGTATATGTCGCAAATTGATTTAAATTATTGAGTAAAAATCTATCTCGTTATAGCATTTAAAAACTAATTATTATACAACACGATGACACAGGCACGCTCAGCTGCCAAAATCTTCTTTCCACCCTTATTTTCCTCTAATGCCCTATTAATATATTTGCAATTGCACAACAATTATGTTTTCCTACAATTACAATAATAATAATAATATAATAGTAATAATAATAATATTATTAATTTTCCTAATTATAATAATAATAATAATAATATAAGAATTAATAAAAATAAAAAGAACAATGATAATAATAATAATAATAATAATAATAATAATAATATTACATCGATTTTCGTAATACAATATGGAGGCAAGATCGATATATATATATATATATATATGTATATATATATATATATATATATTTGTTCTTTTTATTAATTCTTTTGTTCTCTCTCCCCTTCTTTTTGAATTCGACCATTGAATAGAAAAAAATATTCAAAAAATCGAAAATATCCACGAAGAGCTGCTGTTGCAATCATGCGCATGAAAAAAAAAAGAAAAGAAGATATATCACACGAGAAGAGTTTTAAGAATAATTCATATTCTTGTTTTTACTTTCCGTTTATCAAAAAAAAAAAAAATGATACATCCATTTTTTTTTTTTTCATTGATGACGATTATAATCATGGCGGAAGTATTTATTATTATATCGACCGTTCCTGCCAAAATTAGAAAACAAACAACATCATTTTGATTTTTGTACTTCGACACTTTTCTTCTTTCTCTCTCTCTCTCTCTCTCACACACTCTCTTTCTATCTATTCTCATCCATCCATTGAAACTTTCTCTCGATTTAAGGGTAATATAATCGATTAAGAGAAATTAAGATTTTCACGAAGAATGAAACGATGAGAGATATACAATAATATAATTAGAGAAACATAAATGATGTGTAAGTTGAAATTTGATCAAGTACAAAAGAGAAAAAATTGCTTTTAAAAAAATGTCTCCGACAAAATCGCACGATCTTTATTATAATAACAATATCTAAATATTGCTAAGAATGTATTGAATATACATCGCCGATAGATACATCCTTTTTCTTAATTAATTTCCTCAGAGAGAAAAAGTAAAAGGTTCGTTTCATTTTTCGAATCGATTGTTTGTTTTGTTTTTCTTTTCTCTTTTCAACGATTAATAATTTTTTTATTATAAGTAGTTGTGTGTTTGTTTCCTCTTGTTAATTCAAGGACAAGAGTTATGCATATTTTTTCCTCTTATTTTCAATCTCTCTCTCACTCTTTCTCTCTCTCTCACACACACACTTTCTTATCTTTATCTATCTTGTACGACATTTCCCTGCCGCCATTTTGTCGAAGAAGTCGAGAATATGCCGATTGTGAAAGGACAACATTTCCTTTTTTTTTTAATCTCTATCATGCAAAATTCTTCTTTCTTTTTCTTCTTTCTAATATCTCGTTTGAAAGATAGATTTTCATTAAATGAACACATTATTAATTAATGTTCAATTTTTTTTAAACACATCTGTCAAAAAAATGAGTCCCATTATTTCTCGCTAAAAAAAAATTGATACTAAACAAGAAGAGTATAGTAATATATAATCTGCTTTCGATTGATATATTGACATCTAAAAAATATCATATATTGAATAATAATTATCAAACGTAGATAGAAGAAGCTCGAATTTATTCAGTTTCGAGCATACATCACGCATAATACGAAGACGAAGACGAAAAATGGAATTACCTCTATTATGTTACGTTATTATGATAAGTAATCATAATTAAATTCAATTATATTTACAATTACAAATAAAAATAATAACAATATTAATATTAATAACAATGACAACTATATGATAAATTTTGTTATTAGAGTCACAGAGTGCTCTAGGATCACAACGACGAAAAGGAAAAATGGAAGACCTACTTTTATCTTTCTTTTTTTTTTGTTGTTTTCTATCTTTCTTCCTTTTTTAATTTTTTTTTTCTTTTTTTTTAATTTTTTTTTTTTGTTTTAAATATTTTAACATTTTCCATGTATCAACTTTTCGTCTCGCAACTGATATAAAAATATATCAGTTATATTAATAATATTCTATCAAATTGAGATCAAGAAAAATTGTGAAAAATCTGATTGAATTCTTCATTTTCACTTGTTCTTTTTTTTTTTTCGACAATACCAAAATACATGTACAATCATTTTTAAATGACACCACCTTCTTCATGCTCGGACAAAATGTCAAACTATTTACAACTGTAATAGATTTTTCATCAATGATGTACATGGAGTTTAAGGTAAATCATTGTTTTTTTTTTTCGATTGATTAGGTAAAAATAATCATTACCTGTGTATGATAATTTCTTCCTCAAACTCCTAAATATCACTTCTTTCGTTTTGTTAATAAATACATATAGTCTAAAAAGAGAAACAAATAATTTATATGAAGTTAAAAATTATACGATTAAATTAATAGCCTAATTGAATAATAATAATAATAATAATAATAATAAATCTTCCATATGAAAGAAGATATTATTTGTTTTTTTTTTGTAATATTTTAAGAAATAGTAGTAACTCGAAGTAATGTTCGTTACTTCGAAATATTACTTAAGAATCAATTAATCAATCAATAATACATTCGCAAATTATTTAAGAAAAAAATAAGATATCGATCAATACATACATACATGTTCGTACATTATTTATTTTTTCTTTTCTTTAAAAATGATTTCAAATTAAATTATTTCAATAATTGAATAATTAATTTGAAATAAATTATTCATTAAGATTATTATTATCGTTAAAATATAATAGAGTGTTTCCTTTTCTTCGTCTTCGCGCGTATAATTTCTTCGATTATAATTGTTTTGTTGCATAATTTGAAACGATTCGAGACAATTGATTTAAACGTTAGTCAATGTTTATCTCCTCTCTTTCCATTAATCGATGTACTCTCGACTCTTTAATTTCATTAACAAAATTCTCGTCGTCGTCGTCGTCGTTTAATTGTTTCATTCATCGTACAACGAAGATCGTAGACGATAACTCGAAACTACATAATTAGGTTGTACATAAAATTGTTGATCAAAAATTGTGATAATGTTTGTATCTAAAGAGTCCTCCTCCGTTATCACCATCATCACCATCACCATCATCACCATCACCATCATCACCCCTATCCATTCTTTCAATGACAATACCAATACTCGTAAGAGTATGACGACTCTGATCGAATAAATATAAATTCATCTTTTCTTTTAGTCCTTTTCTTAATCTTGGTTTGCTTGTTTGGTTAATTGTATATCTTTCATTTTTTTTTTCTCTATATTTCATTAAACAATACTCTATTAATTACAGGCCAGGATATACCATTGGGAAACGCGTAAATTAGAAATACGTTATCCGAGATTTAAGTCTTACGTATTGTGTACGCGAATCGTTCGTTCTAATAATTGGTAAGTATAGAATCGAATTAAACTACATTCGAAATTACAATTATCTCTTAGTATTTTTTCCTCATTTTTTATTTTATTTTATTTTATTATTTTATTTTTCTTCAATAACTCGTAATAATTGACGACTTTGTTCTATGATGAGTTTTAAACGCGAATAGCTTGAAAATCGATGTAGGTCGCGAATGAATTTAAAACGCGAACATTTTGTCTTTACCTACTATCCGTCCCTTTCTCTTTCTTTTCTCTCTTGTTCTCTCTTTTTAGAAAGATAAAGGTAAAGGTAAAGGTAAAGACAAATAATAATAATAATATTCTATATTGATATAGTTGCAAAAAGAAAAGTCTGCATTAAAATTATTCATAATAATATCGAATTATTCTATTTACTATTGGCAGAAACACACCGTCTATGTAAATCCTACCAACGATTAATGACTGAAAGTGGAAAAATATAAAATTTAACTAAAATATACACAACAACATCTGTTGTTTTTGTTTCGTCATCATTATTCATCATCATTTTCTTCTTCATCCTCATCTTCATCCTCATCTTCATCCTCATCCTCATCCTCATCCTCATCCTCATCCTCATCCTCATCCTCATCCTCATCCTCATCCTCATCCTCATCCTCATCATCATCATCATCATCATCATCATCATCATCATCATTATCATCATCATCATCATCATCATCTTCTTCTTCTTCTTCTCTTTCATCATCTTCTTCTTCTTCTTCTTCTCTTTCTTCATCTTCTTCTCTTTCTTCATTTTCTTTTTTTTTCTGCACATTCTCTTTCATTCTTATGATCTAACGTATTCGTCGCTTAATATATATTTCACGCAAACTCTCTCTCTCTCTCTCTCTCTCTCTCTCTCTCTCTCTCTCTCTCAACCTCTCGTACTTATTTCTGAATAAAAATTTCAGAGATTAATTTTTCAAATGTACATATCAATACAAACTTATGAAAACCGGAAAAATTTAACACAACAGAGTTCATCGGTGTAGAATATTTTTCGAAGTATTCCGTGTAATTATTTTTTCTTTATCTAATTACATGGTCACACTTGGGTGTCCATCTCTTTTCACAATTTGCAATTATACATATATATATACATATATATCGAAATATATATATATATATATATAGTCTTTGTAGAAATCTGATTATGATCAGACGCGCGATGATCGTTTAAACTTGATTAACTTTTTTTTAGGCTTCTCCGTTGGAATGTCCCAACTGCACCACACAATTTTACAAACAAGTACACTGCTTGTCTTGTTATTGCATATATACCATCATACCCCTCTTTCCATATCCTCCATTGTCGGTAACGACCCTTGTTTCTCAATCCTTTTTTTTTTTTTTTTTCAAATCGACATTATAATCATATAACAGTTCTCTATCTTTGTTTGTTTTCTTTCTTTTTTTTTTTCACTATTTGTCCATCTAACTTTGATTAAACAAGATAGGAGAACGTATATCATTAAAATGTCTCTTTGTAGATATTGTCCAGCGGCAAATATTCCAAGTCCTGCCCAGTTTCAATGGATTTATTATGAGCAGTAAATAGCAACATTATAATGATTCTTCAAATGCAGCCATCAAATCACTTTGCATGTTCATGTCAATTGCACCAGCCATCTGAAAAGATAAATATACCCATTCTTTGGCGAATACGCCTTCGAAGAAAATTTTCGCTGATGATAGTCGCGCGCGAATCATCAACACAATTTACACACGCATCTACTATTATCATTTCTAATATATCTTTTATATTATTATATTTCCTATCTACCTTTCTCTTTCTCTCTTCTTTTTTCTCTATATTATACTACTAAGAATTAATAATTCATATTACCTCAGAGATCAAATGAAAGATGATATTATTATCACAATATTTTATATTAATAAATATTATTGAATTTATTTTTAACACTATATATTAGGCATACAGAAAATATGTTCTGTTAGTTCGTGAATTTAAAAAGAAAAAAACCGTAAAAAATAATAATATATGCATCTATCATTGTATGATATTAAGAAAATGTTCTAATTTACATTATGATCAAAGCTAATAGAAATAACTTTCTAATTAATTGTTATTATTATATTTGTTTATTAAATAATAAAAAAAAAGTATTGATAAAAATGTATGAAAAGCTACAACACGATCACAGAGTTAATTATTGTTAAATTGACAATTGAAGCGAACCTAAATCTATCTTTTGATTGAACATCAATATTGAATGAACAAATAATAGAAGAATGAAAGTAACACTTACCGCTTCACGTCGTCTTCGTTCTTGTTCTCGTAGCCTTTGTCGTTCTCTTTCGGCAGCAGCTTTATCCTGAGTAGCCGAATGACTTGGACTACTGCTATCCGTGTCAGCAATGGCTTTAACTTCTTCAGCTCTTGTTGGGGCAGTCATAGATGATGTACCTGGTTGTTCACCAACAGATTTTCTTGCGTTCTGTAGAGCATCTTTTTCCTCTCGTTCTCGTCTCTTTTCATTCTCTTGTCGCTGTCGTTCTCGTTCCTCTAATTCCTTTTGCTGTCTACGCATCTCCTGTTGTTCCAAAAGCGCCCTTTGCTATTTAATATATTTTCATTGGGAAAAAAAGAAATTGTAATAATAAAATTTACATTAAAGGGGTTGTGACTTTGGGATTCATGTTAACACTTTACTGGCCACACTTTTCTCCAGTCGCCATTTTAACACGTTGCCACCGGTGAGATTCACGCTAGAGAAAAATAAGTCAAGCGTAAGTGAAAAAAGTGGCCGATAAACAACGGTTGGCAGGAAAAAGTCACGTATCATGTGACAGCGACCGGCAAAGTGTTAATTCGACATTTTGTTAAATTGTCTTAGCAAACATTATATAAGCCCTTTAAATATGTAACATTTTTTTACTACAATATCTCTTTTTATTTTCTTATTTACCCTATCTTGCTTCTCTTTGGCTTGTTTCTTGAACTGTTGAAAAGAATCTCTGGCAGAGCTTTTCATACTAGTTCCTGCAGTAGATTGAGGACTCGAGGCTTGAGCCAAGGACGACCACGAGGACGCATTCTTAACGTTTTGTTCTGTCTGTATAGAAAATTTAATTTCAATGTAAGCGTAAATGGCATTTCTTTTTTATAAATCAAAATTTAAATGAAAAATCATATACAATACCTTAGTCTTAAAAGCTGATGCAAAGTTTGAAGCAGTATTTTTTGAATCAGGTGGAGTCATCTTCTTTTCAGGAACGAGCTGAGAACCCGAGTGATTGCCCATCGATTGCATACCCAATGCATTCATATCTGCAAAAAGAGCTCCACCTAGAGCACCAGCATTATAGTTTTGATTAGTAAGCAGTTAATAGTAAGCACATATTGCACATAAAAAAGAAGACAAAAGTAAGATTAGTAATATGATTGTTATAAATAAAAAAAAAAAAAAAAAAAAAAAAAGAAGGAATAATACGAAACATGCATTATAAAACATATATAAAGCAGCAAGTGTAACTTAAGCAAATGTAAGATGCTAAAGATTATAGTATAGATTAGATAATTACTTGTGAAGTATTAAAACATGCAATATATTTATTTTTCAAATAAAACATACGCTAAGGAAACCTACCATCTATTTTCTGTGTCATCTGTTGTTGCGAGATAGGAATAGGCTGCTGCTTCTCATCTTTCTTTAAAGGTACTTGTGAAATCTGCATTGGCATAGAAACTACAGGGATAGGATCAAAAATCGATGCAATTCCTGTCATGTTCATTCCCACATTAACTCCTGGAATGCCATTATTATTCAACATGTTTTGTGGTGAAGTGTCACGCTTTACAGTCGGAAAGCCATTAGAATGTTGTGACATTGTAACATGTGAATTAGGTATGTTGGTCAAAGGAGACGTTGTATTTATCATATTTTCCAATTGAGAATGCATTGATGACATATGTGACGCTGTTATTCCTTGTGGCAAATTCATATTTAAATTAACCATATTTCCCAGATTTAAATTCGACGCCATACTCGTAGGCATCATATTAACAGGATTTTTCATTTCTGGCAGTAAATTTAAATTTGTGTTATTACTTGGATGAAGAGATGAAATCATTGGTATATGTGTATCTTTCTTTATAGCAAGACTTTGTTCCAATGACGTTTGCGTTGTAGGGACAGATGCTGTATAAAACAAAAATAACAAAGTTAACAATGATTTGTTCTCACAAATCATTGTAATAAATGATAATTTAATGAATTCATTGTTGAGAAGATTAAAAATGAGTTTATATATAATCTAAATAACGATTCTAATAAGGATTCTAAATATTTACCTAGATTGCTATATGGCTGCAAAAGGTCCGCCTGTTGATTTAATGTTGTTCCATCGGTTGAAACAGGCGTATTCGCATTTGGATAAGAATTAACAGATGCTGGAGGCTGTGGTGCCTGAGGCACAACCGGTGATGCTACCACGGTATTAGTATTAGTTGGCGTAACACTGGGTGGTGGAGTTGGTACGGATACTGATGGAGTTGGGGGATTAGAAGTAGTCGGAGGCGGCGGTGTTGGCTTTTTAACAGGTGCAGCTGTAGCCATTGCAGTTGGTCGCGGAGGTTGGGCAGGCATAGATGCATGACTTGCAACAGGCATCCCTTGACTCGCTGTAACAGCGGCTACCGCTACAGATTGCTGATTGTTGCCACCTTAATAACAAATACAAACACTAATTACTCAGAGATTCAATATATTTTTGGATTATTTATAAAATAATATACAACTATAACGTACCTTGATCAGCAGGAATATTGCTAGACTGAGTTACCGGTGCTGCCTTTACTATTGGTCCCGCAGAATTTGTGGTTGGTTGACTGTTCATTAATAAACTTCCAGTATGATTAAGTGCCTAAAGGGTGTATTATAAAATAATTATTTAATAAATCTTCTCATCTACTAATACAAATATATTGAACAAGCATAAATAACACAATTATGTGATGCTAATAGTAATTATACAAGATTTCAGATGATCTTTCATACAAACTTTCTCAACTTTTGTTTTCTTTAAATGACCTATCTTTATAAAAAAAATTATTTTTCACAATACTTGTATGAAAAAACATTTGAAAGATGAACATTTGAAAAAGTGTAATAATATGTATAAATAATTAATATCAAATACCAATGGAATCTTGTTACGTTTAGAGTCTTATTACATTGGAATGTTATCTTACCGGAGCAACAGTAGCTGATGTTGTAGGTTGTGGTGCACTTTGAGTATTCTTCTTCGTCTTCTTTCTTGGTGGACGGTTGGAAGAGTTTCCTGAAATATAACGTTATACGCATCCAGTAAGTTTGTTTGAATGAAGTCTATCAGCCACTTCATTTTGGATTTCTTAGATTTTTCGATGAGGTACTAGTGAGATGCAGTGTGCAGAAGATACCAGCCATTAAATATAGTAATCACTCATATCAGCCATAAAGTATTGCGCACGTCAAATAAGAAATACAAGAAGTAAATATTAAATACTATATTATACACTTATAAAAACTAAATTGAAAAACTTCAAGCATATATTTTCTAATAGATTTTATTTATATATATGCTTATATTATAATTGTATCACTGTGTACAACAATGTTAATTTAAATATCTCAGTTTGTATGCTTCTTTTTTTTTTTCTTGTGGACTTTTATATCTTCATGATTTTATATTAAAAAATTTTTTAATGCGCAGAACAATTGTGTTTTTCTTTTTTTCGTATTTTCATTTCTTCACTTCATTCTACATAAAGTCAATTGTATTCAATTTATTTATGAATAATTGCATGTCATGTGCATATATATATATGCGCGCGCGTATGTATGTGTGTGGGTGTGTATACACATCGTAAATACTTGCAACCATATATACATATGTATATATATATATATGCATACATATCACGCGCGCGAACACCATAGACACACGTGTCGCGTAATCAGTAACATACATATATATATGTATGAAAGAATACGCATTTCCTTTTTTTTTTATCTCTCATTAGGATACTAACAATAATGATTATTATTACAATAATAATCAAGACGACAAGTGACGAATGATGATTATAAAAATGATGCTGGGGCGTCTACGAAGAAAAACAATCGAACTGACAACATATTTCGGTTTTTATCTTATACGGTATGATGTATATATAACGTAGTATAACAGGATTAGAGCGTGATGAATAAAAGTCGCATAAATGGTACAATATGAATTCTCTCAACTTAAAAACACATGGGATGATTCAAGAAGAGTTGACACTCATACAAGCAAATATGTAAAAAAAAAAAAAAGAAAAAAAAACAAGAAAAAGCTCAAGTCACGGTTAGCACAGCATTGAGATCGGTGGTAAGAGACTCCTGCTCGTTGTTTATAGTACGTATTATTATCATTGATATTATGAGCTATATTGTTTAGTAGCTCGTACATATAAAACCATAGATTTTCTATTACTTTCTTTCTCTTTGTAGCTGAAAACTACAAAAACGTAAAAAGTTTGAATTATGGAATGGCTGATAATAAAGAAACAAAATTCATTAAACACGTGCTCGAATATAGACACTATATTGGTATAGCTATTATGATCAACTAAATCTAAAAACAATGAGAAGGAGTTCCAGCTTATCTTACTTTATATAATATAGTTAACTGGACCACCATACAAGAAGCCAACCCTAACTCGGAACCGCTCGGAAGTAACACTTACTTAATTTGCTTCGTGTTTCTTTTTTTTTATATTATCATAATAATAATAATTATTATTATTTCTTTTTATATATATATATACTTTGTTTTAAATTATGTACTTAGAAAAATGTTCAATGTGCCATCTCACTTCCATGAGTGTAAACTTCTTTCCTCTATTCCATCTGGTTGTTTGTTTCTTTTTTTTCTATTTCTTTAACCTTATTAATATTAATATTCAATATTTTTTGTTATAATTATAATAATTATTATTCTTATTATTATTATTAGTCATAGTAGTGTAGTAGTAGTAGTAGTAGTAGTAGTAGTAGTAGTAGTAGTAATAGTAGTAGTAATAGTAATAGTAGTAGCAGTAGTAGTAGTAAGTAGTNTAGTAGTAGTAATAGTAATAGTAGTAGCAGTAGTAGTAGTAAGTAGTAGTAATAGTAATTATAGTAGTAATATTATTCTTATTATTATTTTATGATATATTAGTTCTCACTATGTACAAAACGTGTACGCAGGTGTGTACTACTACTATTGTTCGCAATACACACAAAAACATATGAAATGTAGGTGCACTTCCGTGGAAAAGAATATATATATAAGTAGTTTTCTTTTGAATAAAGTAGTTCTTTTCTATATGTAATATAAAACATTAGCTGTTTTAAACATTAAGTCCGCTTTTGCATGTAACGATATGAAAGGAAGAAGAGCGACATCCTAATTTTCATTAAGGATGGCAAATCAATTCAGACAAGTGCCCTGCTGCATATTGAATAAAATGCTAGACAAAAATTTGGAAGGCAATATATGAACATTATTATTATAAAACGTTCTATATATATATCTCACGTTACAAGCTAATGATGATTGTATTATAAGTAGAGATGCATACGACTTAATTCAGCGCACGCTTTTATATCATTTTTTTCTTATTTTTCTTCAAATATTTCTAACTAATCTCAATTGAAAATTTGTGTACGAAACTTTCAATCGTTTTGCTTGTTTTTTTTTTTAATTATTAAACAATATAAGATACACCATTTTATCGCACAAGTATGTGTGTATATTTAATTAATTCGACGAACACACTCTCACTCTCTCACTCTCTCTTTCTCTCTCTCTTTTCTCTGACCAATCATTGTGGTTTTTGTAATTAATGTTAATAACGTCTTTAAACACCCTATTTTGTTGTTGTTATTGTTGTTGTTGTCAATAYATTCTCGTTTAGAACAATAAGTACGCTGTGCTGCGTGTATAATTAATGATACCATTTAATTGTACTTGAGTGCAATTTTGATCACGTTCAATTTGAATGAATTACCAAATCGCGTATTTCGCAACGCAACACTTTGAATATCTATAAAGTGGTCTTTTTTCAAGTACTTTAGGATGTTATGCTGATCACGTCCGTAATAATATCGTCTTATACAAACATTTCATCACTATGTATAAAAATTAAATTTGCATGATATTTCAACAAAAAACATTATCATGAATCTCAGACATTTACAGATAAAAATACAAAAAGAAAGAAAATATCATTAAAATTAATCATTCTTAAACTTTGCGTATAAAAGACTTTCTAAAAAATGTTTTATATATAATAGGACGGGTTTAAAATAATATAATTACCTCACATTAACTGTTTATGAACTTTATATCTCAAACCGATGATACGTTCTAGGCATCGCTATATATAATCTTCATGTTCTAATGCAATAAGAAGTAAAATTGGATTCTAATATGAATTATTATTACTATTATTATTATTATTATTATTAATATTAATATTATTATTATTACTATTATTATTATTATTATTTGATATATCAAGGCATGTAAAACCACACCAACTTTGTTATAATTATCATTGGCATAATATTGTCCCTATGATACGAAGACAATTCTTTCAACTTTTATTTGTCAAACTCGAGCAATGAAAAATAAAAATAACTGACAATGGTTATAGATGAAGAACTAGTGATAAATAAAATAATGACACGACGATCAGCAAAGCTTAGCAGAGTGCAAACAATGTGTTTGGAGGCTAGGGTACCTTATTTATGTTGGATATCCATTATCCTCTTATCCTTACTGTCTTTTTTCTATTATATATATATATATATTTAGATTCTTTAATTTTTCTTCTTACTGCAATTGTAATCTGTCTTTCAATAAGCTTCTTGGTAAGCTCCCCTTGCCTTTCTCTTTTTCTATTATGTCAAGACAAACCATGTATGCTCAAAGTCACATAATCTTGCAACAAAAGAAATCATATTACACTTATTCAGGCGATGGTCATTTAGCTCCGTACGAGAGAATCATCATTGATTTTGCGTAAATCAACCTGCTTAATTTAATTAGACATTTTGACATTTCATCCAAATGACAAAAATAATAATTGATTTCTTCATTTCCATTACAATCTCATATGAGTAATATAATGCTATTTTTTTGCACTTATTTATTATTACTCTTGCTTACGAGATAAATTTATGAACATAGCAATCAAGTTTATAGAAAGCACTTACATATATAATTGGCTTTGCAGAGTTATATGTCTTATTCAAAACGTAAGCAGTATTTTTATTTAACATTTGAAGAGGATATACATATGAGATTACCCATGACAACCCATTTTTATTTTTGTTTGTTTGTTTTGTTTCGTTTTATTTTTTGGTTTACCATTTTTCTTGTTTTATTACACTGAATGCACATTTTTTTGATATTAATTACGGAGGCGACAGATTTGAAGAGTGTGACTGACTAGCATGTGATAGATAGGCGCGAAAGTATATCTATTAAACTTACAGAATGAACTGTTTTACAAAACCAGCCACCAATACACATTGTCTGCAGCATTTGTTACCGATTGTGTATGACATTTTATTACCGTTGCCTAATTTAGAGTCCTTTCGATTGAATTATGCATCAAGTCCACATAGATCTAATTCCATATAAATGCGAATAAAAATATTCAGTTATCCTAAGCGCACTTTTATTCATCCAAATATAATCCTAATATATATACCCACTCACAGTTCGATAAAAACGCTTCTTATTTAATGTCACTGTACTAATTTTTCTGAGAAATGATACGGCATGAACGACGAATCAATATGAAAAATCAAAACTCAATGATATATCAAAAAACACAGTAATACAAATTATTGCTCTGCTTATGAATTAATAATGTTGTAAATAAAGATTAAGTTTGCAAGAGTTAACATACTGCATGAGGTTGCTTAGATTATGATGAGCAATGTAATTTTCAAGACAAGCTATGATATAACTTTACAAGGTACTAATACTTGGCACTACAGTCTTTCTATATGTAATATATATATATATGTATGTATAAAAGTGTAACTTCCACATTATCCAGAAAAATATTACTTTTTCCAGTTTGTTTTTCTTTTTATATTACAACAAAATTAAGACTGCAGTGAAAAATTCAGTAACCTTGAATGAGGAATTATATTTGACTTTCGAGCAACAGAACGTATTGTCAACACTGATAGAGCAAGAGAAAATATAATTAATTTATTTTACCTTTTTTTTTTCACTTCTTTTTTCTTTTTTTTTTTTTCAATCAATAATGTTAACACGTCAAACAACCTGGTATATGGCATATTATGGTATCCTCTAAACACAGTCTGCACTCCACTAGTTTACCTTTTTCTCACCATTGCATTTTGTCTCTCATAAATTAAATAAAAATTTCTTCGGCTGTGTCAAGTTTCAAATATTAATGTCCAGTGACATTTTTATTACTGATCTCTATATACCAAATTTATATTTATACATATATGCAAGTATATATATATACATATAAATATTGATATATATATATATATATACATACACATATACATATATAAATGTAATTTCTGTGTGCTTTTATTATGAAAAATCAAATGAAACTTGTCACTTCATTTGTACTTGCATTAATATAACGCACCACTTATATTACACGAATAACGCCGTCCTAATAAATACAATAGTTAATAAGCAAGATTTAGCAGTTTAAGAAGATATTTGCGATGCATTTGTGCAATCAAAATAATAAAACCCTCAATTTCGTATACAAGTTAATATGTAAATAAATCATTCTTTTTTTTTTTCGCAAAAATGCTAATATCAACAACAAAAATCTGTACTTTGGATTTGTTTGAATTATCAAAGAAAAATCTAACTAAAAATTTGTATGTTTTTTTTTTTTTTTTTTTTCTATCAGCATCATCATATCATGTGATATTTTTCTTTAGTATTTAACGATAAGCTAGTGCAAAAGAAAATAAAAACAAAAGAACAGTAAAAACAAAAAACATAAATGAAAAATAAACTATTATCAAGTAAAATTGAATTCTGTATTATTTATTATCTATATACTTCATCACGTATGCATTATATATATATATATCTAAATTTAAAAATATCACATGATACAACGAAGTTCTTTAAAATAAAAATATCTAATTCTGAATATATCATTTAACATAATTGATTCTATACTGATACTTTAAAAAAATGTAAAAGACAGAAAATAAGGAAAAACAAAAGGAAAAAACAAAAACAAAAATAAAAAAAAGAGACAATAAAAAAACGATAAATTGAAAGAATATGGAATTAGAAAAGATTCTAGAATTATTAATTGTTTAGTTTATTATTGAGATATATGAAATATATGACACGTTTTTATGAATAAAGTTATAACAATAATTTCACGAAAGTAAACTAATTTTGTTCACATGCATGAATTATTTATATTTAGTAGTATTGTGAAGGATACCATCTGTAAAATATAATCGACGCGTTATGAAAAATCATTGTTTTTTTTTTTTTTTTTTTTTTTTTATAGAAATACCCCAAAGTACATAAAGGATTAAAAAAGAACCTATTGTTTGCTAAACAATATATATGTATATATAATAATAATACTCGCAAATAACCTCGTAATTTGAAATCTCACAGAAGAATTAGTTCATGTTTTTTGCATTGATACTACTTTACAATAAGTAGTCCTTTGTTCCCAAGTACGGGTTTAATAGTACATGAAGTTTATATCTAACCTGCTTCGCTGTCACTCGAATCACTGGTGCTCGACGACAATGAACTACTGCTGGAATCACTGTCACTGCTACTGCTACTTGAAGCGGATAATCGCGAAGGTCCACTGGCACCTCCAGTTCCAACTACGTCGACTGACTTACTACTGTCTTCTATCAAAACAAAATCCCATTTCATTCCAGTTCATCATATTATTCAAGAGAAAGAACAACAACAATATAATCATATAAATATAAATATTAATATAAGGGTAAAATTTGAAAAATAACAATGTACCTTTCTTTGCAGTTTTCTTCACGTTCCCCAATTGACCAGTTACGTCCTGCAACCTTTTTTCTAATTCCTGCTTTTTCTCTGCTATTTGCTCGTCTTTTGATTTTCCACTAACTTTTTTATCTGTAAACAATTGTTTATATTATAGGACATAGGACATCATATGAAGAAATAAGTTTTACAAACAACATTGGAATATAAAATTTCAATGAAACTTACGTGGTTTTTTCCTGAGACATGATGCAACGTAGCTTTCCAACTCTCTCAGGGTGGAAGGCTTTAGAGTTTCAAAATCAATTTCAATCTCGTCTGGATTAGAATCCCTCAATGAAGGCTCCCGAGATTGTATTATGTGAACAACTCTACCTAGTTTATCTCCTAAAATATGGAAATAAATAGAAATAATGAATTAATAGATCAAATATGTTGTTATAAAAAGAAATGTTATAGAAAGGTAAGTTTATAAGATTATAACGTACCAGGTAATTTGTTAATATCCAAGCTAAGTTGCCTCTTTTCATCATAGGACATTGGTTTAGCATTATCTTCATCTTCAGAATCAAATGTTATTGGAGGCGGTTGATTGATCGATTTCTTTTTATTCCCACTTGACCTACTATTCGCTTTTGGCCTCTTGGATGCAGTATTAGCTGCAGTAGCTTTTCCAGGACCTCTTCCTTTACCTTTTGATTTAGCATTAGTTGCAGTTGGCATATGATGACCTAAACTTCCTGCTGTATGCGTTTTATTTGGTCCTACTGCTATCGCTGGATGATGAAGATCACTACTCATACCACCAGGCATTTTTAGATCACTTGCGCCCATTGCAACACTAGCTATACTAGTACCAACACTGTCAGAAACACTGGGAATTCCACCGCTTGGTTTCATAAGTTCTTTCATGGCACCAGTATGACTACCAACAAGGCTACTACTTTTATTACTCATTGGCTTTGATTTTGGTTTTTCCGGCTTCTTCTTTCTACTCTTCTTTTTACCACTTTCTTCGACTAATTTTCTCATTTGTTCTTGCATAGCTTTAAGCTGTAAAAGATAGAAAAGAGAATATTAGCAATATAATTATTATTCCTTCTCAACTACTGTGTATTTATTACAATAGAATAAACAAAATTAAAAACCTCTTGTTGAAGAGCAACTAATTTCTGCGTACGTTCCTCTTCAGAATCGTCGCTATCGGAAGAACTTTCAGAGCCAGAACTACTTCCACTACTACTGCTACCCTTCATTGCTGACATACTTCCCAAAGGCTCGTCAGGTACTTTTGCGTACCTAATTAATCAAATTCAATCGAATTATTCAAAAATTCAAATGTCTTCATTGATTATAATGAAAAGATTATTTTGAATAATTATTGACTTACCTCATTTCAAAGACGTCCTGAAGTTTTCTAGCCATTGCAACGACATCGTGATCTGGAGGATTATATTTATAACAATTAGTGAAGATAAGCCTCACATCACTAGCAAATTCCGGGGCTGTTTTGTATTCGCGAGTATCCATTTTAATCTATAAAAATAGGGTACAAATAGGATTGAGTACAAGAAACAAACCATCATGTGCTATTGAAAAACAGAAAAACAATTAAATAAATAAACAAACAAGAAAAGAAATTTCATAAATGAAAGTATAATAATCTTACCTTTACGGTACCAAGATCCATTGGTTTCTTGATAATGTCATGATAGTCATGTAGACCTAATAGTTCAGCATCAACTGGCTTATAAAAGGGCCATGCATAACCCTGTTAAGAAATTAAAAGTATAACAAACACATATAAATAATATTTATAGTATATACGAAATCATTTTTCTACTAATAAATTATTGTAATATAATATCAATTTAACCCTTTGACTGCGACAAGCACATATATAACACTCAATCATAATATTTATCAGTTATTACACAAAAGTATTGAAATGGACATTGACCATACGTGACCATACGATATAAAATCACGTATAATCAAAGGGTTAATTTAATACTAATTATTACAACTATTGATACTTATAATTACCGAATGTTTTTTAGAAAACAGCTCTTTTAAAATTTCATTGCAACATTTAAGTGCTTCCGAAAGTTTTTCTTTAGATTTTCCATTATTATGCGGAGGCTGAAAAAAAATATAAAAAGTTTAAATTAGTATATAATGTTATTGTATATGTACTATCTATATTGAACTAGCTTTGTTTTGAATTGTTTTTTTTTTATTAAAAATACAGTTCTTAATTGCAGCATATAAAGAAAAAATATAATAATAGTAATAAAAACAGAATAAGAATAAGAAGATTAGAGAAATATATGTGAAAAATAAAAAAGAAATAAAGTAGTATAATTTATAATCTTGATTAAACATTGCCAAACTACAAATGACTTTAATTTTAAGCTCTACAAGAAAAAAAAAAAAAGGATTATTCTTGATATTTAATGATTGAAAAATTTAAAAAATAAATATGATAAGACGACACAAATGAAAGGAAGGAATGTGATGAAGTAACAGTATTTATACCTGTTGGCCCATAGCCCCAATCAAGGGCATGTTGGCCTGGTGAAATGACACTAAGCCGTCTTCCCCTTGCCTCGTTGGCTGAAACACCCCCGACGTGAACCCTTTTGTTAATGTCTATATGGAGTGATATGATCATGCATGCAGGGAATGACTGTGTATGATTATGATTATAGACATTTAAAATGATATGAAATACAATAATAAACATTTAATAAAGGTTTGAGATCATTTGAAAGATTTCTAGAAAAACTACGTTTTCATTGAACTCATAATTCTCATCATGCAGAAATGTTTCTTCTTGACTGGAATCAATTTACAAAGTACAAAAACTCTATACATGTCTCTGTGTGTGTGTACTTTCTTTTATGAATAATAAACATAACACATAGCAGCATTTGAGATTAAAAAATATAAGCTAACATGATAAAAGAACATAGCAAATTTGAGCTCTTGAAATGATTGAATTTGATCATATCATACCCAGATGCATTCGTCGTTTTTGATAATAATGACATATATATCTATGTGAAATGTATAGATACCTTTTTAATCTGTCTACCAGATTCTCGTCTTGCTGGAATTTTTGCATTCTTAGAATCCAATGGAGCGTAAATTGGTTCAAACGAATTAGCTGTAGGGGTTGTAGTGTCAGCTTTTCTTTTCACTCCCTTTTTCAACTTGGCTGGCTGGGATGGCGGCATTACAGTTGGAGCTGTGGGAACCTGAGGTGGAGGTGGTACAGCTGATGCCGTTTGTGGGTCCATTGCTGGTTGCGCATGGTAACCACCCGTTGGAGGGACAACTTGTTGAGGCAAAGAGTTGTGAGTGGCCATTGGAGTGACTCCTAAGCTCGATGGTGGAGGAATAGTGGTTGTATTCGTACTGCCCGGTACAGAAGCAGGTGCTTGTGTCCCGAGAGGAGGCATAGGTATGACACCAGTTGTACCCGCCGAGGTGGCTGAAGGTGCCAAACTATTTGGTACACTGGATGTAACAGCTGCTGCTACCGAGGAAGGTCGACCTCTTCCTGTACTTCCAGTTGTTGTCATTCCAGCTACTAGTCCTCCTACTTTGCCAGCTTTTTTTCCTTTGGGCCCTTTTGGAACCGGAGGATCGAGTTCCACTTCTTCTTTCGGCATTTGCGCAACCTGTTGTTATATATAAGTGTACAAATTGTCATTTAATAACTAATACATTCTGCACCTGATAGAAACATTATATTATACTATTACAATTAATTACCTTCGAAAGAAACAATTTTTCCAGTGCTTGTGCCATGACTACAACATCTTCCCCTGGCTTGTTGTAGACATAGCAATTGGTGAACATTGTATTGAAATCTTGAATACATTCTCTGCCGCACCAGTAATATGTATTTTCTAATCGTTTCTTTATTGTTCCCAAATCCATTGGTTGTTTGATAATTTTGTGATAATCCTATTAAAAATAAGATGAATTAATGACAAAATATAGAATAATAACATGTCATGAATAATATTTTGCACGCATTGTATAAATATTGGTTTTAACATACTGGCAGATTTAACTTCTTCGCATCTACAGGTTGTTGAAATGGCCATGCAAATTGATGCTTCCATACTGGTTTTAATACGCCCTTTTGCAAAAATTGTAATTGATTTGTAACACGTCCTGGACGATTAGGAGGTGGAACAACTGGTGGTTGCACAACACCATTTACAGGTTCCACAGTTGGTTCATCGCGAGGAGGTGGTTCTTTCCCCGTTGTAGCTGGTGTGGCCGATGCCTTACCAGGCGCACTCGTCTATATTTTTCATTTAAAATTTGTTAAAGATGATGATTCAAGTTATATAATGTGTAATTGTTAGAACTACATCTACATTTTCAAACTAATAGAATTAACTACTGTAGCCAATAGAAAGTTTGCATTCTGCAAAGCAATAAACAAATTTTTACTTTATTTAAGTATATAAATAAAATTGACTAAAGTATAGCAATAAACTACTTGTTCTTATTATTGAAAGATTTGTCTTGTGTTAGTACTAATAGTTCCTTAAACAAAACTTCAATAGTAAATATTTGAAATATGCGATAAAGCAAACTATAGAAAAAAAAACAAAAAACTAATTCTAACCATTTTTACTACAAAAAATCCTTATTTTGTCAAATTCAAAATAGAAATAACATAATGCATAAACTTATTTCAATGAAAAATAATATATTAAAAGAAAAAATATCATGAAAAGATTAGTATAAGTGTTAGTAAATACAAAACGACATGCAAAAGATTATCCTTCATGCAGCGAGCGAATTAGGCTGCTAAATATTTAAGTTCCATAGCTGCGTACAAGCAATTTTGAATAAAGGTCCATGTCCCAATATAAATATTTGTACTTTCTATAGATTAATAATCTCTAAAGATAATATGGAAATTGGACACAATCTTTCTAGCATGTACACATCATGCAAATTACATGTGTGGGAATAGTTTTAATAATTAAAGTTTACATGTAGGATATGAACAATTAAGTATCGAGATTAATATTGATTAACACCAATTTCCAAATTTTAATAATATAATTGAGTTTTTTGTTAGATGTAATGATACGAAGATAAAGAAATATTTAATTTTAGAGTAAAGATAGAATACAGGATTTAGAATATTTCTTATAGTTTTAGAATCTAGATCTGTTAATTTGTTTGTTTGTTTTTTTTTTACTATTTAAAAGCTTAACGATTGCATACGATTAGATAAACATATTAAAGCGAAATTATAAATTGTTTTTGTTTTGTTTTTGTTTTGTTTAGTAAAGTGCAAATTGTTGATTAAGATATCTATTACATATCTTATTTCATAAAATATGAAATCAACATGGAACCTCACCTTCGGTATATTACACAGCCTTTCTCGCTCCTCCACATCTAACTGTAATTCATATGCACTTTTCAGTCAAATGGTATTTCAATTTAACACATTATGAATTTGTAAATTATATATGAATAATAGCAATATTTTCATGACGCTGGCAAAGTTTAGACAAATTTGTTGTTATTTATAAAAATAAATGTTAATGCCCTTAACATTTTGTAATGTGTGTTATTATATAATTTCATGAAAAAGCAATGCCTTTTGCTATTTACAAAGCCTATAATTTAACATATATGTGTGTGCGCAGTTAATTATTTATTACCAAGCCTATCACTTGATATATATTTAATAGGATGATATTTTACATTGGAGGAAACGTTATTATTAATCATATATTTATTGATAATCTTCAAATAAATAAATGTATCTACGAAGAATAATAAATAGGAGATATGTATAAATGATGAACAAATGTCTATATAGTTCCCAAATCTAGTGTGTTAGTAGATTAATAAGCAAGCTGTGCTACACACTACATTAAACAAATTTATACGTTACTCACCGAATTATTTTGTGAAATAGTATCCACCTGCTGCATCTTGATTTCGTTTCTGGAAAAAAAGAAAGAAAATTAGTTCAGGCATTCATTTTTCTATATGTAAATTACGATTATATATATATGTATAATATATGTATATATGCAACAAAAGTGCATATCAAATATTGCATTTGATTCCTAAGAAAAAGAAAAAAAAAAGAAGATATAATTTGTTTGTATTATAGAATGCATCAAATCCACGTTAATGAGCTATACCCACCTTTCAGACATATATGGTACATAAATGCTATGCAGCAGGTAACTGCCTTACGCTGATGCTCGATGTTATGAGGCTTCATCAACAATTGAGATGGCAAATAAATATTTTGAATAGAACACGGTTGCTCATTAATTGCTTGTTGGGAAAATCGCACTGCAACCACGGAGATTGATGCTGAGGAGGCATAACACTACTAAAGCCTACCAAATGGTAGTACTTTGAATGTCAGCCCTGCATACCGCTGTGAAACTCCGTACCTCCAGTCAATACTCGTAATACTAGCAACATCTGAATAACATAATAATAGTACCCGATATTGTATAAACCCCTAAAAATTCATTTATTTTCTTCGAACCATGTTAAACATGTACACGTGTAAACAAACACTATACTATTGTGCATACTATGTTTTTCCCAATGCATGCAAGATTACAAAAATACTTTGCTTCTTCTTTCTTTAACTTTGTATTATTATTGCAATGATATAATCTTTATTTTGAGCAAAATTGGAAATAAGTCAACTACGTTAAAATATTTCTTATTCATTTCTTCCCGGTTCTTTTTGAAAAATATATCAAATAGATTTTATAAGTGATACTAACATTACTTTAAGTGTATTAAACAAATAACATTAGTGATTCTTTAGCATGTCTAGAAAGAACAAAATGAATTGTTTTAATTTGATTCAAAATGACTTTGTTCAAATAAATGGGTAAATCATAATAATTTATAATAAAGTTGTAAAGCAAGACAAAAGTTGATTTTATGATCTAAGCCTTATATCGAGTATGTAAAATTTAAGATACAAAATTCTACGATAATAGCATCAGTGAAAGACACAAGATAATTCTCATTGTCGTCAGAGAACTAACCTTACTATTCTACAAGAATGCAACTACGGAAAGAAACTAAAAAAATTGTTCAAACTAAACAAAGATGATTAAAAAAAAATCATACCAAGATTTGTAACAGCAAGAAACAAGCAAGCCAGTGCAATGAGAACAGCTGAGTTGATCTAAATTAGAGGAGGAAAAATAGAGATAAAAAATTCGTCAAAACGATCCACAAAGCGAGGGCGCGTCGCGTTATAACTAATCAAAATTCGATTAAATCGGGGTTTATGGAAGAGAAATTAAAACAGGTGTTCAAGGGTCACGAAAAAACCGTTAAGAATAGGAAAGCTTAAGAAGAAGAAAGGTTAGTAAACGATATAAAGAAGATGGAAAAGTAGGTGGAAGTAGAAGAGAGAGAGAGAGACAGAGAGACAGAGAGAGAGAGTGGAGGGAGGGGAGAGGGGAATGGAAAAGGACAGAGGGGTAGGCGGAAGGAAGGGAAAGCGAAGGGAAAGGCACAGGAGAAGAAAAAGGAGAAGGAAAGGAAGTAGAGGAAGTAGAGGAAGAAAAAAAAAAGGAAGCGGAAGAGGAAAAAGGGCGAATAATCAAAAGACACGTCGGAAGACGAAGGAGACGCGAGCGAGAAATAAGCACGGAAGATGGAAAGTAGGAAGCAAGAAGAAAAAAGAGAGAAAGCGAGAGAGAAACGAATGGATGGAGGGGGAATGACGAAGAGAGGAGGGGTAAAGCAATGTGTAGGAGAAACCCGCGCCCAGCCAATGCACTGGCGAATACACAACAAACCCCAGCGGGACGCCGTAGAAGAATTTCAAGCAAGTCACTCTGGGTAAAATAAAGCGTGATTTGGAAGCGCATGGATATTTGTAAATCGTCCTAACTAACACTCATTTTAGCGTAGGTTTCATTCAACATGGCGGTGCGGCCATCGGGAAAGAAAGCTCCCAAGGGTCTGCTGCCGTTACCGAGCGCAACTTACGCATCGCATTACAGCGCATCGTGGCATGCAATATATTTTATCAAATCTAGTTATAAAAAATATTCTTAGTCAATTCATATTACCTGATCTTTAATGGGTCCACTTTCCTTTGGATAGTGAATCACGAAAATACACTAGAGCACTATTCGAGTTCGGATGCACGCTTTCTCTCCCTGCGTTCGCGCTCGTGTCGCTGCTGTTATGGCTGCCGCTACGGCCGCAACCACTACCACAGCCGTTCTCGTCCTTCTCGTATTTATCCGTCGTTATCTTAATGACTGCCACCGCACTAATATACTTTTCGTAGTTGATTCAGTGATTACACCACACTGATGAAACACTCACCCACTCTCACTTGCCACAAATGAACACTCGTGGTACAATCTCGAAAGCATGCATCGGATAACGCAGTCCTGCAACTCCACTGCACCTCCTCTCCTTTCCTAACTTCCACACTTACTACGACTTGTAGTTCTTGCAATTCCTCTATTGCCGTTATTGTCGCTACTGTCGCTGCCGTTGCCGCCGCCGCCGCCGCCGCCGCCGCCACCGTCACCGTCACCGTCACCGCACCGTCACGACCACTACACTCTACCACCGACGCCTCCCGCCGCAGCCGAAGTCTTCTTCGTCTCTGATACTACTTCCTATGACGACCGCTATGAGTTTATGCATACAACAGTTTCTCTTGGAAATCTTGATTCACAATTTAATATGGATGATCGTCTCTCGCGTAAATATCCTCTCAATGGATCGTATAGAGTTACATTTACATTTTCTTACAAACTTGCACTGTCTAAAATCTTTTCTTCATCACGATCTCGTATCTAGAAACTTAACGATCGTACCACCAACAATGGCTACGCATTCTTACGCGACGTACCGGATGGTCCTGTTCCGAGTTCCTTCCGTAATACCTGTCTCGTCCCTCCCCTTCCCTCACTTCCTTCTACGGAAAACTGCTACGAACGTTCACGAAGTTACACGAAGCTTAGCGCGCCAATTCTGACTCATCCCAATGTATACAAATAATTACCCTTTTTGGTTAATGAGAAAATAATAGTATTCTTTTAATGAGAAAATAATTGTATTCTTGTAATGAGAAAATAATGTTTATTTAATTTTTTTCTTCTAGAAAAAATATAAAATAGTAAATTTGTATTTTCGAGGATTCGTTGAACGTTCGCTAAGATTCCGTCGTTCTTTATGACCCACGTGGTGAAAGTTTCTTCTTTCCCCCTTACTTCGTAAACAAATAATGAATAATCCGAATGGAATGCGAACGTATTTATGAAAACATTTACTTGTTTACTCGTTACGGTACCTTATCATATGAGCTAGCTATCGTAAACTATCGAATAGCAGCTGTCGTACAATGTTAGAAGATAAGAAACGGAAGGGGCTCGGGTAAAATGAAAGAGAAAGAGAAAGAGAAAGAGAAAGAGAAAGAGAAAGAGAAAGAGAAAGAGAAAGAGAAAAGAGAGAAAGATTGGGAAGAAACAAGCATAAGTCTTCCTTAGTACCTTTTTATAATATTAAAATATGATGTGCGGTGGTATACGATGTGTAACACGTTTATAATAATCATACATATTCGCTCTATAATATAAGAATGCGCTTTATTAACCAATCCAAAAATCAACGGTCAATTTCCGTCGTTCCATATTCACCCATAATGCCTTTTGGTACATTCCAAATAGAAAGGAATCCGCGTTTGAATCGTTGAGAAAAGATTTTATGTCGTTCAATGAAATATGTAAATAAATAGGCTGTTTCTGATAATTAGTTGTATCTTGTAAAAAATGTTAGCCCGCCTTATTAATCGGCGCGCAAATGTCGGTCCGATTCCGCGATTCTTCGATTAAACACAATGCATTTAGGTAGCCGAGGACAAAATCTATAACGGCTTTAGCCAAAAGTATAAGACGAACGGTATCAATGACCCGTTACAACGTAAACGCCACTAAGATTTAATGTATGGATAGCATAGGATGCACGTGGTAAACTTTACGCGGGTTCGAGATAGTATTATTCCATTATGACGCGTCCTACACTCATTCCGATAGTTCCGTTACCTATATGTCAAGATGGCGGTTGTACTAATTAATGATGGACCGACCTTTGCTTCCTCAATCACCCTGCCACACGTAACGCAAAACTTTTTATCGATGTTATCGTTTAGAGACAAATTTTTACTCGAAAACGATATTAACATCACTAGGGTGACGACCCGCACCAAAATCTACTACGTATTCGCTACACGTCGATCAGATATCGTGAACGCATGACACGGTACTACGGAAGTCAACTACGCGATCCAATAGTTTCCTTTATAATTTCTAACTAATATATCTTTTAATTAAATAATCACGATTTAAAATGACAATTAATCTTTTCTTTTCAATTTACATTTGTAATTAATTCAACCAGCTAATTTTTACACGAACGACTTATAACACTATTACTAAAGATGGCGTGCGTTTCCATAAAGGACAGAAAATCACTTTTCAACTAGACACATTTATGTCTTTCACCGATCAAATTATCATAAAAATCGCGGATATGTTTAAATATAATATTTAATATAAGAATATATTTGGAAAATCATTTAATAAACCGTTCCGTTATTAATATGTCATACGCATACTTGACGACAACCATTTTTCGTTTGAATGACGTCAGAAGTAATACAAGAGTCAAAAGTCGTCTATTGTTAACGTAGTATTATCGATGCATTGCCTCCTTGTATTTCCGGTCGAATATCGCATCTTCTTGTTCCGGTTAGCGATTGGTTTTCGTCAGAAGCGTCCTCTATCGTGGACCAATCAGACGAATAGTAAGATATTGATGAGTCATTGTCCCTCAACTCTTTCTTTCCTTCTCTTTTCAGTAAATTTCTAATCTTTTGAAAAACATTATGGCATTCGTCATTTATTAAGTACATTGAATTTTATAATAAAAATCATTATATATAAATGCATTTATAAATTCATTTTATACAAATTTCCTAAAATAAGATTCAAATTTGTCTTCCAAGGAAGGAATATATAAAATATTACATTTAAATAATGTACACATATGACTTAACACTAGACGAATATTTCTATTATTTATAGATCATATAATTAATTTATTTCTTAAACTATATTCCAAACTTCTTCAAAAGCGGTGCACAATTTACTACATGTTACTGCACCCGAAAGAGGGTAGTTACTGATAGATATAGTATCTTCCGTATAATCTGTTTGTACCTAATGAATAAACAAAGATCATTTTTATTATAATAATGAATAAATAAATAATGTCTTTAAGAGATATATAATATTTACTTGTCCATGTGCCATTGCTCCTACAACTATAGCGATTGGTTCTTCCGTTGGCACTAATTCTCTTGGATTTTTTATTGTTTTCGAACTAAATGACATAAGGAGTTTTTTACAACCAACTGGAAGATGATTCGTACATGGATTTTTAATAACCTTTAATAACTTCATCGGTCCATCTGATGCTCTGACACTGTATTTGTGTAATAGTTGTACTGTAACAAAAGCGATAAATATATTTTTTAATATCTAATTCTATATAAATAATAGAACATTGAATTTTGTAAGAAAGATAGGTTTATATTATACCCATAAGACCAGCAAATCGTTTGAACGTTCTTGGTATCCTTGTTTGTGGGTTCACTTCGATCAATACATTTTTTTCAGTATGTATATAAACTTGTAGAAGGCCTGCTCTGTTTAAAGGACTATCCATCAACATTAGTAAACACTGATGCGTTATATCTGGTCTACACGAGCCAGGTTCTCGATTATTCTTTTTTAATATACTTAAATGGTCATCGCAATTCAATAATTCAAAACTATTACCAACCTGTATTGAAATAAAAACACGTGGTTAAAAAATACAGTAAAAAATGTGTGTAATTATTAAAATTATAGTAGAAAGTATGTGTTAATATTAATAAATCTTACAATAAAGAATATTAAAATACTAATAAAATGAATAAATTTGAAGTAATCTTACCTTAACCGATTCTAATTGTGCATTTTCTAAAATAATAATAAGACGTTTTTCTTGATTTTTAATATGTGCTACATGAAGATGCTTAGGAGAAGGATCATATTCAAAATCATCCTTTTCCTCACGATTTTTTCTTTTCTGACCCATTATTAACAAATTCTTAACTGCACAGTACTAATATTTATGCAGTCTACACTTGCATGCTTCTAAAGAGTGAGGTTAACTCGCAGCATACTACACATCTGTTATTATCGACCTTGCGTACTATCGACTTTGGTTCGATAGTTCGATTTATGCTTCGATTCGATATTTCGCAATACGATAGTGCACATAATACATATGGCATACACTATATGATTATAAGAGAATATATAATTGGTATTAATTATATTTAAGTAATATAAGAGCCATAAAAATAATGTCGCAAAAAGTTTGAATTAAAATATGGTTTTATAAAATTTAATAAGAGAACAACGAGTAAACTTATTTCTTATACAGTGAAATATCTTTCCTTTAATTTCTCAACCAATAGTAGAAGAGAAAGGATATCACGCGGTATATTAGAATATTTTTTAAAGATTTTATTTTCAGCAACTTGTTGCACAACTATAATTGTAAGTCACAATTAATCCAATTATTTCGCATTACATATTTCCACTTTAGTAACGTAACTTTCTAAATAGATATTTTGATAATTCCACTGAGAGAGGAAATATTTACATTTATTTACAAAATATATATCGTATTGTTGTAAATTTACAAAATTATATTTCAGTTTAAATCTATTTTTTTTTAGAACTGTTTAGGACAAGTATTTGAAGTTAATCGTACGATACATATGTTATGTTAATGATAATATAATCTTAATTTTCCCGCCAGAATAAACACGACTGGTGTCGTACGTACAATTATGTAAGTTATATCATAATTTATAATTTGTTATATTTTTGTTTGTAATTTACATTAATGTATTTCCTTTGTATATCAGTCTGTTATCCGTTCATTGTTGAACTTCTTAAGTTGAAGAATAGTTTATGATATATCAGCATACATGTATATATACATATACTTTTCTTGTAAATAATTGTGTATTATTAATTTCAATTAATAATCATATTTAGATTTGATATATACTTTATTTGAATATCACAATATGGTAATGTAAATGTAAAAAAATAAGAAATGGAAATAAAAAGTGTAATATATAAATGTTTGATACCATGTATGTTTAGAACTCTTTATCTGAAATATAAAATCTTTTTTATAGATGTTAGCTAGAACAAGCATTTGTGGAATATTAACCAAACCAACAACTTATACTAATACGCTCAGAATTATTCAAAGCTATTCTGCTGTGATGTCGAAATTTGAATTACCAAGTCGTTTTAAGGGCAATGACAAATCTGTCTGGTAATTAACAAACACTTTTTAAATTAATTCAATGATTTCAATATAATATATATTTATAAAACAACTTTTTCTTAGGGTTGAATATATTCAACTTGCCTTAAAATATAAGCCATTAAATTTGGGTCAAGGTTTTCCTGACTTTCACGCCCCTGAAAGTATTACAAAAGCTTTAGCTTCTACTGCAAATAGCCAAAATCCTCTTCTTCAACAATACACACGAGGTTTTGTAAGTATTTTATAAATATGATACAAGCGTCGAGTTCTTTAATATCAATTGAATTTTAACAGGGACATCCAAGATTAATCAACGCTATTGCAAAGTTGTATTCTAAACTCTTAAAGCGTACTTTGGATCCAAATAATGAAGTTCTTGTTACTGTTGGAGCTTATGAAGCATTATATACCGCATTGCAAGGCCATACAAATCCAGGTGATGAGTGGATTATAATCGAACCATTTTATGATTGTTATGTTCCAATGGTTCGTATTGTTGGTGGTATTCCTAGATTCATACCCTTAAAACCGGTAAGTGAAATTTTAATAAAATAATAGTTAAGGTTTAGTTTTATAAATAGATATCTTTTATATTGATTATATTAATGAATGTTATTTTTGAAATTGTATCATACAGAAAAATACTAATGGTCCACTTAGTTCTGCTGATTGGACATTCGATAAGAAAGAATTGGAAAAGCTTTTCAATGAAAAAACTAAAGGAATTGTAATCAATACACCAAACAATCCTATTGGAAAAGTATATACATTAGATGAATTACAATTTATAGCAGATCTTGCCAAAAAGTGGAATACTCTTGTTGTGTCGGATGAAGTTTACGAATGGATTGTTTATGGATCCAGTCAACATGTTAGAATAGGTGATAATTTCATTGACATAATAAAATTGCTATAGTAAGATGATTTTAATAAGCATTTTATCATATTTTTAGCATCATTACCTGGCATGTATGAGCGAACTATTACCATTGGATCTGCAGGCAAATCATTTAGCGTTACTGGTTGGAAAATAGGCTGGGCATATGGACCGGCCAATCTAATGCACAATTTACAAATTGTACACCAAAATGTAGTTTATACTTGCTCGACTCCAATTCAAGTAATATTATATAATTAATTATTATAAATTCTATTTATATACATGAATATAATTATGAAACATATAAAAAAATATTTAACGAGTAGGAGGCCGTGGCACTTGGTTTTGAAGAAGAGATGGAAAGATTTGATCAACCCAGCTGTTACTTCTTCAGTTTACCAAAAGAATTATTACCAAAACGAGATTATATGGCCAAATTTCTTAGCGATGTGGGAATGTTGCCTACTGTCCCGGAAGGTGGTTACTTTATGATAGCCGATTGGACAGCTTTAGAGAAAAAGGCTAAATTGGAAGAAGAAACGGATGATAATAAAGATTATAGATTTACTAAGTGGATGACTAAAAATGTTGGTCTTCAAGGTATTCCTGTATCCGCTTTCTATTCATCTGAACACAAACACTTAGCCGAAAACTTTGTACGATACTGTTTTATAAAGGTATTTAATTAATTGTAATCACATATATAATAATGCATTATTCAAAACATAATGGTCGTATCAAATTTGTTTACAGAAAGATGAAAACTTGGAAAATGCAGCCAAAATTTTGATGGAATGGAAATCAAAATCATGATAACATTATCTCTCTTTTTTACATTTTTTCTTTTTTTAAATATTGTGAAATATTTGGTTATATACTTAATTTGTATTTATATGTTTATATATGCGTAAATTGTACTTGTTATGTATATTACCCTTGTTCGTCAATTAGTTATATTATTAGAAATTTATGTAGAAAAATCACCTCGGAGCCATCTCTTTGCATCTTTGGTATCAGCACCAAATGTTTTACCAAATCTAAGAGAACATATATTTATTAAAGAAATGATAATGAATGAGAGAAAGAAAGATATAAATAAAAAATTACCTAAATATCTTTCCGGGAACATGACCAAGATAATTAGGTAACAGACCAACGTGTTTATGATAAATTTCAGTTGATTGAATAAGAAGAGGGGGATCAGGTTTTGAAATTGTTACAGGTGCCCATTCGGTGCTTTGCCGATGTCGATAATTCGAAGTAAAATCACAAAGTGCGCTATTAGTAGCAGGTACATTGGTTGCTCCAAAGTGTGCATATCCATATGGAATATGTCCAGCATATCCTACATTGACAACAAATTAATATCACTCGTTTGAAATTTGTTTTTAAAATTGTAATTGCAATGTTTTCTCTACGCACTTCTTACGGTTTGTCTAATAAAAGAATAACGCGTTCGATTCTCGCTACTCGTAAGAGTCATTTTGCAATTGCAACACATACGAATATAAATATAGTAATAATTATAAATTTACATTGTATGATAGAATTTGTTTAAACTAATTATTATGGACCATAGAAACGGTAAAAATCGCAGATCGAAACAGCCGAATTACGCTACTAATTTAGAAGACAAATTTCTATTTTGTTCTCATTCTTTTTTTTTTTTTTTTTTTTTTATATAACGATACTTGCTGCTAATAAAATATTTTTCAGGGTTCGCATTATCCATAAAGTAAGGGGAGGGAGCATGATCTCTTGGAACTTCGTACTGTTCATCTACTGGCAAGTTTCTCATAACTCCGACGCAATCGGGACGAACGGTGATCATAGGTAATTTGAATTGACTTTCGATTAGCTAAATAAAAAATCAATTATCGCAAAATAATGAAAATTTGGATTTATAGACATGTTAATGAAAGTTAGACGTTACCAAACGATCTTTCAAATTTCGCGGTTCACCTCTTCCGCTTTGTAGAGCAATTACTGTTTCGAGTTTATTAAGAGCTTCTTTATTTTTAATTTGTTGCCTTTCAAATTCGGCTAATCCTTCGGTAGCGAGTACCGTGTATCTTTGTCCGCAATTTGCATTGATATTTGGTACAAAACCTGTTGCAAGGAAAAATCAAAATAATTGATTTTAATCGTTCGAATATCGAAACCCACAAATACCTTCGTAGCCTGGAATAGTTGGATGAACATAAATGGGATCTGTTCTTTTAAATCGCGAATTGACGATGTCTATGTCATTTTTAGGAGGCCTGCTCACCTGTTTTATCAATAACAATTTATTTTTAATTTTAGTCTTACTCTTATTAATACAAAATAAAATAGTGTATAACGTTAACAAGGAAAATGACACATTACATTTAATAGAAATACCGTGATAACTTTACTTGATAATCGTCAGTGGCACGATTCGATAAAACAAGCGTTTCCGAATGATTCACGTTAGGATCGAGAAGAAGTTTATGGGTGAGACTTCCATAAGTTTCTCCGCATCGATAACGATATTGAGGGGAAAAACCGGTATATCTAGGAGAAATATAAATCATTCAACTTTTTCTTCGCTAATCTTATTTTTGTGCAAAAATATTTTTTTTCTTTTTTTTTTTCTCTTTCGAGGTTAACGACTTACCCTGGTATAAAATGTGGTTCTGGTGTTTCTAACAATTCTACACCAACGGTCATATTTGTAGATTCTTTTCAAAAATGTTTTAATTCAATTAATTCTAATTTATTTGAACTGAAATTTCATATTATTTTTTTTTTTTTTTTTTACATGTTATCCGACATTTATCGATGTACTATCAATTTTGTAACGGCGTCGTCATAACTACACTTTGTTATTACGTTCGATATAAAAAGGGTGCGAAGATATTTTTGATCAAATTTTCACGAGAATCATAGACGGGACGAACATTCACGCGCAATCCATAGACGTGAATCATACTGTCATGTTTTTTTTTCTTTTTCCTTTTCTTTTCCACATGGAGAATGTTCAATTTTTAATTGACGACGATAAAAATAAACTAAATAGTATGATTATCTGCTTAGACATCCTGTTTCACGGTTGCTATTGCCACGAACGAAGAATCAAACCGGTTTGATTCTGTCACGACTGATTGTGAGTCGTGGAGGTGTTGACACCGCAGGCAATCCTTGCGATAGCATGTTCACACGAGTCTCTTAGTCTATGAAACCGTAATTCACCTTAATATTTTCCATACATATCATCTATCCCTTGATATCACGCACCGAAAATATCAAGTTGATCGTCGAAGTTGTTTGAAGTGTTCTTTAATATTTTATTACAAAAACAAACCAACGAATGATCTTGATTGACAAGCAAAGATAAGCACCAACTCGAATCTTTTAACAATTTTCGATGAACAACGAATTTAATGAATTACCTTATAATTGATTGCCAAGAGAGAGGGTGACCACCATGCATACACACACATATATATATATACATAGGATCAAAAGAGGGAGAGAAAAAGGGGGGAAGAGGGTACATTCATTGACAGAGTAGGGAGGATACGTTGCGTGCACAAATGGGAGAAGTTGTGGGAGTAACGTTTCGCTTTCCAGTTTTCGTAGGACTACGGACATGGAAAGAACTTACTAAGTAGTTACATCTACGCATTTTTACATCATTTTTATAGTAATGGTCATTAAATTTTACAAAAACAAAACAAAATATTCATATCATTAATCGTCGATCTATTTTGATCTTATCTAATAGATATTGTTAGAAGAGTAGCATTTACGTAACGGGGATCGACTTTTATTTCTAGTTTCATATCGATCGAAATCGTAGGTCACTAGTAATCGAGCCTTGAATCAATACTGTGAATAATAAATAAATAATGCGTTAAGAAGATAGACAATGAGTCGCAAGTTTAGTGATGCAACACGCACGATGGGAATAATTTTATGCGAGAGACATGTGGCCTCGTCGAGAAACCAATTCCATCTTCTACGTGGATTCGGATTACGAATCCATCGGTTTTACCAATGCCAAGGTACAGTTTTTTTTTTTTTTTAAATTATTCAAATAATAATACATTAAATACGATTACTTTGTCTTTTTTTTTTTTTAATGTTCAATGATTCTATTGCATATAAATTGATAGATTCACGTACAAATATATATGGAACGCGTTCTATTTTCATTTATCACCTCACGCATGATTCTTAATCTCTTTATCTCTTATAATCGTTCCCATCAACCAATCGTGATAACGAGTGCAAACATATACATATACAGGGTAATTGTTATATAGAAATATTGTAATATTAAGATTTAGAGAAAACGATTTAATCATATGCATTTTCTCTCGAGACATCTAATACACATTTGTTCAAATGAAATTACATGAAACTGCGTATCGCTTTCCACACATTGTGAAAGGTATAGAAAAAAACAATTGCTTCCCCTCCCTTTGTAGATAACGAAAGAACGTTGGAAAGGTAACTTTTCGAAGTAACACGCGTGCAACGGTTCGCCGAATTCGTGAAAATCCTAAATGTATAATATGATCGTCTTGATGGTCATCTTGTCCCCTAATTACATCATTCATTTAATAATTACAATTAATAAAACATTAGATCGTTAAATTGCGTTCTAACTCGTTAACACTGGTAGATAAGAAAATGAAATCTTGATTTATATCAAACAGGAAGATTGCAACCGACTACCGAGATAACAATCCTTAGGCTTGGAGAATTGACCAGGTGCGACGAGGGAGGGGGGATCAGACAGAAACGATTGTTTGCGTCTCTGTGTTTTCACACAATCATGTTCTCTTAGCGCGTGTCGGAGGAATAATAAAATGTTCTCTCTCATCTTTTTCTACCCTCGTTTTTTGACTCTTTGTTTAGCGAGAACCCTGAGCTTCTACAACTACTACGAGCGGAAATGTTATTATCGCGTATAGTGCGTTGCCAACTGTGGGTGTAGGTAGCGCGTATTTATTTTTTTATACAGGAATGATCACGTAAGCACAATTTAACCTCTCGCATTCTCCGAATCCTTTCGTGATAAATCGGTGCTCCACAAGTTTCAACCTTAAAAGTTAAGTTAGGTAGCGATTTCTAGTTTACGGTCTTCTCTACATCTCACCGACAGCATTCCAAGCACCCGCACTTCTTCAACGTACATATTTCATCCTGTCACAATCGTCGCATTTTCGCAATAGTTATTCTGGATAAGAAGATATCTACTCTATATAATACACTCATATACGAAAGGGAATGGTAGCAGTTAGTCTTAAAAAACATCCATTTTTATAATACACGTATACCTTATGTTTAATCCTTTGCACTGGAGTGGTTATTCATGGTCACCACTCGGTTTAACACGATAATTCCGATAAACTGAGGTGAGTTAAGAAGGATTGCGAGCTTTGCACCGAACTGACGTCTTTCCACATATTACTGCGATACAAAACAGCAATATAGAGCTTAATGTTTAACGAATGTCCTTCTTTGAAATCATTTGAAGATACCTGCAAGAAATTCAGTAAATATGCGGAAAATCGTCTCGGGAGTTGGTGATTTGACCGAACGAAAGAGGCCTCGCAGTATAAAGGGTTAATAGACGAAGACAACAAATTGTATAGAAGAAACCTCTAAGCCCATTATCTTGAATAAAGGGGGGAGCTCAATGATGCACTAACGGTCTTACGAAATCACGCACAACAAGCGTACCTTACCTTACTCATTTTGTGATCCCTTTGTAAAGAGGCGCGCGCGCGCGTGAGCACGTGCTCTCGTCACCTCGCCGTGCTCATACGAGATACGTGACTTTCATTGTATTATTCACCATAAAGAATACGCACACAGAGAAAACCAATCCAGCTGCGTAACTAGAAAAAGAAAATAGTCGAGTGTACATACTCTTTCTATGTGTTTTTATTCATTTTATTCATTTTATTCATTTTATTCTTCTTCTTCTTCTTCTTCTTCTTCCTTCGAGGCTAATGTCCCGACGTTGTGATTAAGCTTCTGTCTGTGTTGGTTGGGTTATACTTTTCTTGCATGGCACGTTATACGGGCGCTTTTACGCCATGGGGGAACAAAAGGAGGAAGCCGTTTACGTATACGCGAAGTCGTTACACACGAAATACGAACGACTTATCTTTCTTTATTTCTTTCTCTGACTCACCGTGCCTGGTACCTTGCGCACGTGCCTGATAGATAGATCTTTTACGACTCTTTCTCTTTCTAACATTTACATCAAAACCCTTTTCAATTTAATTTTAACTTGCTTCTCGCCTTTCTTTTCATCATTTTTTTTTTTTTTTTTTAAATGCCGTCTTTCTTTCCATTGAACGGTCATTAAACTCTTTTCAATTCTAATGTTGAGTTATACATGACAACTCGCGTTTCTTATACCTCCATATAAAAATCAATATTTTCTTTTGTTTACCTAGATAATTATTATATTTTTGTTTTCGATTACATTCGAATTAGAAGATTTTTTAAGTTAGCGCGAAATCGTTACCGCGTATTCGGAGCCAATGTGAGAACGGGTGGAAAGAAAAGGGTTGGAGTATGAAGGAAAAGGAGAAGGGGTAGTGTAAGAGGGAGGAAGCCAGAGGAGGGAGAAAAGACAGACAGAGAAGGCAGGGAGCTTTCACGAGAGGCACGAGCTATCAGTGTCGTTCGACGTTTTGCCAGCTGCGTTTCGTCATACCTTTTTTAAACTTCTTATTGCTTTTTGATAATCCTTTTGATAATCCTTCAAATACGATCACAATTTGACGAGAGAGTCAATGATTTTTGCTAACCGGTGTATTTGATAAAAGAAAATATTAAAAAAAAAAAAACCAAAATATTTGGCAATCATCGTAGAATCGTGTTATTGTGATTTGTGTTGGTATGTCCTATTAATAGTATCGATCTTTTTAATCGGAGAGGAGAATCATCGATTAAAATAGATGAATTAAATGTGCACGCGCGCCAGGTATCAAGAACACGTGTTCGAATATCGAAACAGCTTTTTCTAAGCTCTTGACAAACGTCATTGAAAATGTCTCCGATCGTTCAGATCTGATCAATAGGATCAAGAATAAAAGGATCGAAGGAATAGAAATAATCCTAGTCCGCATGATCGTCTCGACGATACTTTCGAGCGTGACGGCTTTCCATCGTCGACACTCGCACGATGCAGGACGAAATGCCGAACTGAAGGTGAGTTAACAAACGAAATTCTTCGATATTCCTCCATTAGTTTTGTTTTATTCTATCGACGCGTTAAAACGAGCAAAAAATTATTATTCGATATCTTCCAAGTCAAGGAGAGTGCTCGACTAACAGACGACCGGTGGTTGTTCTCTTCGGATTAAATTACTTCATTGATTATGATAAAGAAAATAACAACCGCAACAATAACAACAACTTTTTTTTTCAATGATAGTTTTGATTATTTGACGAAGGAATGAGCAAATCCTTCGTAAGTTCAAGGAGTCAATGAAACGCAAACGCAAACGGAAACCGGTCGACGGGTGGTCGAGAGAAGAGCCGCTCTGGATCTGCTCTTTGATCCATCTTCCTGCTTCTTCCCTTTTTAAAAGAGAGACAAAGATATATACAGACAGACGGAGAACAAAAGAGAATAAAAGAGAGAGAGAGAGAGAGAGAGAGAGAGAAAATGCCGGGGGAGATTTCGAATCGTTAATTGAGATCGTGCAACTCGTTGTAGCCAACTATTATACCGTTAGTATCGTCTACTTTTTCTTTTTATTTAATCTTACATTAGATATATTACTATATTATTATTGTTATTATTATTACTACTAATACTATCATACAATCATAATTATAATATTATAATACAGCATCGATCTATCATGAGTATATTTGTATTTGCATATGCACATGCAACTTATGTAATTATGAAAGTCTAAAATTGTGTAAGATATTATATAGCATTGCTGTTTGTTGCGTTGGCTAGCAATATCGTGTTTCATTGTTCATCATACTTATTATCAAGTGAATTTTGAATTTGTAATATTTTATATAACGTAGAATAAATTTGTAGGAGGATTGTAACCATTTAACAAAACCGTTATCCATTATTACACGACATGACGTTGGACCACGTAGAACGTTTAGCTTCGTTAAGAACAATTAAAAGTAACCAACGAACTGAGCATTCTTTAATTGGCACGCACACGCATAAACGTTCGACTTATACCAATGACTGTTCTTACAAAATGATGACTTTTATCTTACGATTAAACGTCAATCGGTTTAGAGATTAAGATTGGACAACAACAAAAAAAAAAAGAAGAAAAAAGTATTTAAAATTTGGTTGCTTTCGGTACTCTTTCGAGGGAGTAAAAATTAGTACGCATGGCACGGTCACCTGTACGCCTTTTGAATCGCTCTCGTAAAACAGGTTTATCGCATAAACGAGGACGGATAATAGCGTGCGAAGCGACCGTTACACGTTTACCCAGGTTTTTCGCAAAATTTGTCGTCTTCTCACGCGGACCTTCCGGATGCGCGGATTTACTCTCTCTGTTTCCTTCTTAAAAATCTTTAAGTTCTATTCATTTCTCCTAGGGACTAAATGAACGATTAGGGTGGATTATGCAGATCTTAAGGACAATGTTGTTTGCGAAGATCTTTAACTTTGTAGAATTTCCGTAGTAAAGTAAATTTCTCTCTGAGAAAAGCATCAATGAATGAATGAATGAATGAATGGGTCATTGAAGAGGGACGTGTCATCTGTTTAACGTCCACGTGACTAAACGAGTTTATAAGTTGGCAGATTGGTATTAAAATGCACGGTGGGTTCTCGGTATCGGTTAATTACGTCCTTCGATCTATTTATTTCAATTTCATATAGTATACTATAATAAATTATAAATAGAAGTAGGAAACTTTGAAAGAATTAACGGATCAAATGACAAAAAATCGATCATTCGTTTACGATTAAGTTAGACTATTGGAATTTGCAATCGTTGGGATTTCCTTGCAATAAAATGTCGTGAGAAAAAAGAAAGGTAGTTTAGTTGTAAGGAGGAGGAATGACGAGAAGAAGGTTTTTTTCTCGAGCACATGGAAGCACACGCGTGTGTCAACAGTTGTTAGTCACGTGGATGTCGCGGCGAGTGTAAAAGAGAGACACGAAAGAGCACGCGCGAGTCGTCTACTAATGCAGTAGGACTCTCGTGTGTGAGCTTATACTCGTGCTACCAACTTCTGTTAGCCTGGTAGAGTAACGATCAAGACGTTTGCGCAAATCGTTTGTTTCTTCAACTTCTCCAAAAAACGGACAGAGGGTACTCTAAATAATGTCAATCTCTTTTAGTAGTCCTATACCTTGTGCTATCCCTTTGCTATTATTTGACATTCAAACCCTTTCGGTATACTCTACATTAGTCATTTTTTAGTGTTGAAAATTTGAAGTAAATTTTTCAATTTCTACTAGTCTTTTCTCTCTCATTATGCATCGAGATAATGATAGTAAAGCTGAAGCTGACATCATTGAAGTATCTCATACCAGAAAGATGTAATTGCATCCAATGGTGGCATCTCATCGTTTATGCAATTTAATAGCTTAATATACAACAATCTAATTCGCGTTATGCAAAAGCACAGATTTACGAGTGAAACCGGATACCTCTTACAAGGGAAGAACCAAGTTGATAAGATACTGTTGCTTCCTTTAAATTTGACCACTTACAATTTGTATATTTTTTCCTGATAGAATTAAAAAAAAAAAAAAATACTACTTTACTCTTGTTAGTTCTGCATATGTACCTATGTACTTCTATTTAGTATATTAGGTAGAGAAAATATTAGAGCTTTTGCGCACAGATTTGCGGAACAAAGAGACGCCTACGCGCGCACTAAACCGGACGGCTGAGACTTTCTTTAGAAATATATGCGCAAGCGTTCTCTATTGTCACGGCGATCGAGTTCAAGGGCGTTGGCCCCGTACCCGATTCGAATTCACCATTTTTTCTTTTTCTTTTTCTTTTTCTTTTTCTTTTTATCATTATCATCGATCATTCATCATGTCTGTCGACGTATGCTTGCTTGATCGAATCGAAAAACCCTCCAGTTGTTTCTGAAGAAGAGTAAGAAGAATATCAAAAGGATGATATTTAACATTACTATTTGTCTTCAAGCTATAATTACTAACAAAAATAATTATTACATTGATGCATTTTTTAATTTACATCCCTATAGATTGAATTGCTACATAGATCGATAATATTTTGTATAAATTAATAGATAAAGTATTGCATAGAACAACAGTTATTGGCATATATTGGTATTTATAAATTGGAAAAAAAAAAAACAAACAAACAAATATCAACTAGCGTCGATGATCGAAAGAAAGTTTTAGGCGAAAGAGGAAGACGATGATTACGGATGATCACTATAACAGTCAATCTGTTAACAAGGCAAGTAAAGTGAGAAGAAGGTGTGCACGCAAAAGTGTCGGGGCAAAGACTTGCGTCGCGCGCGCCTTTCCATCGTCGTTGATACCGCGCCGTTTATTATCGTCGTTCCTCTCGTCATAGTCTTCGTCTCCGTCTTCGTCTTCGTCGTCGTCGTCGTCGTCGTTGTCGTCGTCGTCGTTGTCGTCGACGTCGTCGACGTTAACTGGCGCAGACGTAATGCCACGCGTGTATCCGGAGATCAGAATGCAAGTGGCACGCGCGCAAATCAACAAGCCGAAAGAGTTTCGCGCCATGCGCGTCATCGATACACGCGCGCAATTTCAACTAATCGATCATCTACGCGATGATCCTATCTCAACATTTTCAAATAATTCCGATCAAATTGAAATACCTATCTAAATACGAGAGAAATACAAACTCGTACTTATATGTTACTTTGACTTTAGTATTTAATGATTGTCTACATTTTCAATTGCTTATTATCGATGAATTCTCTTACAGTAATTATACTTTCGAGCGTCTTCGAAAGTGGGTCTTGCCTCGCTGCTGCTGCTGCTGCTGCTGCTGCAAAAAGTTTGCCATGCCCCGATTTACATTTGATCGTAATTAATACACGCTAATAACATTGCCAAATATAATTTGTACATTTTCCTAAAATAGAAAACTTAAATACATATACATATATATATATACATATGAATTTAGAAAATATAATAGAACAGAAAAGAAAGAAGGAAAGAAAGGAAGAAAGAAAGAAAGAAAGAAAGAAAGAAATAGCAAGAAGTAACTTTCGCTCCATATCGGTTGTAATTGCGAAAACTAGGTCCGTCGTTTGTATTTTTGTCGTGCGTTCTCCACGCTTCGCTGCGTCACTCTTTTCCTCTCCCTTTCCCTCACCCTCTCCTGCATGGATATAATAATCTAGCAAGAAAAGGTAGCTTGCATATATAAACTCTCGAGCATGCGTTATATATTTCGCTTATGAACGCATATGTTCGCTAAAGTCCGCCTTGAACTTTCGAAGAAAGTTTCACATTTTTGTCCAATCCGTTTAATGAAATATGTAAGTACGCATTTACGCGTGGTACTTACACGCTTTAACACACGCGAAGTAAGATTAGCGAATTTCATGTTCGATTGGAAGGAAGTAGGTCGACGTCTTAATATTCCTTTTGTTACCGCATTCCATTCTATCTAATTTTAATCTAATGAAATTATCAACGTCGCTATTTTTATCTACTTTCAATACACGATTCAATACGAAATAGTATAATCACGTAATTAAGATAACTACTTAGACCAATATCAAAAGAATAAATCTGATAATAAAACTAATTTGATACACGATCATTCTGTTTGACTATTTACTTTTCAAATTGTTAACAAACTTCTCCATCAAATCGCGTTATATTTTTTAACGAGAATCAATTAAGGAAACTTATGTGTAATAATTGACCATGTCCCAGTTTAACAGATATCTCTCTCTCTCTCTCTCTCTCTCTCTGTATATCTTTAGTTGCTATTTTTATTATCGATTAAAGTTTCTCTCTTATGCATTAATGTTATTTTTCTCTTACAACGGATGGAACGCGCATATACTACGCTATATGCTTTCGTCGACGATTATATTATGCGAAATTGTCGCTAAGAAACTATAAAAGATTTAAGAAAGCGTAACAAACACTCTAAGAAGTTGCTGGCTAACTCGGTAAATAAATCCTCTACGTAGTCAAATAGTTTTCACAAATTGTCACAATAGTTGGCAAAAGTTGTTCCTCTCATATTTTCTAATATTTCTAATATTTCTTATAGCAAATTATTAATGCCAATTTTAGCCTTTGTTAACGATGATGGATTGTACTTTTCTCAAGATGAAAATAATCGTCGCACATCTTTGCTTATCTTCTTGACATTTCCACGAGAAGGAAGGTGGGGGTGGAGAGAGAGAGAGAGAGAGAGAGAGAGAGAAATAAACTTAACATAAGCATCTCGATATTTTCATTGACCCAGTATCGGTAATATTTACGGTTGTATACGTAAACGGGACGAGAATCTTTGTCTTCTCTTTGATACACGATCGCTATATGTAAAAGAAGTTATTGTGCGTGCACAAGATCCATCGGAATTTTAAAAATAAATCCACCTACTGTCATTGATCATTGCGCAAGAAGTAAGATGTATATGCAAGGTAATATTTAAAAACATGCTACGTAGTAAAAAAAATTAAACGACAATCAATATTGCTCTGATCAAATAAGCCTGTTTCTAACAATAAGACAATTATATAGATGCTATCGACGTTAATAAAAATAAAAATAAAAATAAAAATAAAAATAAAAAAACAAAACACAAGGATTTTAGTTAAATAAGACGTTAAAAAAAAGTCGGAATATTTGCACGAGTTTCACAGTTATATCTCTTCCTTGGTAGATACATATATATGCATAAATGCATAAGTAAGTTTAACAGAGTTTCATAGTTAAGCGTAATTCATTGTTTGTTCTATCGTGCTAACGTCGTATTCATTGCGGTTACGTATTTCCTTCCTTTAGCCGATAGTTAGAACACGATCGTAGGTAACAATCAGCCGAGACAATTTTCAGTCACGTTGTAAGCCGTTATCAGGAAACTCTATCGATTATATTCTTCTTTCTTCTCCCAACCGTTGGCCATATGTTACTGTGTACATACGTTTGTACGATATCGTTTTATAAATACAATGGAGGATTAAAAAAAGACCGATATTCTACTACGATTTTCGGTTAGTTCATTCGATCCTCGGTAGATCCTTCACCTATTCAAGCACTCGACCGAAATTATCTTCAGATTAGATTTAGTAATATTACGAACGAAGAAAAAAGATTATTAAGAGAAAGTATGCAATTTTGGAGAGAGGAACAAAAAAAGAGAGAATTTCAACGAGAAAGAGGGAAAGAGAAAAAGAGAAAGAGAACTCTAACGTCAGCAACGAGCAACTTTATCCTTATCGCATTGGAGACTAAGGAGATAAGGAAAGTGGCTGGTCAGACGAGAACGAACAGTACGATGTTTCTTTTCATAAATCGTGTAGTCTCGTCGTCTGCTCTTTTTAGAGTTGGTCGATAGTTATTTTACGTGTTTTGTCAACCTATCAAAAGTGACTCTAATGAAAATTCTTTATCTCTTTTGGCATAGTAAAAGAAACATAATAATAATAATTTGAATCGCTGAATCATCGTGTTCTCGCTAATGTCATCGATCGAGTGATTCGTGTAGACGTAATGGATAACGCATAATCGGTGATAAAAATAAAAGACAAAAAATAAAGTAAAAGAAGAAAAGGATATACGCGTTCAAGGTGTTATAACAAAATTACAAAGTGTAGATAGATATACTATCATTTAGTGATAATCAATTTTCTCGCGGATCATGTAACAAGAGTCTTTTTTTTTTTTTACTAACGTCTCAATGAATACACCTACACGTAACGCACACACATGTTATTTACGCGTATATATCATGGATGATATCGACTAGAACTTGTTAAATGATTCCACGAACATACCTTGGAGAGTGTATTAGAAAAATGTACGTTCCATTGGACGTGATACCGCTACATCATCTTCCGTATCGTCGCCGTTACTAATTAATTCTAGCCAATTAACACCAGGAAAGCTTGGCAAGCTACTTGAACGTCTCCCCCGGAGTCACGACGACCTTGCTCGTAAATTATTTAATTTCTTTTAACTTTGAACGTTGCAACGCGGGAGAAGAAGGAGCATCTTCCTTCCCTTTTTACGTTTCTTCGATCGCAGTAAAATTGTCGAATCTATTCGCTTCCTCAAATACATAAACTAGAACATATTTGCAAGTATATATAATACATGGATATAGTAGTATCCGGAGAATCTAAGCTTCTTCTTTTCTTCCTTTCTCTTTCGCTTTCGCCTTTGCCTTTGCCTTTGCCTTTGCCTTTGCCTTTGCCTTTGCCTTTTTCTACGTGCATAAAATCACGTTTCTAAACGTATCTTCATATACTTGCAAATTTTTCTTATTTCCTTGACATAAACGATAACAAGCACCGGGCGGGATGAGTTAAGATTAGAGAATATTGGAAGCGTAAAGTTTATCGACGATCCATGAAACTATCGAACCCGTCGATCTTACCCTTGGGAAATCGTGCAGCACGAATTGGCCATGGAACAACTACAACGGTCAACAACCATTGGCGGCTCGTTTCTATTGCATTTATTTACTAAACATCCAAACTAACGGAAAAGAAAAGATGATACGCGCCGCGTTAACGTTTCGCTAAATTTCTTATCGATCTTGTTACGTGTTTTGAAAAAAAAAAAAAAAAAAAAAAAACAGGGTCAAAGTCGAAAAGAAAAGACAAGCAAATTTTCTCTACTTTAGATAACAATTGAATTACAACCAAATATCTTATACGAAAAGTTGAACTATTTATGTGAAGTGTTTGTGATAGATTTAAAGGGAGAGAAAAAGAAAAGCAAATTGCATCAAGGATGTCGTGCAGAAAGAAAATCGATTCGAAGCTTTGGCTCGATTACACGCAGGCGGTAAGCTTACCTTCCCCTTCTTTTTACTCTATTCTCTATCTATCTCTCTCTCTTTTTTTTTCTTTTTCTTTTTCTTGTTTTCTCTAGTATTGTTCACCAACTAGCTATTCGTGCATCGTGATAACAGTTATCTACTACAAATTCCATATTAAGAGACTGGGATCTTACAAGTAACGAGTTTCTAAGGTAACGGAGTTAATAAATCGATTTGACGTTATCGTGGAAAGAGAAAGAGAGAGAGAGAGAGAGAGAGAGAGAAAACGATCGAATAGTTTTACGAGTGGTGCTAAGATTCATTGTGTGTTAGTTAACAATAATAGGATAATTTTGTAGAAATAAATGCAATGAAAATTACGATGTAAAACTGTGAGAATAAACGGGATGTATGTCATATAAGCTATAGACACAAAATTACCATAATCTATTATGAAATAATTAAAAGTATAACTTTTGATCGATGATCGTTCCTTCGTGATTTTTATATAAAGAATATTACGGAGTCTAAAGGAGTGTTAAGTTCCCCCATAAAAGTATGCATGCATTTAATGTGTAGACAGTATAACAAGGAAGCTGATCACACACAAGGCATATTAGGTGTAGTAAATAAACCGGATGGACGATATGCGTTGTTCATAACGATTACCATGAACGATAGTGTAATTCAAATACACCGAGGACATTTATATAAAGAAAAACAAATTTGCATTAGGAACAATTGTTACGATACGACCAAAGAGTTATTCATTTTTGTTAGATGAAGTTGAACGTGTCACATCCTTTTCTAAAGAAAGAAAGAAAGAAAGACAGAAAGAAGCGAAGACGACACAACACAACGAGTGTATCGTAAAAAGTATGCCAGGCCAAGCCAGGCCAAACTATACCACCTAACAGAACCGTACAGCGGTCAACAAAAATGGCCTATATTACGTAGCACGAGGACTTTCTTGTCCACTCGACCAAGTCTCTTTCCTATTTTATTCCAAATTCCTTCTATTTTAACAAAGATTTTATTCTGCCGTAGAACGTAACATTTGAAATCAGTATTATTAAAAATTTGAAGAAATATTATTAACAAATTGAAACGAACTATCTGAAAAGGTAGAATTGAAATAAGAAGAAAAGTGTGGAAAGAAAAGAGAAAATGTAGATTCGATGAAAAATAAAGGGGAGATAGCGTGAATGCAAGCCATTTCTTCTATTCGCTACTGTAAGTTAGTACGGTTGGCCTCGCCTAACCACGCGTGCAGTCGTCGTCTCACCTCTCTGCTGGCCTTTATCGAATCCCCTCCCTCTTTTTCTCCACATTTACCTGTCTCTCCCACTCTTACTCTCTTTTGAGCGAGTCGACTGGTCGCGCGAGTAGTTCCACCACAGGATTCGTGCGATTCCGTTGTTTTTCGTTCTCTCTTCTACCCTCTCTCTCACCTTTTGCATGGACTCGCGTGCGCGCCTGCGCCAGGGACAAAGAAATGTCAGCACCAGTAGTAGCAACATCAACAGCGGTCTTCGAAACGTTCCTTTGGAAGAAATAGATACGAAAATATAAACAGAGAATAGTTTACAGTGCGTTATGTGTGAGACAAATAAAAGAAAAAGGTCCTTCGTCTGGTTTTAACATTCGACGAGTTTTCGAGGAAGTTCGGCTGTCCTCGAGGGCCTTCGTGTGTTTCATTGGGTAAACTGACCGGCGTCCTATCTTTCGTCCTCTTTCACACAAACACAAATACATACGCGTATAGTCAGGCCAGGTTTTATTAGTGCTCGAGGCCGAAGGAGACGAGTCGCGCGACGAATGTGCCGAGGACGAGTACCGAGGACGAGTGCCGACGGCAGAATGTCGTGTCGCTTCGAAATCGGATGAAATTCGATCAATGCGCGCGGTTGCACGCGTTCTTTTCGTCGATCCTTTTCAAATTTCATTACAATCGAAGGGAACAAGATCGTGCGATCGTCTTCTGTTTCTTCCAAACCCGAAGTCATCAAGGTGAACATCTAAAAATGTACAAAAATCAAATTATAAACGATTTCATTTGTACTATGAAAAAAGAGGAGGGAAAATATTGCAATAATTTAGGATGCAAACATGGGATGCAAACAGCGATGATTAATTTATCGAGCACCAATTACATTGATTTTATCGGCAAACGAATCGGCAAATGAATCGGCAAATGAATCGGCAAATGAATCGCTTGGAATGCCAATTAAAATAACGTTGACTCGGTGTAATGCATTATCGGTTTAACACAATATACATACCACATTTGCATCGTCCCTGATTTCCTCGAAAAATTGACCAATGGCCTTATAACGTTTATCGCGAATGACCCCGTTTCGAAAGTCATTGATTGCACCGGTGCACCGGTGCCATCGCGAGATATTCCTCGAACAAATTTGTGTATTATACGCTGATATAAATGTCAGAATTGTTTTGAAATCGATCATTATATCAAAATCGTAATTAATCATCGTTAACTATTTGAATTTTTTCCTTTATGTTTAACGAATATGTGCTTTTCATTCAGAAAAAAACGAACAGCTGTGCACTTTCGCTGAAAGAAAAGTGGATCGAACGATGAATCTAGTTAGTACCGTTAGATTGCATCAAATATTGTTTGTAAATATACACGAGTTTCACCTATGTGTACATATTATATATAATATGTGTACATATAAAATAGGTTGTAATAGATTGTAATTAAAAGTCAAAGAGGAGTCGTAAGTTTTGTGGATCGCTTCCTGCCACGTAAGCGTTTGCCCGGATTCCATAGCAGGAAAGTTCAATTCTCGTGATTCCTCGTTTGTGTTCACGCGTGCGACACAAATGTTGCTTCTCACACGTTCCGATCTATTATACGAATATGTACTTGTTTTATCTTTCCTGATAGCTCGTCAAAGATCCAGTGATTTTAAATCGATAATGTTTATATCATTTATTATCAGATTAAATATTTGTCTCGAGGAGATGGGAGCGGTGGGGGGGGGGGACGATTGAATTCTTTAGAGAAATGAAATTTTGACGAAAAATGTTTGAATGTCTTTCAGATGGAAACCGAAGTTCGTACCTTAAAAGAAGAGTTAGCTCATACTCAAGAAACATTAAAAGCTGCGACGAAAAGATGTCGAGATTTGGTGAGAGAATTGGACAATCGTACCGCGAGTTACGAATCGGAAAGGACCTTAAGGGATCAACAGTTGTCACGGATTCTCCGTGCTCTATTGATCTTGGAAGCTCGATTAAAGCAAGAACAAAAGTCGATTAGACAGGTATTATGTGAAAAGGACAACGTTATTAGGAATCAACAGTTGGAGATCGCTAGGTTAAGACGTTACACCAAAAATTATATCAAATCTAAACGTGAGCAGATATTAGGAAGACCAACGGCTATTAAGGTCAACTTTGGTCCTAACGTTGATAAGAGTTCTTCGCTGGAGAAGACTGAAAAACTCGAGGTAACAAGTCAAATTATTATTTCTACTTATAATTTAAGAACTTTTGGGCCATCCTATTGAAATTTGATTTATATTAAATAATTCTGTGTTTGAAATGTTTAGAATGAAATCGATTCGAGACAGGACGACGATGATCTCAGCAAAGAGATCGAGAATCTCAAGTGTGAAATCATCACGAAGCTCGATTCTTCCGAGGTATTACCAGTCGCTTTGGAAAACTTGGATCGTGGGATCAAGAAGACTTATAGTTTTACGGGTAGCGACGTCTCCAAGACAAGTTTAACGAGTAGCGAAAATACCGATGCATCTATCGTTACTACCACTACAGAAGGTAGCCCTTCGTTGATCAGTACGGAAGGTTTTTGCGAGGGGGAGAGTACGGATGTATCTCCAGGTTCGACTTTGAACAAGTCGAATAGGTGTACACCAACAACGGTAACGGATAGTGAAAATGAGACTACTATGATATTCGATGAGGATAACAACGAGTTGGAGGATGATAAGGTAGAAGATGAGGATGACGAATATAACGAAAATATCAGTGACGACAACGAAGGAGAAACGTTGATGGTCGGTGACGTTGTCTTTAATTCGACGAAGAAGAAAGCTTCAATGGGTAGATCGAAATCGCTAAAAAGTTCGATTAAGGGCTCGTTAGTGTGTACAAATATAATAAGAACGGAAAGTAAGGACGATGGTATGGATTGCAATTTTGTTTCGGAGGATGAAGAAAAGGAACAGGAACCGATATACGTTAATTCGTGCAATGAGAATAATGTGAAAAATTTGGAACATTCGAATGGGATAGTCGTTCCCGAAACTTGTCAGGATTATACTAATAACAATAACGATACGTAAGTATAACGATGATATTTAATATTTGTATTCGTCTCGTGTAATTTATATCTAATGTAAAGTTTTCTTCTATCTATGTTGCAGTTCTTCGATCGAAGTCGAGACGACAACGGATGAACAGAATACAGAAGAGACCAGTGGCAATTGGTATAGCGATCCTGACGAAGATAAAAATAACGACGACGTTTTTAGGCATACTTCTTATCAGCCAAACAGTAATCATAATTCCGTCCTCGAATGTGTCAATCAAATTCTTTTGAGGGATATGGAAGACGAAGATCGCGTTCTTTCGGTACCAAGGAGATTTAAACACCGAGGTAGGACAGTGAGATTTCAACCAGCCAGATTGTCTGATATCGAGTCGGTTGGTTCGGAAATGGAAAGGAAAAATTCTGAAGAAGGATTGATGGAAAAGGAGACTCTCAGTGGTGATTTCAGTGATCAAAGATCGATGAACATTGGCAGTTTCGAAGCAACAACTTCTGAGGACGAATATGGCATGAGAATAGCTCATCCTGTTGATCCTAACGAAGTAGTCGGCTCTACCGTAGAATCTGTTCTCGTGAATGATTCTGAAGAAGCAAAAGTTATACCGATCGTAATTATAGAACCAAAGGTCGAGCCAGAGGAAGTTACAAATCCAAACCTTGTCTCCTCGACGCAAAAACCAAAAATACCGATTCAATCGGTGAGCCCACCTCTTAGAATGGAAAGAATCGAAGAGAAAACTTGTTTGCAGATGTCGACGAAACGTTTGACCATAGCTAAAAATCTTGACTACGAGGACATTGAATCGTTGCCAGAAGTTATGTTGCCATCGCCTAAAACTCCACCGGCGTTACCGCCTAAGCCACAATTTCGAAATAATACTTTGATATTGAAGAAAATACCTAGCCCGTCCTTTCTGATAGACGAAACTAGAAAAAAATTGTCAGAGGTCAGTTCCGCTGGACACGGCAAGAAGATATTTGCTCTTATCGGTTCGCCGATCGAATCTTCATCGATCGCCAAGTCGTCTATTAAAAATTTAAACTTCGACGAGGCGTCTACGAAAAATGTGGGAAACAACGAGGATGGTAATTTTTGGAAAAATAGATTCAACAACGTTAGATCGTCCTTTCAAGCTCGTCATTCAAACGAGAAGAATGTAGTCCATCGATCGCGTAAAATTCCAAGGGTTACGAATATAGTGCGACACTTTGAGGAATTTAAAATTGGCGGAGAAAATGAGGAACGATCTAAGGAACGTAGTAAGCCTAAGGAGAGATACGTTCGCGCGGAATTCGGCCAAGAATTCGACATAAGGCAAAACTTTGAAGAATTTAACCTCGACGAATGCGATCTTTCGGATGATCCAAATCGGCCGGAAGCCGATGGATCCGAACGGCTTGGTAATAATCATCTCGTAGTTGCTGTTAGTCCAAATGAAACTAATAATTCACTGACCAAAGACAATAATAATCATGTTACGACTGCTAGCAATAATGCGAATACTGGTTACGATAATTTCTTGGAGGCAACGGGTCTGAGCAACAAATCCATATTAACACCCTCGAGATTATTAAGCAATCATAAGAGTATGCTCAAACCTAAGGACGTTAAATATAAGAATAAGATCAAAGCAACGGCAATTTTAGAAAAACACAATGCCTCAACATCCAATACGACAGCAACGACGCACGTAAGACATTGGACCGGTCCGTTCGTCTGATGATAAATTAAACGCTTTTTTCAAAGCCATACTATTCACAGCTAACATAACATTAAAATATCTTAAATTATTGTAGATTTTTGAAATATCGAGTCCGCATTGCAAAGCTATTAAATATGCTTGCAAATTTGTTTGTGTATATGTGTGTATAACTAATATTCTCGATATGTTCCGTTCGTTGTTAAATGATTTTTAGAAATGTTTAATGGATTATCTACTATTATTAAAATATACCCTATGGTATTCTGTATAATTGTAAACAACAATTCTAGTTACTTTTATATTATAATAGTTCAATTGAAAGAGAAGTATTTATATGTGTATGCTAAAACATCTCTTTTGCCTCCTTTGTTTTTTTTTCTTTTTCTATTTCTGCTAGCTTTAAGAACAACAATAATAATAATAATTATTATTATAATATTAAAAAAAGAGAAGAATATGTTTAAACTTAAACCAATCAAGCTACGACTTAATAGTGTCATAACTATTGTATTTTTACTTTTATCGACTGACTCGCTATAATGTTCAATTGAAATACAAGTAATACCTGATGTGATGTTATTGATGTCATTTTTAATTCCATATTTTTGTATAAAAAAAAATATGAACGCTATAGAGAGGATGAAATTTTCAAATCAATTTACAATTCTTATGTACACATAGGAGAAATTAAATAAATGTTTAAATTACACTATAAATACTTGTTAAAAGAAATTAATAAATTATATAGATATTACCTATCTCATCAATTCAAAATGAGAAAGATGGAGCACCTGTTTGCATGCAACATGAACAAAAATTGAATTACGTGTAAATATTCTATGAAATTAAATGAAAAAAGAAAAAACACAGAAAAAATATCTTCGAAAAGGTAAATAAAAGGTTCCCCCTTCGTCTCCTTGTTAGAGAGAGAGGGAGAGAGAGAGAGAGAGAGAAGAGGAAAAGAAAATGCAATGTTTTCGTACGTTCATAGTTGACTTGCGAGATATCGACAGGGGCGCCAACTATCGTTAGAGTTACCATACTAACGGAATTCAAAAGTCTATCATATAATTATAATATATATGGACGATATATTATTTCCATAATAGAAATAAATATGTTGATGAATTAATATGTTTTTCATTATTTATATTAGAAAAGAAATAATTGTAAATATTTGTTTTAGACGGTTGTTCATTCGATTGTTGGCAGCACTGCATAAAGCAGCAGTAAAATTTAGATGGTAGGACGAGTAATACGCATGCGTATTTGCATCTTAACGAAATAGTCGTAAACAACATTTTTTTTCAATCCAGAACCCTCAATAGTTTACGTATAGTAAAGTAACGGGGGGGTTAATCGAGTTAGTGGATGACGTTTTTTTGCATTTTCAATGGATTTTCGAAAAAATATGATATTTTTCGGATACGAATGGTACCCATAATTCCTGCATTTATGGCTCGTTGGTATGCGGTGACGTCATCCGGATCGTTCTGGAAGAGCCCTACAGGACAATAATGGCGGGTACGTATTTTGGATCGAGCGAGAAGGGACGTCACCATCCCTTCCGGGTTTTCTTCGCGTAAAAGTCTTACGAGTTCATTCTTTTATCGCATTATGTCGATTCTAGATTTGTTTGCGAAATACAACTGTACGTATTGTCAAGAGGATATTACAGGATTGCGTATAAAATGCGTCGAATGCCAAGATTTCGACCTATGTTTGCAGGTAAGTCGAACGGGAACGGCTGCTCCTTGTCACGTGCTCCTCATCCCCCTTTCGCCCCCACCAACCACCCACTCAACCTATCTACTCTTCTTATCACCTCTTTTCCCTCATACCCCTCATACTCGGCACTCCTCTTCTATCATTTTCTTTCCTTGTCTTTCTCTTGCCGGATTTTGCGTCCTGAAGTTTGCATCGATTCTCACGAATGTTATTGAGATCAGCTGTTGATCAGCTACCTTTGTTTTGTCTGTAGCCATATAATAAATGAGCCAAGTTCTTACTATGAGGCGTATACGTGTGTATGTGTGCATGCATGCATGTATTTGTTAATAGTTTTTTCTTTTTTTTTTTTTTTGCTTATTTTTTTTCTTTTCTTCAATTTTTATTATTTTCTTCAGAAATTTATTAAAATGTTAATGTGTTTTTTTATTGTCAACAGTGCTTCTCAGCTGGAGCTGAAATTGGCCAACACAAAAATGATCATTCTTATCAGTTTATGGTAAATATATGCACTTCAAATGTATGTTTCTATATTACCATTTTTTTTCTAATTTTTAACAAGGTATATTTTAACATTATATTAAATATGCTCTATTGTTCTAGGATTCTGGTACTATTAGCATATTCAATGGACGAGGTAATTGGACTGCAAAAGAACAACTTAGACTTTTGGATGCTATTGAACAATTTGGTTTTGGAAATTGGGAAGACATCAGTAAACATATTGAAACTAGGACTCCGGAAGGTAAATCAAAATTCATTGAAAGATTTATACTTATATTTATACCTTACGATATGTATATATATATATATCTTTTATGATATGGAATTGCAGAAGCGAAAGAAGAATACATTGCTAGGTATTTGGAGGGCAACATTGGAAAACATACATGGCCATCTACGGAAAGCTATACCCCAAATCTTACGGATCAAACTAAGTCAGATAATGGACCACTGTCGCCTGATCTCACATCTCGGTTACCTCCATTAGATATAACACCGGAGGAAGCTGCTCAACTGGGCTATATGCCTCAACGAGATGACTTTGAAAGAGTATGTTTAGCATTGAGATTTTCCTAATCATTTAATATGTTGTTAATAATATTTGAAAATATTTCAGGATTATAATCACGAAGCGGAGTCTCTCGTTTCTTCTTTATTTTTAAATCCTGCAGAGGACGATGATCTCGACATAGCGCTTAAGCTAGCACAAGTCGATATGTATACTAATAATTTAAGAGAAAGAGCTAGAAGAAAACGCGTTGTACGAGATTATCAACTTGTGTCTTCTTTCTTTGCATCTTCTAGAAAAGATAGAGGTGGAGTAAAGAAGCGAAGAACGAAGGAAGAGAGGTATGTATATTTATCAACTACTACTATGTCTATTATTATATATTATATCTATTATAAATATTTTTCTGTTTTTTTTTTCCAGAGAATTTCGAGACAGAATGCGCACTTTTGCACAATTTTATACGGCACAGGAATACGAGCAGTTCCTAACAAATCTTGAAAGAGAAAGAGAACTTCGGTTACGACTCTCTGAACTTTATCGTTATCGGGAGCATGGCATAGCAAGACACGAAGAATGTGCTCATTTTGAACAAATGCTAGCACAGGCTCAGGGACAAAACGATGCTGCAGAACACTGGACAGAAAAAAAATCTGTAAGTATTTGTTTACATTTATTAATCATTATTTTTGTTTCTTTCCTAATGGTAAAAATGATCTTGAGTTATCATTTTTACCATTTTCTTCACATTATAATATAACCGAACGAGAGAGAGAGAGAGAACATACACCATTAACACTTCCACGATCGCGATGACACGGTATTACGTCTTTTAGAAAAGTGTATTTAATATTCAATGATTTTGATTATTTTTTGAGACATTTTGTAATCATATACCGATGGATACCGATTCGTGTATAAAAGGGATTTTAGTACAAATGTTTATATTATCTCTATTAATATTATACGAATCTTCGGATAAGGAATTAATATTTCAGCTTTAGTTTCTTTTTGACACTCTTTGTTCATGCAAATCCATACAGAAGGAATGTAAAACAACGTTCAGAGCTTTAATTATACTGTATGTACTAGCTTTTTCTTCCTCTTAACTAATTCTATTGTTTGTGGTGCGTGTTGCCAGGAATTTGTTAACAGATTGTATCAGTTTACATTTCACTTAGGGCAGCAGTGGGCCGTCCACACCAATACATCGCCACACCTCAAAAAAAAGGTAAGTTTGTAGATGGAGGCGAGTGTTTGGTGCAACCTTAAAGCGAATTTTACGCGATTACTAATCACGTAAGAGTTGCAAAGATGGAATGGTGGACGGTGTTGACAAGAATCCAGTTTTACTGCAAATCTTGAAGAATACTGATCTAATTAATCAAGAGGAATAATTAGGGTAATATCATTACTAGTTGAGTCAGTTATATTACCACTGATCGCGTGAAGTCCGCTTTGAGCTGAAAATGTTGTAAAGCTGACATACGTATATATGTATATATATGGATATATATTTGTATTTGTTCATTGTATACATCGTATGTAGAAACGTCGAAACAAGCACATTCTAGTGTTACAATCCTTCATTCTAGAGAAGAAGAAAAAAATTACTCTTCCACCGACCGAAAGTCCACTATAAAAGTAGACACAGCCAGCAGCAGCTCCACAATGAATCAAATCAATCCCAATCGGATGATGATTCCAACCAGTCAGTGGGTGGAGCAGGATAGCAGCCAACATTCAACGAGTTCAAATTCTACAATAGAAAAAAATTGCAACTTAGCGTCATCTTCTTCAAAAATACTCTCACATTTGGGAGAAACAGGAGAACGAGATATAGAAATGGAGGCATCGGCGCATCTTTTGACGAAACAAGAAAAATCATTGTGTCTTCAGTTGGACTTGAAGCCGATGCAATATTTAACGCAAAAGACATTGTTGTTACAAGTGAGTTCATTTTTCTTTTTTTCAATCTGGTAGATGTACTTTTTCTATTTTCCTTTTTTCGATTCTACAGTGTTTTAAATTGTTGCAGGAATATCTCAGTGGTAATAAAAAATCAGGGATTATACCTCAATCAGAACCAGAGAGTAAGATACTTCATTATTTGGTAGCTAATGGTTGGATTGCAGCCAATTGATCGATTATCGAGACAGAAGTTATGCTCATTTTCCAATTCTAAGTCATCCTTTATTTTATTAAGTCGTAGATGTGTAATGATAACATGAGTATAACTTAATAATTAATGATTAAGAGTTAGATAGAAAAAGAGAGCATATATTAAGACATTTCTTTTTCTTCGACTACGTTTTTTCTGAAACAATGTTGTGTCTCAAGTTATGTTATGAAGTTTATTGAAAATGATATTGCTGTTATCATGACCGAAGAATATTGGGGGTATGCATGTAAATATGTAAATGCACGCACATATCGTTATATGTGTATGTATATTTATCGAAACGAGTCTACCACTTTTAAATTCAAAAATGATCTAGAGAGAATATTTTATAATACTGCCTTCTTAGTCACTGTATAATGTTCTATCGATTCTTCCATATCAAATCTTGTTGGTTTTTTTTTCTTTTTTCTTTTTTCATCTTTCTTTCTTAGACCATATTGCTGCACATATGTAGAATATCGTTTATTTTATTTCAATATTATTTGTTACCATACTTGACAATAAGGAAAAAATACTAATTTATGTGGAACAGTCTCCAAGGACACCAACAAGTATCTGTGTAATTGTAATTTATGAAAGTATTCGCTGTCGTGCTTGAAGATCTGAAATATATTCTATCACACGTTGAATTAATTCTTGCTTATAAGATTTTCAACAGAAAAGAAAAAAGAGTACGTAAAGCAAAGAAAAAAGAAAAACAATAAAAAAAAAAATACAACACTTTTTTCTTATTATTGCATTAATATGGAGATTGCCTATTGAGAGATTAAATGTTATTAAATATGATATATGTATATATAGATTTAGCTTTATAAAATGGAGATACTTACGTAATCTAGTTCGTCTGATATATGAATATTTTCTCTGTGTAAAATAATGAAAAGAAAAAACAACAACAAAAGAAGAAAAAAAAATAACAAGAGATTCCTTATTGCTAAAGAATGGTACAAATACGATAAAATCTTTAAATTGTATGGGAGAAATGTATAATAGTAAATAATTTATCTATCGCTAATTTAGCGTTTGTATATATTTATATATATATATATACTATTATATATGGGGAAAAACACATAGTACCTTTTTATCATAGTAAATGTTGTTGCACAAAGTATAGACTTTTCCAAAAGTTAAATGTAATTAAAGAGTTTTTCGATTTTATCACTCTAATTCAAATTTATCAAGATAAAAATGTCATATATTTGTTCTCTCTTTAAAAAAGGAAAAAAGAAAAGAAAAAAAAGAAAAAAAAAATTAATCCAAAAATAATGTACTTTCTATCTTTCTATCAAAGATAATTGCGTAATAATTTCATGAAACAAGTATTTCATTTTATGATTGATGCGTGTAAATATGTCAAAAATGATTTTGGAAAAAAAAGAAGAAAAAGAAAAAAAGGAAAAAAAATTCAGATATATTTAATATTGTCGTATTAATTTAAATATAATCTGAATAAATTGTTGAAGCACTTAGCAGCATATTCTTTTACGAAGATTGCGATTGATCAGGTGTGAGCGACATGCTGTATAAATCTACAAATTACGACATGTTTTGCTTTGCGTAAATATTTTCCAATATAATATTGTCGATTATAAAATTATGTCATTTCATTTGAATGGATATATATATAGCAAAAGCTTAATTAATTAAGCAACGTGATCGAAAGGATAAATTATATGGATTAATAAAGGTCCTACTGTATATACATCTCGAACGCTTGTTCAGATAATTAAGACGTCGGCTAAATGGTGATCAGTTAATCGAGATCTTACTGTATATGCAGGATAAGATAAAAGTCGTTTTTTCTTTGAAATAACTCCAAACGCAAACTATATATTTATTTATTTTTGCATTTTTATGTATTCATGTATTTTCTGCATGTTTTTCACATCAATTGTTCATTCTTTTGTACAATAATGAAAAAGAAAAGATTTGTAAAAATACCTTGGCCATATTAGACACAGTACAATTGCATATCACACACATTGTACGAAAAAATGGTTAAAATTAAGGAATCTTTGAAGAATGCGATTTTTATCTTACTGTATATCGTTATGTAGATACGAAGTGATATAGAAATTGATTATGTAAATATCGTAATTATTACGACTATACGTTAATTTTTATTTAACCAGGAAATTGACTTGTTAACGAGTTCATAAAAGAACCGAACTATTTCAATTATATATGTATATGTATATAGACTCAAGAAGGGAAAAAAGCTCTAAATATTTTTTATGAAAGACAAACTTTACCTTTCTTTTGTTTTATATTAGTACACGATGAGAAGTTTTCACGAAAGAAATTTAGCAAGAAACATATACTTATATACGCGTTTATGCAAATTTTTGTTCGAAATCAATTGTACTTTTTAATAATAATCATGTTGAAAGAAAAAAATGATCTTCGTTTGTTTGAGAAAATAATATTTTTTCTCTCTCAATAAATTGATATTTATATTTATATTTATATTTATATTATATTCTATTTTTTTCGTTTCTTTTCTAATTTCGAGAAAATATAAAACATTAGAAGAAAGAAAACGTATCTTTAAATGATCTAAGAACATTGATAAATGTTTCAAATATTGTAATAAATGTCTAAAGAAAAAAAAAAAAAAAATCATTGTAGGATGAAAAAGGATGAAAAAACGCTTATGGATATCTGCATTGAAATTCATCAAATTGTTACATACGAAATAAATTGTATAATATTTTCTTTTAGAAATTTATTTCGTTGCGTCAATTATTTCTAATTTCAATTCCTTTTTACCTTATCAAGTAAAAAATCCTAAATACGTTTTATATTTGTTTATACTGTTTTGGCGAGATCTATGCGGTCGTGAAAATATTTCAATGCGACAAACTTCCCCGAGTTAAATGGCTCTTGCATTCGTGGAATTGAAAATAAATTAGTTATAAGATTTGTTTTTCTTTAGCTTCCTATTTGTCCTTCTCTCTGATTTTTTTCCTACAATAATTTTTCCATCTCTTAGAAAGAAAGAAAAAGAGGTAGGAAGAAAGATGGAGGGAGAACGTGTACGTAATGAGAATTATTAATGAGACGAACCTTCGATTGGAGGATTGTATGGCGAAACAAAAGAGAATTGGTAGGATTTAGTAGGATCATCAACACATTTACAATCCCACCTTTATCTGTATATTTCCACTACTTACATACCGTTAGGATCATCCTTCGACGAACGTAGATATATAAAGGCGGTTGGTCACTCCGATCTCTCATACGACTAAATTTCTTTGCATCTTACAAACTGTCAGGTGAGTTACATTTTTCTTGCTCTTAAGATTTATCTTTTTAATAACGATTTTAATATATATATATATATATATATATATATATATATACATATACCGTCACTACATTTCCTGCTTTTTATATTTTCTTCTTATCCAATTGGACTTTTTATTATGTATATATTCTTTGTAACACAAATATTTTGTTGTTCCTTTAGCAAATATGAAGACAACGTTCCTTTTTATTACCGTCTTGGCGGTAATCGTAGTTACGTTGGCAGATGAGCCAAAGTATACCACGAAATTTGACAACATCAACATAGATGAAATTTTGCACAACGACCGGCTACTCAACAATTATGTCAATTGCTTGCTCGATCAAGGTCACTGCACTGCTGATGCCTCTGAACTGAAGAGTAAGTCAATCGAATTGTTTTTCTTCCTATCTATCATTTATTTGTACATTTTGTATTATCAATATTTTAGAATCCTTACCGGATGCTTTGGAAACCGATTGCTCCAAATGTTCCCCTAAGCAAAGAGAATTTGCAGAACGAGCTATGAAATTTTTGTCCCACAACAAGAAAGAAGTTTGGGAGAAACTTCTTGCCAAGTATGATCCTGAGAAGAAATACAGAAATAAGTTTGTCGATCAAGCAAAGGAAGCTGATATCCAAATCTAAGGACAAATTTTAAAAGAACGATTCTGAACGAAATGCCAATAAGACAAGTGTGGAAACTATACATTTACTCAAATATATATATATATATGACATATACACATGTAGTTATAATTACTTTGTAAATTAACATTGGAAAGTTTGTTCGTTAATTCTACCAATTCGAATTGCGTTGCTGCGTGGATATGATATCAAAATTGTAGTAATAAATAAATTGTCATTTGTACGTATACCTTTTGCAGACATTTTTTAACGAGGAAATCGTTAATTTACAAATACAACATCGACGACAATCTTTCATTATTTCTTATATCTTACTCTCTCTCTCTCTCTCTCTCTCTCTCTCTCTCAATCTGTTTTTTTATTATTTAGCACGTGTAAGAATCTAATGAAATCTACGTTGCTAAGACAAATAACTCATTTATCGTTCTTGCCTGGAGGCAAAATATACATATGTATGTGTATATGGAGCATCAGTTAAATGACAAGTTTAAAATGCTAATACATTACGAATACATTACGTTCTGAAGATAATTGCAAAAAAGAAATTAGCTACTAGATTCACGTTACATCTGACAGATCGCGCGATCGATTTTTATTAATAATTTCTTTGTATCTTGAAATATTTGATTAATCGTAGAATAATGGCAGGATTAGAAAGAATGAACAGAATCGAACGAATGATCGAACATTCGCGCGAACATGCATTGAAACGTTACTCGAAAACCTGTCCAACTTTTTATCACATTTGCTATGATCCTCTTGGTACTCACACAAAATCACGTACTTTCTTAGGATTTCTAATGGGCTTTATTCTCGGTTTGATTTTTTATCGAACCATAATCTTTCAATTACGATTCGATCGTTATACAACTGTCTATCTTGGAAGTATTATTATCGTTATATTATCTATCGGTTGTGCCACTTCTATTCAGGTAATCCTTTAGTTTTTATTTCATAGAATAAAATATAAAAAACAAATTTCAAGTTTCAATGGAATGATATCACGAACAAATAATAATAGCTTATAAATTAACTTTGAATTATGCAAATGAATTGAAAGAAGTAAATGCGTGAGACTTCGTTATCATATGACACATCAAGTCGAGAAAAAAGTTTGACGTCAATTATACATGTAATCATTTTTTTCAGATAAGATGCATTTGCATTTTGACGTTCCCTGCATTTTTTGGGCGAGCAGGCCGTACTCTTTTGAGAGCACTTGTCCTCGGATATATTATCGCTGGACCTATTTTTAATTTGACATACAATGCGAAAGAAGTGATAAGGAGTTTTGCTTGTACAGCTAAATTGACGCATAATTTGACGAAGACGCGAGCCGATCTGATGTTCGAGCCCTTTCATCAAGCCATTTTAGAGATGAGAGGGAACGCCGGTGAGTTAAAGGATGCTTTATCATCGGTGAGAGATCTGATGAGTCCGATAGTCGAAGAGATCGAAGGGGAGGAAGAGATGATGAGATTGAAAGAAGAGAATGATTACCTCGACGAAATTCAAGGGGATTCCAAGAGGAGCGAGGAGATCGAAGAGAAGCGAAAAAAGGAGATGGAAGAAGCTAAATCGGAATCCGAATTTTACTCGGCTAAATATAAGATGAAAGTGGAGTCTCGTTGCGAGGAACAACTCAGTCGCGGTGCTGAAAGATGTAGGTAAGATCGCATACCTAATTCTAACTAACTATGAATGTTGTAACTATGTATGTTTTTTTATCACTGTGTCACTTTTTAGAGACATGTTTGCTGACGCTTACGATAAATGTTATTACAAGGTTACCGTTTTTGCCGCCTGGTTATTATGCTGGCCGATGAAACTGACGTTCGTTTGCAATCTTGTTCAAGCGTTAGGCGGAGCTAACATTTGCGATCCCGATGGAAAAGTTGATACCGGTGTTGGTGACGGTTACGTTGCATTAAAAAGTATCATCATAATAAATCCAAATAATAAATATACGCGATGCTCTATCATTTTCCTACGCGATCTTACCCCGTGTTTCTTCTTACCTTCACACCAGATACTCGAAATAAATTTGGCAAAAGTATAAAGGATGCCAAAATTCAATACAAATTAAATATCGCTCCACCGATATTGGATATTCACGATGCTACGAGTGCTGCGAAAGCCATGATGCACGATTTCAATGCAAGAAAGAAATTGTTCGAATCGGTGATGACATTTGCTAAAAGATGCTTATCTTTAATATTTCTCAGTATTATTTTGAACGCTCAAAAGTATCACGACAGATATTTGACCGATATCGAGTTCGATAACATTTACGTGACACGTTATTTTCGAAAGATCGATGCTAGAAGGAAAGCACGAGGCAGTGCTACCTTGTTGCCTTTGAAGAAGCTTGAGAGATTGAAATTTGTCTATCCTTACGGTTTAAAGACTAGCAAAGTTGAAAGCCGACACATTGTAGGCGAAACGGCTAAGCTTTTTCTGGAAATAATTTTGGCTACGAGTTTCGTACTGATAGACAGATTATTCTTCGAAGCACTCGATTTGATTCGACGTCATTCGCGATTGGAATACACTCAGGTAACCAAATTCGATTTATCTCTTAGAAAAAAATCATATATTATATATTCTCGATATAGGCTGGTCACCACGATTTGAGTTTGAAGATCCAAGGTACTGGTGTAATAGCATCTCTGGTCAGACATTTGATTCATGGTTTCAACGTGAAGAAACATACGAAGACTGTGATTTCTAACGAAGCGTGTTTACCAAGACCAACCGAATTACCAAATAACATAGTCCTTCGGATTTACGCTATCTTTCTAGCTATTTTCATTTTAATTTATACATCTGCTTATACACAAAGAATGCGTTTCTTCGTCTGCTCGTTTTTTTATCAAAAACGCCAGAAACGCCGAATACTTTATCTATATAACGAAAGTTTACGACGAAGGCTTGGCTATGTGGCATTTACAAAAGCGAAAATCGAGTCATTGGCAAGAACGCATAATTTGGAAATACAAATATCTATTTCCATGGCTTTAAGGAAACGATATCCGAAACTTTGTGGCTGGCTTATATTATTCGCATCGGCTAGAGAGAAATGTTTAATTTGCGGCGAGGTTGAACCACGTAAAGGCTTGAAATTTCGTCGTTGTACAACGCCGGGTTGTCCTTTTGTATATTGCGAGGAATGTTGGAAGGACATTGGCCAGATCTGCTATGCCTGTACCGATGTTTCCGATGATACTGATTTGGAAGAACCAACGGATGAGTCAGAGTCAACGGAATGAATAAAAATGAGCCAAATGTCGTTGAAAACAACCGAGTCGATACGATTTCAAGTTTATGTCTTATAAAATCGAAAAGTCATGTTGGCATACGAGATATCGAAACATTCCAATTAGATTCCATCCATTAGATCCATTAACAAGGCAGGAAAATATTCTACACGTAAACTCCTTTACAACATTTATTTCTACATGGTCTCTTTTTCTTTTTCTTCAGTTTACGATATATACCTACATATTGCATAGATAAATGTTATATTGTCGAGGAAAAAGAATGGCGAAAGGAGAGATACGTTCTAAGAAATATTATCATTATTTTATTTATTTTTCTAAACGCATATCGTGTATCACGGATTGCCTATTTAATTATAAATATTCAAATAAGCAGGAATGATCACAGAGAGAGAGAGAGAGAGAGAGAGAGAGAGAGAGTCATCGAGTTTCGATCATTTCGTTCTTTCAAATAATTTATTATACATTATATAATGTCGAATATTATTTTCATGGATTTCGTGCGTCTAACGAACCATGGCGAGTACTATAAAAGACTTTTTCAATAACGAAGAGTCTACAGAAGGAACAAGTTAGTTGAAAGAATTTCATCGGATATATTATCTTCGGAAACGTTGAGAAATGCATTCAATAAATAAATTAACTTTCGTTATCTTGATAACGTGTATTATATTCTTTGTACAAATTTCGGCAAGAGAAGAAGAGGCGTCAGAAGAAACGAAGAAATACACGACCAAATACGATAACATCGATATCGATGGTATTATGAAAAACGAGAGACTGTTAAAGGCATACGTGGGTTGCCTACTCGATCGAAATCCTTGCTCACCGGACGCGATGGAATTGAAAAGTAAGCACAAATATTTAACATCGTATACACGGAATTGTGTTGACTTTTTTTTTATCAAACATTTTTCGTAAAATAAAAAGAACGAATAAAAAGAAACATTGAAATGTTTTGAGTATCGTTGTAAAAGACGTTTAGGAAAATATGCAGGACGAGAGACCTTCTAGTAAAGATGTCTTGAAAACTATTATGGTTTTACAGAGCACGGTGGTGGCAATGACGGACCAAAAAAGGTCATTTCTCGATAGCACCATTCTAACTAATATTTTACTTGTATATTCTATTGCTTTACATACTGCAGGAATGCGTGTAGACGTCCAACGATTGCTTTAATATTTGTTTACGATGAAATATCTAATGACATTAATAATAGAAGATTGAACAAATTGCCACATTATTAGATATAATTTATTTTTATTTTGTAGGAAATTTACCAGATGCATTAGCGACAAATTGTTCGTCCTGCAGCGAAGCGCAAAAAACTGCTGCTGATAAGCTGTCTCATTATTTGATCGACGAAAGACCGGAAACATGGAGCCTCCTTGAGAAAAAGTACGACCCCGATGGCGAATACAGGAGACTTTACCAGGACAATAAATTTAATAATGTTAATCAAAAGTATTTGGACTAATCGAAACCTATATAGGATTCTTAACAAGATGGTCACGATCAGGATATATTTGGTTATCACGAATCTTCGATACTTAGCAGTCCTTAATCCCCTTTGATGTACGATTTATTTTTGTAGACATACGCGATTACAAGAAGAGCACGGTGTAATGTAGCTGTTAGATTATCAACGTCACAGTTGAAAACATATGTGTTTTTACTTATTATTAGAAAATATATGTGTGTACCTTAAGAAAAAAAAAAAAAAACATGAATTAAACCACTCTTCTCAGTATATGGAATTGAAAAATATTCAACAGTTGCTGAACAAAGCAAAGTAACGCGAATATAATTTCCTTTTTCGTAGACTTTTTTCTTGAAAAAAAAAAAATAAAAATAAAAAAAAAGATAAAAAAAGAATGAAAAGTAAATAAAAAAATTTGAAGGACGAGAAACGATCCTTGATTGGCATCCACGATGCTTATTAGACTTGGTTACATCTATACGGAATAAAGACTTTGGATTTAACGATTGAAAAGAAAATCTATGACAATGAAAATAGCGTTGCGCAAGAAACGTATTCGCAAAGAAGGCAAAACAAGCTCGTGATTCATAACTGAACTCGCATACGACCCAATGTTTGCCTCGTCATCGAACAATATATCTATATCTACCGTAACATTTCTTTTTACCTTCGACCGATAATTTTTTTTGTATTTTTTATCCTTCGTGGAAATTGGTTGGAAGGCTATTAGAATGTCATTAGGCCGCCGACAAGTTAATTGTTTATCCGAGAATATTGTATGATAGCAAAAGATAAGATCAATCATATTTGAATACTTTGTCTCGTATCTTTTTCATTACTATGGAGGAGAAATAGAAAATTAGCAGAGAGTTAGCAGAGAAACGATATATCCCCTAGGGATTCGAACCTATCCGAATACCCGTAGATTTTAAAAGATGAAATGCCAGGTCTAACGTGGGTGGTCAAACGTTTCAAATGATCTTTTGGGAGCTTCCTAGAAATCGAAGACCTCTATTATGTCTTTTCCTTTGTCCTTGAAAAGGACAGAAAATTCTTGCCCTGTTCATTGATTTTAACTTCGAAACTATTTGAATAGCTTGTAAAGCTAGTAAAAAGATGAAAGGAGTTCTTTCTAGAAATGTTGGTCCATTGTAACCTGATAGCTATGACGAATGGAATGACGAATGGAAAAAAGTTTACAAAGTTATTTTCAAACGAAGTCTTCAATCGAATTAACGACTTGACAAGTTCTAATAGAGCTGTTCCTCCTAATACTCTAATCGAGTATATTCGAGTATTTTTGAATAAATCATTTTTCACAGTTAATGTTATTTTCCAATCATACTTTGATAATATTAGAATTATCAAAGATTTGTAGAAATATTCGTTGAAAACACTCGTACGTTTGACGTTTTAATATACATATATAGAAAGGAATACGCGGAGATAAGACACGAATACTCGTTCCTCGTATTATATCCTTTCACAGATAGAAGAAAGGGAAGGGGACAGGAAAGGAAAGGGGGTGGTTATGAAGGAAACAGACGAAAGAACGAAACGAAGGAACGAAACGAAGGAACAAGCACGTTGGGTGGTCCTGCCCCGCTGTTTATGGGGCACTGCATCTGCTGGCCCCGTATAAACCTCCCTCGACAACCTGTGTGGTCCCACCTTATGTCCGACTTTACATTCGATTCACTACTTGCTAATGGTAGCTGCATTAGCATTAGACCGTGCAAGACCTCCCTCCTCTCGTCCCCTTCCTACCATCGCCAATCTTCTTTCTCTTTTCACGCTTCCTGCCAAATGCTATCTTCTTTTTTTTATCGACGCCTTTTATCTATTATCACCTAACGGACCTATCGATAACGAAATGGTAATCGATGTTAGCCTTTTCTAGAGGTCAATATCAATATGACAATTCATACGTGCAAAATAACAATTTTAAATGCGTCATTTACATGCATTGTGTAACGTCATAGTAGTATTTTCGACGATACTTTGAATTCGACAGTCGTGACAATATTTCTATTATTTTCTAAAGCTCAATAAGTATAGGATACCATGAAGGAATCAATTCAAGTAAAGATGAATAGGCTTTTTCGTCCCCAGAAAAAAAAGGTCTCCAGTGCAAAGGGTCAATATATGATCAAATTAATATCTACAAGGAAGTAGGAAACGATCTTTCTAATTGTTTCAGAATCATGCATATAATGTTCAACAAGTTAAACATTGTTCTCGGCATTTTTTTTTATTGAAACGAAAACATAAAAAGAGGAAAATTAAAAAATTAAAAAAGGAATCTACTATTACCGAAGATCGGTAAAATAAGAATCTATCCTCTCTCACCGACTGGACTGCAAAAAGTGCCAAAATTTGAACGTTACAATCATACATTTTCTTTGTAAGAAATATTATAACCATTGTACACATGCATAACATTTGGAAAGTCATATAAACATACATTTAATAAAAGTATTTTGATAGAGGACCAGGTGTCAGTCTGAAGATGAATCTCGAGGAAGACAGTACTCCGATCGTATACTTGGTTGTTTTAATTAACAATACACATTCCTTTCGATTATTTAACAATTATTTGAATATTCTAATATTGTGAAATAATAAAAAATAATTGGATTAATCTATGGAATGAAATTAGTCGATTTCCGATCCCTTAGAGAGTTCCAGGAGATTGGGCATGTTCATCAGTGGTAGGGTGAAAAATATTTGTGCGCCCGAGCGTACTACGGACTCGATCGGTCTCGACCAAGAAGGCATCGATTTCGCCATTGATCAATCGATCTGTACCTCTCGGATAAGATGCTGTCGTCGTCCAGGACCCATCTTGTTCGTCGTCTACCATCAGCTTAGACCACACGCGTCGTGTCGCCCTGTCTCTTTCCTTCTCTCACTCACTCTTACTCGCTTTCTCCTTGTAGTCATCACGATCTATCCCGCATCCCTTCTTCTCTTTGGTTCAACGATCTTCAACGAAACGAAATTCAAAAACCTAAAGGAGAACCTTTCTTATATTCTAATATAACTTTATTCAAATATCTTTCTAATAGAATAGATTGTATTAATGTTATAATCATTCCACAATCAATGTTTCCGTTGAAAATATATATGTATGTTATTATATATAAGTTATTGCATATAATAAATAATAAAATAAAGTATATTTTTTGTTTAATCATGAAATCTGAGAGAAAAAAAATGTTATTTCGTCATTCGATTGAAAAGAAAAATGAGAGAAATATTCTAGGCGAGAAAAGAGTTATAGGGCCTCTTTCAACGACAACGACTTGAGTTTTGTTTTTTTTCTTTTTCTCTGTTTCTTTCTTGTCGGAAACTCTGACGCCTGTTGCTGGGCAACATAGCGACGTAAGAAGTAAGTTTACGTACACGATAAGTGGACGATAGGCGCGTGTATAAAGAGTTTCTTCTCCTTCGTGGAAGGAGGATGGAAAGACAAGAGGGTGATGCGCTTTGTCGAGAGGGCGAACAGCACAGGGCTAGGAAGGGGAAGAAAGAGAAGGACTTCTACCAGCAGCAAAGAGAGAGGCCACCCACGTCGAGGGCGCAAAGGCGATATTTAGCGGAAGGCAAATCTCTCTTGGGCCACCCACGTTGAGACTTCTCCTCCTATCCCCCTCCTATCCCCCTCCTATGCCCCTCCTTCTCTTTCTCCTTCTTCCTACGGCCCGAATTCCGAGCTACCTTATTTCAAAGAAAAGAAAAAGATAAAGAGAGAGATTTTACGAACGATTTATCCAATTTGTTTCATATTTTGTCAGAGGATATAATGTTTTTGTTCTTCTTCATATACAGTATGTATATACAGGATGACTCAATGCATACGGTTCACCTGACAAATAAAAAATAATAAAAATATGTAAGTACTCGTCACACTTAGGTTGTATCTATTTCATAAATCGAAGTCAGAAGTGAAAAGAACGATAACCATTATTGTCGACTTCCATTTACGTATCCCGAAAGTTCAAAGGAAGAAAAACAATCAAAGTAAAAAAGATAAGATTTGTAAGTACTCGCAAGGACACATTTACGGGCATTTTGGTTGCATCCTCGTTGCATCCTCGTTGCATAATATGTTGCATACGTGTTGGTATGGTACGGTGTTAAATAAAATGATATATCGCGTCGAAAGTGTACGGTCGTGTGGTTGCTCGCGCGTTTACGTTGCGCGTGGCTCCGTTTAATATCTTTGCTTGTGCTTGTGTCCGGGACCACCCACAGCGACGCCGAGGGACCACCCAACGCGCCGCGCTATTATAAGGGGCCGTCTCCACTTCGCACTTTACCTTAACTCGATACTCTTACCCTTCCTTAACCCCTTCACGCGAGCGCAAGCGTGCGCAATCGTGCGCAATCGTGCGCAATCGTGCGCAATCGTGCGCAATCGCGCGCCATTCACCCATCGTTTCATTCCTTCCGATTAACCTTCCGCGTTATCCTCCTCTCAACTATACTTTTTTATTAACAGCTAATCAATTGTTGCCTTTATCGATATTTCAAGAAATAGCTGAGAAAAGTAGGTGCTCGTTCTCATTGAGAATCTTTCGTCGTGGGGAGTCCTGATCCTGTCGGCGGACAATGGGATGAAAAATAAAGGGATAGGCTGGATAGGCTCGGGTTAAAGGCTCTCGTTGCATTGCGTACGACCAACGCACCGTCTCTTTCTCTCTTTTCTTTTTCTTCGCCTTCCATCCTCGTCCTTCGAGCAGTTTTGCCACACCTCCTCCGCTCCCACCCCTCTACCAGGTCTTCCCTTTCTTCCTCTCATTCTTCTCGTCTCACGGGGATTCAGCTAAGTCAATTCCACGTCGCTAAGGAAAGGCACAGAGGCGTTGGTGACTACTTGGGTGGTCCTCGTCCTACGCAAACAGAGCGAACGACTAGCAGGTAGTGTGCTGCTAGTGCTTTGAAAATTTATTCACTTTCTTCATCTTTAGATGGACGACATTTTTTTAATATTTCAAAAATAAAGGCTAGATAAATAATTAAAAGTTTTCCGCGGAAGAAATCGCCCTAATAAGGTGGCTTGAATGCTTCCTTGGTTGCTTCCTTGGTTGCTTCCTTGGTCGCTTCCTTGGTCGCTTCCTTGGTCGCTTCCTTGGTCGTTTCCTTGCTCGCAGGCTATCGCGATTCGTTCTCCACGGATTTACGATCCGGATTCGGGACATTTACCGATGTAAAATCAGCGCCCCTGGACTGGCCGGTACGCGGACTGACCATATTGCTTTTCATTATGGCCCGCGGTGCCTCTCGAGACCACCGACGTCGTCGCAATTAGTAAGTCCGATCCCTTTTCTCCTCCTCATCCTCTTTTCTACCATCCGCGCTCGCTTGGACTCACCCCACCTCGGATCTACCGTATGTAGTAGGCTCTCGTCCAAGTCGAGATTGTTTTAGAATTAATGATCTATAAGGGAAATACAGCCTCTTACCTTCCATGATTCCAAATCGACTATGCATCTTGGCAGCAAAAATCTATGCTGCTTGCTTGCTTGTTTGCTTCCTTGTGTAGGTATATTGTAATACCACGCCATTCGTTAAGGTGATTTCAAAGTTTTATCGAGATAATTCGATCGCTCCTAAATCTCTTGGATAGTTTCAACAATATCTTAGATCTAAAGAGTTTATAAAGAAGAAAATAGACAAGGTGGATAATCGGAGATGCCAATTCCGATTGACATACGACCCATCGATTCAAATGATCACGATAGAAAACGCGATCGAAACGAGTTTCAAAAGCAAAAGAGAAATTAGGCGAGAAATTGTGCGAGTTATTCGTGGGCGTTTGCGTCAAGATCTATCGTGGAAGGATAGATCGTGGAAGGATAGATTGCGATATATCGCGATATATCGCGATAGATCCTATGGCTTTTACGTACTGGCAACGTTAGTACTTATCTACCTTGTGTCCTACGTTTTACGATATATTGCGTTGCCTTGGATTAATACCTCACCGTGGGCGTTACCAACCGAATACGGTGAGTCTCCTTCCTTCTCCTTCGGGAACAAGGATCCACTAATCACAAGAGCTAGCAGATAAATCAAAATGATTCCTAACGTTGCTTCTTCCACTCACTAGTGCTCTTTCTCCCTGTCAAATTTTTCAGAATTAGAACCTGATAAAAGTCATCATTTTTATATTATTATCCCTTCGTTTTAGGTTTTTTTTTCTTCTTTTTCTTTCTTTCTAGTAGTAACAGTAGTAGCAGAAGAAAAAGAAGAAGAAAAATGCCGAACAAGAGGATGGGGGAGTCTCTTTGCTTTCGATCGTATCTGCAAAATAGAGACAAACGGTCGTATGAGTGAACGGATGGATGGATGGACGGATAGATGGACGGACGGACGGACGGACGGACGGACGGATGGACGAATGGATGGACGAACGGACATGTATGCCGCATTCCGTGTTTATTATTTTGCCGATGGGTGGTCCCGAGAGAAGTCCCGAGAGCTATCCTGGTGGTCGATAGCATCTCTCGCGTCTCTCGTGTGCACGCACCGTTGAACGCAGCTCCGATACAAGCAAGCAAGCAAGCAAGCAGCAAGCAAGCAAGCAAGCAAACGAACGAACCAACGAACGTGCCGCACCGCGTCATTTTGCGTAAGGAAGTAGTCGACTTTTTCTTCTTCTTCTTCTTCTTCTTCTTCTTTATCTCCTTTCTCCTTCTTTCTTTTCTTGCTCTTTTTTCTTTCCTTTCTCTTCTGCTACAGTCCAAGTCCTGGAAAGAGGGACTAGTCTCGCACGAGTGTGTATACGTGCATGTGTTAGAATATATCTACGTATTTTCTTGTTAGACGTGGGCTGGATATTCAGTCGTGTGGGCAGTTTACAAAAAAGACCAAACAACACTTTGGTATACTTATATTCTTCGTTGAGTCGGCCTCGAGGCTTAAGCATGATCCAACTTTTCTCTACTCCCCAATCCTCATCTGCCTCATCGTCGTGTCGCCAATTTGAAACGTCGTTCGCTTTTAATACTTAGCTTCGAGCGAAGGAAGATACCTCTGGGCTTGTAATGAAACTCGCATTAAAGAGCACGCAAAGGTATATAATTGTTCGAGTCGCGAGCACAGTAATAACTTATATTCAACCGGGGCTATCTAATATTTTCACCCTCTACAATGTTTCATTTGTCTCGCCTTTTTTATATCAGACCAAATCGTTCGATATTGTTTATTACGCGTGCTTGGGTGTTTGTTTGAATGAAAAAAAAAAAAAAGAAAATCAATCGTAACAATTGAATATATAATAAAATAAGTAAGATTTAATGTGCAAAAGTTTGATGTGCGCCTGAAAATAGGCAACACTCCAAGCCTAGAAGTTCGGGGAGAAAAAGAGTTAGACGGGTGGATTTTCTCGTAGCGATTTTACCTAGCGATATCTCTTTCTACTTAGCTCGAGCCACCCCCTACCGCGGTGGCATTACGCTCCCATGTGCCCCCGCAGTATCTCCCTCTCGCACTCATTAAGTCGATACCGCGTCGGCAAAGATCAAAAGCCCATCTTCTCTGGTGGACCGCTTAATACCGGGTGGCGAGTTAAGAGTGTCGTAAAAATTATTAACGGTCGCTCCACACGGTGCCTCTTTGGCGATCCGCCGTGCACACTGTGCCGAGAAGAGTAGCCGTCTTGGGGTGGATCAAAGGTAGACCACGCGGTATCAACCAATCTTTTCATCTTCCTTCCTTCCTTCCTTCCTTCCTTCCTTTACTTTTATCTTACCAAAGAAGGCGGCAACATTATTCAAAACTATCGCCTAATATTGCCTTTTATCGATAGATAAAATCGCTGGATAAAATCGATGGATACCGACAAGAGGTCTCAATTATCTTTCTCCGACTTGCTTTCGTACATATTCTACAAATATTGTTCCATTAATTACAATATTAAGAATTGATCATTTCTACAGAATATTAATTGTTCTCCGGAAGAAAGAGATAAAAGCGACAACATTCCATACCGTAAAACGATATCAATTAATACGTTTGATCGATCGATATCTGACATTTTCACCTTATCGCTTTTCGTAATCGGAGTCCAGTGTATGTATATCATTCGCGTTACTCTCGCCTTCCCCTCGCCTTTCTCTTCTATCTTTGAACCGTTGGCGAAATGCCGCGAGCGTGTATCGACGATATGCAAGCTCGGAGTGCAAAATTATCTGCTGTTTGGCGAACCGGTGCTCGGCTCGTTGTCACCGTGGGTGGTCGCATGTTCCTACGTGCGTTAACTCTCTCTCTCTCTCCTCCATTTTTTTATCTAGTTTATTTTTATCTCTTCTCTTACCATTTCCACGGAATAATAGAAATCGCGGAAAATATAAGCAATTAACTGTGCTTACGAAAAGTGTTTGAGGTATACCGCAAAAGCACGCGATCGCTTTACCGCAGGAGACCATTCGTGCAATCTTCCAAGAGAACGAGAAAAATAATACAAAACATATACTATCTAAATCGCTAATTAATTTCCGATAATTTTGTCTATTAATATTGCTGTATCGTGGGGCATCATCGTTAGGAATCGTCTCATTTCCGGTAGACGATCTTGATTAAAGGATTTCAGTCAGGTTCTCGTTAAGGTCCGATGAATTAGTGAACTTTCTCTCTCTCTCTCTCTCTCTCTCTCTCTCTCTCTCTCTCTCTCTTACATTCTTTTTCTAACCTTTTCTATCTCTATCCTACTCGTTGTAACATAAGCAAGACACAGCGTGTGTATAAAGCTTTCAGAAACGACGACGAAGACGACGACATAACGAAGAGGGTAGGTAGGAAGAACGAGAGAAGAATAGGAAAAGATACGAGAGAGGGAGAAAGACGAAAAGACCATGCCGATTCCCCTCGCCCTCGTGCGTGTCGCGTAAGGAGCCACGTCTCTGTGTGGGTAATGTTATTGCTCGAGGGAAAATGGTAGCGCGTGTGTGGTCCAGCGTCGAGCTCCCCTCGACCGATCGCATGGCGCATCGGCGTATCCTAGCAACGCGGAACGCCACTCGTTGCAACCAATCGCAGCCGAGATAGCATACCTTCGACCATCTTCGGCTATACTCGGCTTTGATATGATTCAGTCGCTCACCCTCGTATCGAGTCATCTATGCCCTTTCTCCAAATATATTTTTTCTCTAATAAAAATGATTAACAAGAAAATATACGACTTACTTCACCTGACGTATATAACTTATAAATAATCGTAAATCAAAGAATTATGTACTTTTTATACATTAACTTTTACAGCAAAATATCGATCGATCGATCGTAATTATGCTTGATTCGAATACATTTAATTAAAAGGATCGGGTCATTCATCGATAAGTTGTAAAATAAAAACCTAAAACATTTGTTATAATAGGGGAAGTAAAAATGAAATTGGGTAAAGAGGGATATCGGTAGGATTGTAAATAGTGTTGGGTATTCGGCGGAAGTATGTACGTTCCTGTATATCGCCTCTCACGGCCGATCACGCTTTGGTGTTGGAGTGGGGACGAGTCATCAGCTATGGCCGGCGCAGGCCAAGAAAGAAATGTGGCAGCGGGTTTCGTTTAGTACGGACTTAGACTGCTCTAAGTGGCGGTCGTCCACCTCGGTATTCGATAATAACAACGACGAGGACGAAGACGAGGACAAGAGCGACGATAACGATAACAAGGACCACGAGGAAAAGGAAGAATATTACTTTAGCTGGAGAGGAGAAGCATCAAAAGAAAGAGAGAAAGACGAGAGGAGCGATCGACCGAGAGGGGGAAAAAGAAGGAAGAAGGAGAAAGACGTGATAACTCGGTGGTAGAGAGAAAAAGATAGAGATAGAGAGTGTCCATCGGAGGACCGTAGAACACTCTTCTTGGTCTTGTTCTCTTTCTTCGCCTGCTGTTGACGACGACACGAGCCGCGTGCTTATGTGCGTGAACCGGATGTTCCTTGATAGAAAATAAATATAATTACGAGTTTGTCTATAATTTGCACGTCAAATAAATAGGAGGGTGTGTAAGGGTGTGTAGGATTAAGTTAGCGAAAAGCACGTGTCGTTCTTCGTATATCTCCGTTGCGCGCGCGCTCCGAGTTTCGCGCGAAAACGAGCTGCAGATAGCTTCACGGTGGTCGCGCGATATTTCAAAACAGAGTTCCTCGCTCGCGTGTGCGCACCGCACGGCTCACGCGTGTTGTTGTGTGTGTATGTGTGTGTATAAATCCCGACGGCTAAACCCAACGGAAGGAAAGAGAAACCCTGAAAAGGAACCCGTGAGAGAGGGAGAACAACAGAGGAAGAAGAGAAGGGTTAACGTAAAGAAGGATCAGGAGAGGGGGGAACACAAGTCCAGGGAGGAAGAAAAGAGAGGTGCACGCTCGTATTTACGCTCGGGCAGCGGTACGAGCAGCTAATCTATATGCGGGAGCAAGCTCTTTCTCTGCGTTCCTCGTGCGACGACGAAGGCGACGACGACGACGACGACGACGACGACGACGACGACGACGACGAGGACGAGGACGACGACGACGACGACGACGCCGACGTCGACGCCGACGACGCTCGCAAATTCAACGTTTCTTCTTTTTTTTCTTATTTTCTTCGACTTTCCGATTTTCGTCGAATTCGACCCGCTGATATTGACGCGCGTTTGTTGTTTTCCATTTTACGAGAAAGTGAAACCCTTTCTACAGTGCAACAAAGTAATCAAGGAGTAAATAATATTACAAAGGATCAAACGAAGAAAAAGATTAAATGCGTTACGTTTAAAATATATGATTAAATATAAGACCGTATTGGCGGGAATTTCAATCGATTCGAACAAAACCACGCATCGTCAAGGTGTTCTTGTTTTCGTTTCGTTTTGTTTTGTTTTGTTTTTTTCTTTTTTCTTAATCAACGACAAACTTGATCAAAATCTCGTGTAAAAAGGTGAAGTGGTGAATAGCAGTGGTGTGTAGTGGTGGTGGTGGATATTGAAAATAGTTGAAGAGCGAGAGAGGTGTCGGAGCGAATGCATTACGGATCATGGTTTCTGTGTTTGGCCCAACAGGGATCCTAGCGGGACGGCCTTCCGTCTCGCAGACGTCGTCGTCTTCTATCTCGTCAACGGCGACGACGACGACAACGACGACGACGACGACGACGACGAATAATACACCGGCAACGACAGCAACGACGACCGCGACTACGAACTTACCGTTAAATGGAAATCCTCATCGTTGCGAAAATTTAGCTAAGGCCATCGCCGACAGCAACAAAAGACGTCACCAGTCCGATCTTTACGTCAGACCAAGCTGGACCGACGCTGCCATTGCTTTGGATCAACTCGAAAAGGTTTTTATTACAATATTTATTTCTAATTAAATCCTCCTCTTCTTCTTCTTCTTATTCTTCTTATTATTCCTTATAACGCCTTTTTCTCGAAATGTCGGAGAACTAGAAAAAAAAAAAAAAGATAAGGATATGAATTGGATGCAAATTATATCGGTCGTTTACCGGAACAGCGCCGTTACCTTTCCACGAAGGTAGAAGCGTTAGGATATCTTGAATCGACGATTAAAGCGGGAACCGTTTGAAGAACCGAGAAGGAGCAACCAACTGCACCATCAACAATAGGGAAGTGTAGTTGTACGAACCGAGTGGTATTCGTATTTTACAAAGAAATACGAAGAAAAGAAGATAGAAAGCGCAGTCCTGGGTCCGCTCGCGCGTTAAGAAAAGAGAGAGAGAGAGAGATAGATAGATAGAAAGAAAGAAAGAGACTCTCGGCTAGCTGTAAACTTTCACACACGCTGGTGGTCCAGAGAACTGTCTTTCGTCGACGTTTGCGGCTATTCGACTCTCTAAGAAGCTAAGAAAGAAGAGAACCTAAGAAAGAAAGAGAAAGAGAAGGATACGGAAGATTGCTTCGAACTGTTTGACTTCCCGTCCGGAATTGAACAACCTTCTTCTTCTTTTTTTTCATATAAGAATTATTAAAAAAAAAAAAAAAAAGAATCTAATCAATCTCCTTAGATCCTTCAAGAAGATTCTTCCTGGTTTCTTTTATTTTTCTCTCTCTCTCTTTCTCTCGTGGCAAGAAGGATCGACGAAAATGTGTACACGGCGTGCGAAGCGGGAACGAAGCGTATCGCCTTTCGAAGGAGTCGGGTCTTCTTTTCTCTCCCTCCCTCCCTTCCTCTTTCTTTCTCTCCCATCCCACAAACGTCTTTTACGACGCTCGGACCTCCCTGAAGCGGAGGTCTCCACCTCCGCTCGACTTTTCTTGGAATTTTCTTCGAGCAACGAAAACGTCCTATTACCTTCGTCTTCTCCTCCTCTTCTTCTTCTTCTTTTTCTTCTTCCGTTCTGGTTGCTTTATCTTTTCCGAACGAATCTATCCAAATCGCAATTGAGACGTCCCGTCCCAACTCGCCCTTTTTCCTTCCAGTGAATCGTCGTAAAACGTGGAATTTTGTACGTCTTATTCTCATTCAAGTGCATCCTCGTAAAAATGATATTTTTTCATGGAGTCCTTTGAATCTTTCTACATTTCTTAACCCTTTTCCCGTGTTTGGAGCTTACGTGCTCGGTGCGTTCCATCAGAAATTGATAAGATCTAGGAGAATCGTTAAGTAGAATGAATCTCGTTTCTACGTTCCCTTCTCTTCCTTTCCCTTCCTTTCCCTTCCTTTCCCTTCCTTTCCCTTCCTAGGATTCCAATTAAGAATTTCTTTCTTTCACGAATGGCGGTCCGACGTTGCGCTCTCTCAAGGAAACCAGTTTCTTTTCGACGCTGATATATGCATTCGCGACGTCTCCAAAAATCATTTTACTGTCGAATCAGCTGCCGTACATTCATTTCTCTTTCGTAATATCAATCAACAACATTACTTTATTTTACATCAAACTCTCTTACAAAGAGATAATTCAAATGAAAACATTTATATAAATGCGATCTTTGATATTCTGATTTGTATTTTTCCTATTATATGAAACTTTGGAAAAAAATATAAATAATCGTTTCACTTGGAAATGATCTATAGGTCTATAGGCAATGCAATGTTCCTACTAGTACATTTTGTATCAATAGTTGTATTCATGAGAGAGGAGGAGGGATGCTTTGAAAAATTGTAAAGCCCCTTAAAAAAAAAACCTCCGTTCAAAGACCTTTTTAGTAGATACATTTAAACTTATATACGTACATACGCGTATAAAGAAAAGAATATATGAGAATGAAAAAGAGGAAGGATAAAGTCGGTACGTTTTATAGAGGCAGGCATTTAAATACGTTCGATCATTCAGAAAAAGAAGAGGAGTATGAAAAGGAGAAGGAAGAGGAAACTAAGAAGAAGAAGAAGAAGAAGAAAACGATAAAGATGTAGACTCTTTCTCTCTCTCTCTCTCTCTTCGTCAGGATAGAAGATGACTTTTCTCTCTTTTTCATAGCTAATATGTTAGGCCACACACAGATCGACGTTTGATTGCCTTCAAGCTAAGTTGCCCGTGCTTGAAACGAGCGCAAAACGTTTGCTCCTGTTTTAATCGTTTGCTCGTACGATTGCACAATCTTTACTGGACCAGTAGCCAACAGTCTTTAATGTATCCACATCCCTCTCTCCCTCTCTCTCTCTCTCTCTCTCTCGCGCGCTTTCTCTCACCTATTCGAGAAAGGAAGAAGAAAGACGATGATGCGTATCCAGAAAAGAGGAAAAAGAATCAAATTCGAGGTCGTTGCTCCACTTTTTTTACACCCTTGGAGAGTTTCTCGAAAGAAAGCCGTGCTTCGTATTTCCTCCCTCTCCTTCTCTATCCTTATATATATATATATATATATATATTTCTCTTTCATCTTCTCTCTCTCTCTGTTTCTCTTTAGGTTCGTGACTCGCGTTCATCGCAGATGAGTCAGTCAGTTACGGGCACTGGCCTTCTCTCCTTCTTTCTCTCTCTCTCTCTTTTTCTCCTTTTTTCTCTCTTTTTCTCTCTTTTTCTCGTACACGCGTGCCGAGCCAAAAACACGTCAGTCTTTGGTCTCTCCTACTCTCTTTATCTTTCTCTTTGACTTTGTTCTTACCAAACTCGATGATACATTAAAACGTAATTCGCAAGTTTGTCTTCTTAATCATTTTTATCAATCGTTCATGTTCAACAACATTTATTATTGCATTCCAAGTAACATAAATGTATAATTGTAAAAAACAATGCTCGATTTAATTCAAATCGTGATTAACTTATAATATCTTATGATATGGGGAAAAAAAAAGAAAAATAATTGAAAGAAAAAAAAGAAAAGAGAACATTTAGTTGTTGACCAAGCGAAGAATAAAAGCAGCGGGGATATTCGAATTTGTTTACGTTCGCTGCGCTTTGCTTCAGGCACTGACCTCGACCCCTTACCGTTCACTCCTATGCTCTCGTCCGTGTGTTTGCGATGATGTAGCATGATGCATACAACATACGTTTGCCCGTGCATGATACCGAATCATTCAACATTTTTTTCTTTTTTTATTATTTCAATTCAGATAGAATTCTATGCATTTTTCTGCTAAATTTCTGATTTATAAATTTTTATAATCGACAAATATCCCTTTAAAGCATCTTCGCCATTCACGCATGTTGCACCGCACCGCACCGCACCGCACCGCGCCGCGACGCGCCCTCTCGGCCAAGATTAAAGGGCGCCGACACGACGACGTGTGAGGCTTCCTATGCACTAATAATACCTACTAGGAGAATGAAACTGAAAAGAAGACAGAAAAATCTAGCTACTTTCATCCCTTTTAACCAAGCTTCTCTAATAAAGAATGTCAAGTTGATTTGACGTAAAAGGGAAAAAAGCTGCATTTACTTTTTTTCATTTTTTATTTTTCATTTTTATAGAGTCAAAAAAAAGAGAAAAAGAGAGATGTCCATCAAAACGGAAAGGACTTTTCCCTATTACTTTTCAACACAAATTCTTAAGAAGAAATGACTCTATTCGTTCCGGTACAACCTTCATCCTTCGTCTGGAACTTTTTCGGCATTTTTCAAGTCATAGTTTCCTTCGTAGGAAATGCCATTAGAAGTATTTAACTTCCTTTACCAAAATCCGCAACGAATTAGACCAAAAAAAAAAAAAAAAAGGTAGATAGTGCAGGAAGGGAGGAGCTCTTTCTCAATTCTTTTGATCCTTGACGAAGGGATAGATGCCGCCCAAACCTTCGATGAATAAACAAGTTTTTCGCCTATTACAATAAGGGAGAAAGAAAAAAGGCAAATGATAAACGAGACCTATTCTTAGATATGTTGGCGTCGATATAAGGGTAGTAGGTAGGGATCCTAGGTTTTCCTTTCGAATAGACATCGGCGTGGAATTCTTGGGCCGATTAGAGCGCCAGCGGATCGAGTTTCTTGCGGACACTTTCGAGCCGTACCTACCGCAAGAACCTATTCGTTTATCCAAGGAGTCGCGTGTAGTATGCAACACACTCATTCTATTTGACTTTCTTTCAAGCATATTCTACCAATAGATGAATATTTTTTTTCGATTGCAACTCAAGCGATCAAATATTTATTTAGAATTGTTCTCTTACTTTGCGTGCGAATTGCGTTCGACGAAAAGAAGAAGTCAATAAACTATATAAATGCAACTAGTTTGGTCTCTTTCTCTCTTATTAGTGGTGCGAGTAGGATAAAAGAGAAGGGAAGAGAAGAAGTGGTTGGGAAGGAGGCCCTCTTTTTTCCGTAAGTGGTCCCCGCGGGCTTTATGGGGCTTCTCGTGCTGGACAGTATCTACATATTACAACCTCGTGGCGCGGAGACCACCGTCGTTGACATAAGATCCTGTTATGCTGTCTGCTATCTCTCCGCGCAGTTTGTGTCGCGCCATAAAAAACATTAAAGGTACGAATAACATAAATTCGTTAAGTATCCCAGGCTCTTTCTTTCTTACTTTCATTCGAAATCTCTTGGCGTAGCGTTCGTCGTCATCTCGTAGCACGTGTCCTACCCTAGAAGAGACAACAAGTTCGAGTTCGAGTAAACGGTTACTACTCGAGCAGCAGCTAATCAATGAAGATCGTTCTCTTGAAATAAATATTGATAACAAAAAAAAAAAAAAAAGATGATATCTCTTGAAACCGATGGATGGGCATTTTCCACTTAAATTAAGAAGCTTGGAGGATAATTTGCATCTTATCTGGATAGGAGAAGGTGAAATAAGGAAGAGAAGAAAATAAAGAAGGATGGAGAGTGATTTTCATCGACAACAACCCCCCATCCCCCGAGGCCATGTGGTCGACGGCGGATTGTCCATGCGTCTAGAGTTACTCGGGCCCATGCGCCCGCGGCACCCGAGTTAATTGGCTGGAAAACCTTGCTATCCGATACCCACGCTGCTACCGCCCCGAGATACGTAAACGCGCATAATCCAGATTTTCGTTTACCCATGCGCCATTATATCTCTTCGTGGTTCCAAAAGAAAATCTGGCAAACAACAACAAAATATCTAATAGAAAAAGAATCTATAAACATTCTTATGTACCCTCCATTCGAGCATGTCCTATTTAGATTTTCCATCGCGAGCCCTTTTTATCTATCTATCTCCGTCTCTYAGCGTAGGCCCGGTAGAGATAGGCATTGTTGCGGGTGGTCCACGATGCACATTGTCAGACCGGCCACCAGGTACTACAGCGCAACGTTGCCGCTCGCAATGTTGCTTGCGAGCTCCTCTTCCTCTTTTGTCTTTATCAAAAACCCTCTATTTCCATCCCCTTCCATGGTTCATGACTTATGGCGTAACTCCTAAGGACTCTACTGTGCTCTCGTATATTCTTCTTCTTCTTCTTCTTTTTTCTAATCTTCTTGATTAGTTTTCAAACAAATTTGACGTGATCATTTTGTACTTGTCTGTCATCGTCAGTTAAAATTGTTCTTTGATATTACGTCGTTAAGTCACAAATAAGGGACCTAATTTTGGGATACAATAAATAATACGTCTTTCTTTCGAGGAAGCAGCAACGTTGCTGCTGCCGTTGCACGTACAACAGCCACGTATAATGCGCGGCCCGCCACTTATCATCGTCAAAGCCCACGCGGCCAATTTAAAACGCTCACCGTCCTCTTCTTCTTCCTCTCCCTCTCCCTTTCTTGTGCGTTCCTTTTCCCCGAAGACTTCCACCAAAAAATGACGCGAATTCATCCTACCTCTTTGGCTACCTTAACGCACTTCCCAACTAAATATTGTACCAACATTTATTTGATTTTTGTCTTATTGTTTTAATCGATGACTCGACGCTAATCTCTAACGGAATTCCATTTATTTTTCAGGGCAAGGCGGAAGGACAGAGGTCAGTAGTATGGATCAGGGCTCGATTGCAGGACCAGCTGAGTCAGCTTGGCTACTTCCTGCAGAGGCACGCAGGGAAGGTCCTCTTCGTTGCCATACTTGCCTTGGCTACCTTTTGTGTCGCTTTAAAGTCGGTACAAGTACACAGCAAGGTCGAACAGCTTTGGGTTCAGGGTAAGTCTTCGCAACGGTTAAACTACTATTGTACACGGTTGATTTTATTATCGGCCGTAGGATAAATGAAAAACTAAATAGCTTCCTCGAAAGAAAAAGTTTAGGGGGTGTGGGTTCAGAACAAAATGAAAAAGTAGAGTCTAAGTTATAAGAGAGACCACCGAGACGAAATGAAATATTCCTTGACTCTGTTTTTGTCTCGCACACCCACCACACGGTACATTAGTTACCCTCTGGGTGGCCCTCTATATTTATCTGTAGCTCGAACGTTAATTTGAACACCCGTTGCTAGCGCTTATATACCGCGGATAGATACCGTATACGTAGTGCGTTTCATCAAATGACAAAAAGACAAATTTATTTGACGAAAGAATCAACGTTGTCTCTAATAAGGAATCGCGGTAAGAAATAAAAGGAGTTAAAATATGTAAATGAAAAGCTAAGCGAGAGGTGTTTCGATGGGTGTCGCAATGAGTGTCGATCACGATGCGAGATGCGTGTCGTTCCTCGAGAGTCGGCTCGATCAAGGAGAAATTGAAAGAGCGTAGGGATCATCGGTACCGGATATCCGGAAGCTGACCACGGGGACGACAACGTGCAAGCTGATGAGTCTCGAGAGCTACCCAATATGCGGGCGTAGTGTTTTTCTCCTATGTTGAAGTGGTGTTTCGTTCGAAAACTAACTTTGTTTTTTTGTCCCTCTCGAAAAAGGGAGAGAGAAAGTTAGTTACCCTCTGGGGACAAAGCGTAATGATTCTATCGGCCGTGAAAGACTGTTCTCTCTCTCTCTCTCTCTCTAGACGCGTTTAAGTTTATGGCAGGAGCAGAACGCGTAAAGCATTCTCCTGAATTCGCAACGCTTTGCCGGCGCAATCACGAAGCGCTCTTACCTCACTGGCACACACACACACACACACACACAAAGCAGCACATCGGCCTTTTCTCTTTTCCCTCAACGCCGATTGTAAATTCGAGTCGCGAAGCTTTGCGTCGCTACGTGCGGTCCTACCAACGCCATTTGCAACAAAATAACAAAACAAAAAAACAAAGGTAAAATTCGACACAGAATATATAGAGGTAAATATATAAATGTTAGGAAAAGGTCTCGTTTTCGTTTGGTTTCGTTCGTCTATTTGGATCTTTTCTCGATTGGCTTTATTTACCCGCACCGAACGATAAGTTGCTGCTTTACTAAGAGAAGATGTGAATGGCACACACGCGGCATATCGTGTCTCTCCTTTCTCTTTCTTTCTGGTCTATTTTCTTCGGCTCTTCCTGAACGCATCCGCATGCAACAGAAGGCGGCGCTCTGCTTATACTACTCTGTAGGTGGATAAAGAAAGAGAGAAAATATACGCATGCTCCTTTTGCCCTCACCTTCGAAGAACACTCGCCAGTCGGATACAGCATTTTTCACGAATTCTTATTACCACCTTTCTACAATTTACACATTATTCTATTTTCATTTTCATCATAATTTTAGTCTCCAACAAATTGAAAATCGACAATTTTAAAGCATTTCATTTTGCTAATCAATCGTAATTTGCTAAGCTATCAGCGATAACGGCTAATCTATTTTGGATCAGAACATTAGGTTTATTTTTGCATCCTATCAAATGTCCATTTATTATTATACAACATTTCATGAAAATAGTTCAATTTGGAAAACAATGAAAAGACCGAAAGGAGTATTGGAAACGTGTTACCCTTCTTGGAAGGACCTGTATAGGGCCAAGGAGGCCTTAGCTTTGGCGTGATAAGGACAGACAGAGGACGAAGCCACGACCGTGCACGAGGGGCCGGCTGACTGCTTACATCTTCATTAGGCCCCCATGCCTTGGAGTAAGAGAAAGAAGAAGAAAAAGAGGGAGAGAGAGAAAGAGAAAGAAAGAAAGAAAGAAAGAGGTAGTAGGAGCAAGATGAAGGAAAGGAAAGAAAGAGATAGATGTAAGGCCACAACGGGGATATAAGAGAGTCAGAAGAGCGTCGTCCAAAGACCCACCAGGAATCTGTTGTTGTTGCTGTTCCGACGAACGGTCGTCCCGACCGTCGGATGGACGAACGAACGGACGGACCGACGGACGGACGGACCGACGGACGGACGGACGGACGAACGGACGGACGGCTGCATAAACAGAGGATCTCATCTTCTCTTTATTCACTACTGTTGTTATACTACTCCCACGTAGGCGATTTCGATTACAACTACTTGAACCATATTGAAATGGTGTTTCCTCGTGCATACGTGTGTAACGCGACCAACGCGTTGCTTACTTTAAAAGGATCGTCATTCTCTATATAATTTATAATCGAATCGATATACTTTCTTGAAATTTATTCATTCACGACGTTCAAAAGGAATTTTGACAAAGTTAAAGTAACTCGAAAGATGATATCGCGAATCGTACCGTTAGGAATGGAAGTTAGGAATGCGTTATGTATACTGAGAAATAGGTCTCGTTGAGAAAGGCTAGACGGTAGAATACACGGATGAGAGCCACTTAGATTGGACGGGGCTCGGTTCCGGTGAATGGTCGCGGTGGGTGGCCCGATGTGCTCTCTGTGTGCGCCAAGCCATCCCAACCAGCCAACCAGCGGTGGGCCTGCGTGCCTCAACGACTGAGCCAAGTCTCCGAGTTCTGCCGAGAGAGCTAAGCCTACTTCGGATCCCCCAGTTCCTACCCCAGTTTCTACCCCAGTCCCTACCCCAGTCCCTAGTCCATCTCTTTCTTTCTTGTTCTCTGTGCGCGCACGAGCACATATCTTCCACGTGTTCTTGCTCTCCCGAAACTTGGTCGGTCGCTCGGTCGTAGTAGTAATAGTAGTAGCAGTAGAATCAACAGCCCTTTTCTGGATCTTCCTTCGTCTTTCTCTCTGCGCTCCTCTTGTTGCCCTTCTTTCGACGGACATCAACCCCGAAATCGTACGTCCTTTCGCGTGCTTCCTTTTCCATTGTAGCTTTCTCTAATAGCATTTTTCGAAGAGTGGGAGTAAAAGTTGAAGATCGAGAGCTGTTGCGCGAAAACGCATGCCTTCCTTCGCGACGTTTAATTGGCAATTAGCGTGAGGTACGCGCGCAAGGTAACGCCGCCGGAATCGGTCTACGTACTTACACAGGGGTTCTCCTTCTGCCAAACTTGTTTTCTTTTTTCCCTTCTTTCCCCTTTTTTTTTTTTTTAAGTCGAGAGTCGTTTAGATCGAAAGAATTTCTGAATAGTTCGTCGAGGTTTCGTATTACAGGACATTCGGGGGATAAGTCTTAAAAATAACCTTCCTGACAAGCAACAAGAGAACGAGATGGAAGGGTCACGCGACTTCTACGCTCGCTCGACGAGTAGTTGCGTCATATGGGAAACTCTTTAGGGGAGACGCACGTGGTCTTCTTTATAGGCATTTTCACACACCATAAAACTGTCGACGCGTGTACGTTTTGCGTCGATAGAAATCTCCATATCGATTAATAGAATATCCGGTATAGCGATAAGCCGGCGAGTAGGAGACTTCAATGCCTTGTCCACGACAAGCAATGATTTCGAGGGTGGAAAATGTTTCGTTGTTGTTCAGCACACCGGAGATCGATCCGCCTTTCGTCTCGTAATATTATAAAATTAACGTGTAACCGGTAATTGGACAGAAGTATCCCTTTAACGATTCGACCGGTCGTCGTGTCTCGACTTGTCCGTCTTAAGTGGCTTCTCGTTTGAAATTTAAGGAGTTTCGCTCCACCCCGTCACCGTTTGCTACCGTTCAAAAAGAAACAAAATGAAGACCAACACACAGGGGTTGTTGGAAGATCTTTGACCAAGATCGAGTCGATCTCTCCGATGCGTGCACCTGCTTTCATCCTCTTTTTTTCCCCTCCATCTCTCTTTATTCGATTCTTTCTTTTGACCGAGCACGCGTGTGTTCTTTCCTTCCTTTCTTTCTTCTTCTATCTTCGTGTAAGCCCTTCCTTCCTCTGTTGATTCAAGCCTCGGCCCCCTTCGACCCGCCTCGCCCTGCCGCGCCTTGCCTCGCCTCGCCTCGCGGCCACCATCAAATTATCGTTAAATATCGGTTGTTCATTCTCGGTACGGGAACGCACGAGTTTTTTTTCCTCCTTCTCCTCTCCACTTCCTCTTCCAATTTCTACTCCTATAACGTGTCTTCTTCGTATTTTTTCCTTCCTTCCTTCTCTCTTCGTTAATTTAATTAGATTCGTAGAGAAAATATTTCGCAAGAAAATAATCGACTCGAACAATGTAATTTCATGAAGAAACAAAATGTCAAAAGATCCTTTATCTTTCCTTTTGGTGTATTGCTTCTGCTCTTTCAGCAGCATCCCCCCCCCCTTTTTGGAATACGAAGACGGGCAAATAATTACAGAGAGCCCTCGTTGATAAATCACTGCCCTCTTCTTTCCACTGATTGTCGATTAGAATAAAAAATAAATAGACAAAATTTGTAATTGGAATTATGAAAGAATTATTGAGGAGGGAGTTGAGAATCACTGAGAAGCGAGCACAACACGGGTGGTCTACGGAGGCTGCGCCGTGGCGGAACGAGCAAATACGCCGTCGGCATTTTTGACGGTGAAATCTGACTAGGTGGGGTCTCAACGTAGTCCGCGTCAGCCGTCATCCTCGTGCCCTTCGTCCATTACTTTCAGTCTTATATGCGTATCTTCCAATTGCCTCTTCCACCTCCTCCTTCCTCTTTTCCTACTCTTTCCACCTTCTCTTCTCTTCTCTTCTCTTCTCTTTTCTTCTTCCTTTCATCTTTCACTCCATCGATCGGTCTCCTGAGCAAAGAAAGAGAGAGAGAGGGAGAAAAGCCTTTTCGATGAGCTTTGCTTCTTTATTTTGCAGTAGCCAGACTGGAAACACGATTTCATCCGTACGTACGTTCGTACGTACGTCCATACATATGCACATATTCCGGATGCGGTTCTCCAGCTAACGGAATTTTATTTACTGGAGTAATTCGATTCGCATCCATTGATTTTCTTTTATTCCTCTCGGCATCATCAATGACGATTTGACATAAGTTTGACAAACGTTTCCACGCTTTTCTTTTTATTTTCTTATTAAATAATTAGTACATATCGAGTTACGTATCTCGATACCAGTTTACATTATTATCAAGGGGATAAGTTGAAAGATACTAAAGATCTTTCCCCGATCTTGCAATTATATTTATCTCTTGGGTACGATCATCGTACGTTACTACTACTACTACGATCAAGGGATGCTCGATCGAGCTCGCTTGATTGGTGATTAGCTTTTAAAAGCGGCTCAGCCTATTTCAATATCTTCGCGATCGTTAACTTTGTATCCTCGTCGTAAAGACGTTATTAAATCTATTTACGATGATTTACGACGGAGGCTCATAATTCCAAAGGGAGTTACCGACTAATTACAAATCGTCGTTCGCGATCTACACACACACACACACACACATACAGACACATGTATTTTTACCTAAGTGGCGAGATTTTACAAATAGATATTTTCGAAAGATTTTTCTTCTATTCTTTTTTGGATTTTCAACGACATCGTCATCGTCGTTGTCGTCGTTGTCGTCGTTGTCGTCGTTGTCGTAGTTTCTATAGCTGTTTCGAGGAAAGCTTTTATTGGTACGCTGCCAACGGGGAGAATTTTTGTCGGTATATATATTCGTAAAGTCAAAGGAACGCACGCGTTACGACACTACGCGTGTCCCAATGTGTGGTTCTCTTCGAGGAATCGTCGGTGCATATGTACATGCATAGATCTTCTAACAACGCTCGTTCTTTCGAGAATAAAAAGAATAAAAAGAAGGAACCATTGCAATTAGATTGATACTTCAAACCAAAGAAAAATATGTTTTATGTTAGCTATTTTAAGATATTATAAAACATTAGTTGGCATCTATTATACAGTAGACGTCGTCCGGTTGTACTTTTTCAGAAGGTGGAAGATTGCAAAAAGAACTAAAGTACGCTTCGGAAGCACTTGGCGAGGCTGCCCCGTCGACGCACCAGCTCGTTATCCAAACCCCAAAACATCCCGGGGCAAATATTCTACATCCTGCCGCTTTGAAAGAACATTTGGCAATTCTCAAGGCAGCTACTCAGGTCACCGTACATCTCTACGACATGTGAGTTTTCATTCCAACAGTTTAATCGATTATCGCACGAATTCGCGGTTACGCAATAATAAACGCATTTGATCCATCCTTGCCTTTTGTATATCGAAGAAAAAAAGGGGCACTCGCGTGTCGATAAGCGAACAAATTGAGAGAAACCGCAAAACCGCGTTCAACCAACAACCACTGTCAATAGTTCCAATGGTGAACAGTTCGAGAGTGAACCATTTTTTCTACCGCTTATCGGCACGTACGTGGCCTTTTAAGAGTATGCAAACTTGTATTCATGAATGCATGTGTTTCGTGTCGCTTGCAGCACGTGGAGACTGAAAGACATGTGTTACGCGCCGAGCATACCCAACTTCGACATGCACTACATCGACCAGGTAATTCAAATGACAACCACGATAAATGTATACGCGTAAGCACGAGCCTTCCTTCTCTCACACAGCCTAACTCGTCTCAATGTAGCYTCCCTCCCTCCCTCCCCTTCCTTCTCTTCACTTTCGATGATCAATATTATTGCATAATCTTCAACAATAGAAAATCTTCTTATTTATATCTCACGTTGGATTCCTTTCATAGTTCCTTTCCAACGATAATTCCAACTCGATATCGAAGATGATCTCTAGAGGTATACGAAGAAACGACCTAGTATACGAACCATCCTATTAGAGTTTCCAAGAACCCACAGGTGGTCCATCCTAATATCTTTTACTACTACGAAATATAGTACCACGTATATTCTATTTCTCGGATGTAATAAAAATATCTTCTTCTCATCTTCTACAAAGTCCGTGCATTTTGTCTTTTTTTTTAGATCTTCGATAGTATTATACCATGCGCGATCATTACACCTTTGGATTGCTTTTGGGAAGGAAGCAAACTGTTAGGCCCCGAACATCACGTTCAAATACCGTAAGCGATTCAAATTATTCGACACAAAATCATCCTATTTCTAATTTCTAAATGTTCTAATATTTTTCGTTCATTTCATTTGACAGTGGTGCAAAGACGAACAAGCCCGTTCAATGGACCAATCTCAATCCGTCCGGTATGTTGGACGAAATGAAAAAAATGCAATTCATGTTTCCCTTCAAGACGCTCGAGGACTACATGAAGAGGGCTGGGATAACGAATGCCTACCAGAGCAAACCGTGTCTCGACCCAACGGATCCCGAGTGTCCGGAAACCGCGCCCAACAAGAAGTCGCAGCAGGTAAAAAAACCATTTCACTTATGTGCCTTGCGCAAACAACAAATTCTCATGAATTTCTTAGATCAATGAAAAATAAGAAAAGAAAAGAGTACGTGAAGAAAATGGGGTCGCTTAAACGACTAAACGTTAGAAGCTTTGAAAATCTTCGCAGGAACTCGTATGTACGTGAGATTTGTTGTTAGAAACGTCATGCCGATCGTTTAATATTCAACTACAGTGGCAATCGTTTGCGTGCACGTTCACCAGAGAGTGAGAGAGAGAAAGAGAGAGAGGAAAATGCGCCTCCGACTCGCTTTGATATTGCGCGGGTGGGTATCTTATGCGGATCCTCTTCATGATGTAGACTATTACAAACGGAGGGAGGATATAGAGAGAGAAAGAGAGAAAGAGAAAGAGAAAACGAAACGAAATAATGAATATTTAATTGAACGTCTACAGATATTGGCCCCGCGTACGGTACGAACGAAATAGATAATTTTTTTATTCATGCATCTACATGTTTCACTAAATAAATTGAATAATTATAAAATATATATTTTATTTTTGAATGAATTTTATTCGGGTTAAATGATATTGGTCGTTTTCAAAGAATCACAAAGTCTCGTATACATACATACATACATACATACATACATACATCGTAGATTCGAATAAGCCAGGAAGAGGAGACCGATGGGTGCGCGCCGTGAATGAAATGATTTCCATGCGAAATCAGCGATGAGTATGCGAGTCGTGTGGGTAGCGCCGCTACGAGCATTAAAATAATAAAATCGAGAGATGTGCGTCATTATTGCGCTACCCTGGTGGTCGTACGACGGACCCGTACCGTACCCGATCGTTTCGCTATCGTTAAATTACTCGTCGTTGCTCCTCCGTATCCTGCACATGTGTTATGCATGTGCCTATCCATTGAATTTCCTTCATTTCATTTTTTTTCCCTAGACAGTAATAATGGTCAACGATTAGAATTCAATATCTTTCTTAAAACAAAGTTGTCGGATATACTATTTATCAGTAATTAGCAGCATATGCTGGCAAGATCGAGAGAGTAAAAAGGGAAAAGATACGGGACGCGCGCGGTCAATTAATTTCGCATAATCGAAAGCTTAGATTTATTATACCGTCCGATCTGAGAAAGAAACGGTGTGGTCAAATACTTTTTATTTTCATAGTACACATCAGCACATCCGTACTTGAGATAATTACATTTAATGGTTAAAAAGGTTCTCCCAAGCAAGCTTCGTTTGGTATGCCGACGCAATAATATCCGGTCGCATTTCCCGCTATGCGTTGACGCCCTCGATTTTCCTAGAGATTTTAGATGTAGGACACGTTTTGTTGCAGGAACCAGACATAGGAGTCGAACTTACCGGCGGTTGTTACGGATTCGCTGCGAAATATATGCATTGGCCCGAGGAATTAGTCGTCGGAGGTGCCAAACACAACAAGACTGGTCACCTAACTCGAGCAGCAGCTTTGCAAACGGTCGTTCAATTGATGGGCGAACGAGAGCTATACGATTTTTTGGCTAATACCTACAAGGTACATCATATGGATTGGTCACAGGAGAAGGCTGCTCAGGTCCTAGAAACGTGGCAAAGAGAATTCAGTAATAAAGTGAAGAAATATTTGGAAGAGAACAATACGTCGTCCTACAATTTGTATGCCTTCAGCTCGACGACGATGAACGACATACTTGGAAAATACAGCGAAGTTTCTGTTATGAAAATTTCCATTGGTTGCACTATGATGGTGAGTTATATTATAATATGATTATTTTAATTTCTATGTAGAACTATGGGAAATATATTGGAATACATTGAACGTGTATCTTGTTACAGGTTTTGTACGCAGGTATAGCATTATTACGTTGGAAAGATCCGGTACGTTCTCAGTCTGGCGTAGGAATAGCTGGCGTGATGTTGGTCGGTGCAACGGTTGCCGCTGGTTTAGGATTTTGTGCCCTACTTGGGATCCCCTTTAATGCAGTCACCACGCAAATAGTCCCGTTTCTAGCGCTGGGTCTCGGCGTTCACGATATGTTCCTATTAACGCACACATATGCAGAGTTATCGGTGAATGAGGTGCCGAGCGGAGAACAGACCGGAGTCGTTCTCAAGAGAACGGGTCTCTCTGTTCTCTTGACCGGCTTGAGCAACGTCTCGGCCTTCTTTGCAGCGGCCTTGATACCGATCCCCGCACTTCGAGTATTTTGTCTTCAAGCCGGAATTTTGCTTCTCTTCAATCTTGCTGCCATGTTACTCGTATTTCCCGCGATGGTCAGTTTAGATCTAAGAAGACGCAGATCCGGTCGATCGGATATCTTGTGTTGTTGTTTGCCAGCGAAAAATAGCAAAAATAAATGTTCCGGTAGAAGAAGTAATGGGATGGCTAAACAAACCGTGGCGAGAGCTATACCACCGGAGAGGCGAGAAACTTGCACGCAAATCTTGACCTCTCAAAATGCTCAAAACGAATCGTGGGTAGGCGGTAACATCATAGATGTCGACTTTGACAAACATTGTACCGAGGAAGAATCCTTGACCGGATGCAATCAGGACGATTGTTTCAGTTTCTCTTTGACAAGATTTGCTACTAAAACTTATGCACCGTTCGTGACGAAACCAACGACTAAAGTTTTCGGCATGTTCGTCCTAGCCATTGTATTCGCTGGTAGCATTTGGCAAGCGATGAGGGTGAGCGACGGCTTGGAACTTACCGATTTGGTTCCACAAAATTCCAACGAGCATGCCTTCCTCGCTGCTCAAGCCAAACACTTTGGATTTTATAACATGTACGCGGTCACTGGCCGGGATTTCGAATATCCAAATAACCAAAAACTCTTATACGAGTATCACGATTCTTTTATGAGAATAAAGAATGTCATTAAGAACGACAATGGAGGTTTACCGGAATTCTGGCTTAGCCTCTTCAGAGATTGGCTGAAGGGATTGCAAAATGCCTTCGACAAGGATTACAAGAATGGTTGTATCACGCAAGAAAGGTGGTACAAAAATGCGAGTGACGAGGCAATTCTTGCCTACAAGTTGCTCGTGCAAACGGGCCACGTAGATAATCCGATTGATAAAACGTTGATCACGCAAGTAAGACTCGTCGATTCCGACGGCATCATTCATCCGCGCGCTTTTTATAATTATTTAAGCGCTTGGGCTTCCAACGATGCTTTGGTTTACGGTGCTTCTCAGGCCAATCTTAGGCCGGAACCAAGACAATGGATCTATACCAACGATCACGAATTAAAAATACCGAAGAGTATGCCTCTGACATATGCACAAATGCCCTTTTATCTTCACAAACTTACCGACACTCAAGAGATTACGGAATTGATAGGAAGCGTAAGGAAATTGTGCAGAAAATTTGAAGAACGTGGCCTACCCAATTTTCCATCGGGAATACCTTTCCTATTCTGGGAACAATATATGGATTTGAGAAGTTGTTTAGTTATAGCATTACTTGCTGCACTTGGGGCCAGTATTATCGTTGTCGGTATACTTCTTCTGAACATATGGGCTGCACTTTTAGTGGGAACTGCTCTCGCCGGTGTGGTTTTACAACTGTTTGGACTTATGGGACTTTGCGAAATTAAATTGAGCGCCGTTCCTGCCGTCCTCCTCGTTGTCAGCGTCGGCATAGCCGTACATTTTACCGTCCATATTTGTTTGGTAAGTACTAGTATTGTATTTAAATAATATACTAACATAAAACAAATTATTTATTAGCTTTCTCATTGCCTTTCTCGTTCCTTTAATTTTAGAGTTTTGTCACGAGCGTTGGCAGTAGAGATAGGAGAGTACGTTTGGCCTTGGAACACATGTACGCTCCCGTTATTCATGGAGCCTTCACAACCCTATTGGCAGTAATCATGTTAGCTTTTTCGGACTTTGAATTCATTGTACGATATTTCTTCATGGTACTTCTCTCTTTGATTGGAATCGGCCTTGTCAATGGACTCTTCTTTTTTCCAATCTTATTGTCTTTGATCGGTCCTTCGGCCGAGATCGTACCGAACGATCATCCTGATCGCATATCTACGCCAACACCACCGGCTTCTCCGATCATTAGAAGATCCAAACCACCACCGCCACCCAGAAGATCTCATAAAATCGATAACGCGAGACTTCACGCGGAGCCATCGTTAACGACCATCACCGAAGAACCTAATTCGTGGCACAGTACGCAAGAATCGTGCATTATCGTTCAACCCGAATTAAAAGTCGAAACGATGTCGACTTGTGGTAATCAGGTATGTTTCTTAGAAATAAATTCGCCATTTATTTGAATATTCATTAATATTTGATTAAGTTCCAAACTCTCTGAAAATATTGTGATTATTGCTTCGCGTCGTAGTATGAATGTTTTTTGAAAGCCATGAAAAAATTGCTTAACACAACTTTTCGACAACCCGATAGAGCATGCTTAACAAGTGTGTTTTGCTTTTGTTTGACTAACAGAATTGTAGCGGATCAGACACAAGCGGATCTAGTCGAACATCTCCTGTGCCATCGACTTCTCACATCACGACAAAGGTTACTGCCACAGCTAATATAAAGGTGGAAGTTCATACCCCACTAACCAGTAAGTATTTATTCCGATAGTTTTCTTTTTTGTGTTGTGTGCGAGGAACAGAGGGAGAAATTAATATCTTAATATCGAAGGAAAGATTTTAATTAGAATTGAAAATTATTGTAGGTGGAATGGATCGTAGTGAAAAATGCCAGCACTCGAGCACCAGCAACCGAAGGAGCTCACGCTGCAGTGCGAACGTTAATACAAGCGAGTCTTCCGGTTCCAATACTGAACCGGATTTTGACCCTAATCCGAACAAACACTAATAACAAACGTCAAGAAGATCAGCAAATGCTGCTAAAATACCATACAAAGCGGGAACATACAGAAGGCTGACTAGAATAGACTTTTTACTATACCTTTTTATTATTATTATTATTATTATTATTATTATTATTTCTTTATATTTTCTTCAAGCACAGAAAGTATTATAGTAAATGAACGAACGGTAAACTAATTCACTATCCATAATTGCTTGTTGTAATATGCAGTAATCACGTACATTGTATATAGATGTTTTCATGAGTGCATTTATATATATATATATATATATAACTCATTTAGAGTACAGTAGACTTTTGTTCTTAATGTACAGCATTTTTGTTTCTTATAGGAAGACCTGCTTTATTGAATAAAAAGAGGGTACATTCATTCTATAATAATTATTAAGACAAAGAATATTTTGGTAGGAAATATTTGTAGATTTATTCAACGAATAACGTCGGAATGAATGTGTCTCTTATGTAGAACGAATGTACATTAATAAGACTTTTTAAAAATTACCTGTTCTCTACTTTTTAATTTGCCGTAATTTTTCTTATAAAAATATCATTGTGCGTGAGTGCAATGTTCACATGCATGCAAGGACACTAGGAAGTACAATTAATATTATACGATGAATATAGAATGAATTTATTTATACAAGCAAAGATGTTTATTGCCAATTTCTTCTTTATTTTATATGTCACATGGACTGAAATTTCTTGGACGATATACGATATGTATATTATAATAGTAAAAACTCAAATATATATACAAAGTCGATGAATCTTTTACTGCCTTTATAATAGATGCATGCACCGTCGTATTTTGTAAAAACAAACATGGTACAATTTTCAGTATTTTATTGAACACCTCGTGTACCACCACCATCTCCGTACTTTATGCGCAACCATTACAGTTGAAAATATATAATGCATATTTTTTGTAAGCAACTAGTTAGTAACAATTGGTAAATAATAACTATGTATTATTATTAAGAGCATAAGCATTTTTATACGATCATGACAGAAATGATTTTAATGTTAAACTTTGATCGATCATTTATTTTCTACAAATCTCAAGAAAAAAATAAAATTGAACAATTTAATTATTTATTATATGATGACGTTAATGTGCTGAGTGTATGTGACATGAGCGTTATGGGATATTGAAAACTATTTATTATTTATTTTATATTGTCTGACTGTCTGTCTGTCTGTCTGTCTGTCTGCCTGTCTGTCTGCCTGTCTGTCTGTCTGTCTGTCTGTCGTCTGTCTGTCTCTCTCCCTCTCTCTTTTTATCTTTTATCTTTTATCTTTAATATCAGTAATATTTAAAAAGATATACTTTGTACAATGTCTACTTCACATTATTATAAATTGTAAAAATACATAATTATTTATATCAGTCTCTATATATTTTTATATAAATTTAAAACTTAAATTAATTATATATATATATACAATAAGTATTTTTATTTTATTCATACCTTTTAATGTAAAAAGCTGTAATATATTATAATATAACTAATTCCTATAGGTGACATTCTAATTAATTACTCATCGGAGTATGTACAATATGGGATAAATTTGTATGCAGAACGACTATAAGTGCTATATGCGTAAATATCATACTTTACTTAAGGAAATCAGCCTTATAATCGCGACAAAATTCATTTTTCCAAAATTGCCGAAAAATAATCAATGTAATTTTAATTATGCGTGATATTATATCATTCAATCTAACGATTATTACATACTTCAAACAAAAGTTATATATTACGCAATGCAATTATTTGGATGTATTAAACATAAAAAAAAGATATATATATATATATATATATACTTAAGTGTATGTTTCTTAATTATTTTGTGTACATAAAATCGGAGATAACGAAATAATTTATTGTTTTTATTCTATCTTCGTTGGCATTTTCCTTGTCTTTCAAGGATACCTTGAGGATAAAGTTTTTCTTTTTTTTCTTTTTTCTTTTTTCTTTTTTCTTTTTTTAACGATTATCACTGTACATTTACCATTGTCATTGTTTATAATTATATATTTACAACAAACAAAACAGTATATGCACATTTAACGATAAGTAAATCTGTATGCATGAGCATACAAATATAATCTTGCAAATATCTTTCAAATAAATTCTCCAAAATATATCATTTTCTATATTGAAATATAACAAAAGAGGAAATACATTTTTTCAATGTTTCAATCATTTATTTATTTATCTTATTTTTAATCCGAAATCACTTCATTTTTTCATTTTTTTTTTTTTCTACATATACGAATTTTAAAATATGTATGTCAAATGAAATCCAAAATGTATCCAAAGAAAATAATAGATTAATGTTATTATTTATTTCTTTTCATTGATATCATTTATTTATTTATTTATTTATACTCGTTATCACATATATTTGAATTTAATAGTAATTATCTTGTTATAATTCAAGCTTCAAACCCTCAGTATGGCAATAGGGAGGATTGGCTTCAACTGGTACATAAAATGATCCTCTACTTGCATATTTCTTTGCATTTAAACCAACGCATACGCAAGTTTTTTTTGTACACTGCGAAAAAGGCTTTACAATCCTAAAAAAAAAAGAAATGTATTCAACATTTATTATTTAAAAATGAACAGTATAATAACGATCATTTTACTTGCTTTCTATTACAGAATCAATAATACTTGCCAATAATTATTCCAGGGCGTTCCAATTAAACAACATTGATGTTTTACACACTCAGTAAAGTATTCCACGGCTCTTGCATGAGAACAAGATTCGTTTACTAACATAAGGTAAAAATTCATCGACTTTTATATTATTTTAATTTCATTGTTTGAAAATAATTAATAAATATTATAATAGTCATTTGTTACACGTACAAATACCACATCCAGGCTGATCTCTTCCATAATTTATATAAAAATCAATGGTACCAAGTCGTGTCGTAGTTCCTTTTAATTTTGATGTGTGTAAAATTTGAACATATTCTGCGTCCGTTTCACAAATTCTATTCGGACATTTGTTCCATCTAAAGAGAGGTCCAGCTGGATCAAGCCCAATAATTTCACTGTACTTTCCTAAATGAATCTTTTGAACGTATTTTCCAGCAAAACCAGAAACGTGTGCGCCCAAACTGTGTCCAATTATTCGTATATTTGACATCGATACTTTATATTTCTCTACCAACATCTTGGTAAATCTGTCCAAAGCAATCAAACATATATATACATAATATTAAAGAATAGAATTGTTGCTACTTACTCAGCAACATATTTGCCAGCGCTACGAGTATTTTCAACGGCTTTGGGATAAGCAACGTAATCGAGAGGCGAAAGTCCACCATCGCAAGCACCCTTTTTCCAATCGAGCGAAAGTACAAGAAAATCATTCTGAAAATAATTGATATTTGTTCTTAGTAACTAAGAACTTTGTATACATTCTTACATTTAGACATTCTTACTTTTTCTATTAAAGCTTTAGCCAAATTTTTCAAAATTGTATCATTTGGAGCTGAAAGGAAACCATGTATAATAAATATAACTGGACGCGATAGTCGAGCTTTATTAAATGGATCGTAGCTCGTTAAATTCTTTTCCTTGACATAAACGCCTTTTGGATTTTCCCTAAAGTATAAAATTAGTTGATAGGTTGTCTTTGTTAATACAAATTTGTCATGATTTTTGATATATATAATTTACCTTGTGTATAAAATAAATCCTACATTGTCAACGCTAAATTTACAGTTTGGAATCAACCTTTCCGATTCTACGAACGATGAATTATCTACGAAAATGATCTATCTTTATTAAGTACAACATCTATGTAACTTCTCAAATGGAAGATAATTTACCAGCTGCGTTGCAATAATGTAGCACTTGTACAAAACATATTAACAATATCAAGTATTTTAAATTCATCTTTTTTAATTTAGATCTCTTCCGTACATACGGAAATGCACTGATCTTCATTTAAAAATACTGCCAGGAAAAATAATTCTACTTCTATTTATATATTATTGAAATGCACTATAACTGAAATGTTATGTTGGAGATAAGAAAAATTTGGTTAATACATTTGTATAAAATCTAGAAATGTCATAATAAATATTATAATGACAACAACAAAAAACAAACAGGAAGTAAGTGAATGTTATCTAATGATATAAATTTTTGCATTTGAATGTTCAACAATTTTATATATTTACATAAAAATTTACATTGCACTCATAAATACGCTTCCTGGAAGAATCATTCTTCATAAATTCCAAATCGTTTAAAATGTTTTTATTTTTTTAACGTGTTCCCATTAAAATATTATATCTGTTTACTACCTTTACAATGTGTGCATTTTCTTGATATTACATAAATAATTCAAGCGAGAAGATAAATATACTCAAATGCGACATTTTTTTTTTTTTCATTTCAAGTAAATCCAATTAATTTATTTATCTGTTAATATATACATATTGCTGTATAACAATTCACTTTATAATTCAATTTTAAGACCTATTTTATAACAAAATGGAGAGAAAAATGCAGTTTGCACATAAAATGAGCCTCTAGCAGGATAATTATTTGCATTCAAACCCACGCAAACGCAAGTTTCATTTGTGCATTGAGAAAGTGGTTGCGGTTTGCTAAAAATTAATCAAATTTTCTTTATCATAGAATGAACAGAAAGAAAGCTTGAAATATTAAAGATTATTAAGTACCTCCTATAACTAGTCCATGGTGTCCCAATTAAACAACAATCGTGTTTGATACATTGGGTAAAATATAACACGGCTTCCAAATGAGAACAGACTTGTTCTACAAATTATAAAATTAAACCAAAATTATTGATAATATTTTCATGTGAATTTTCATCTTTATCTGGAGTACCTATAATCTAATATAGATAACATACCTCTCATACAATTAGGTTGACTTTTTCCAAAATTCACATAGAAATCAACGCTACCAAGTTCTGTGTACGTTCCGTACATGCTCGATGTATGCAATACTTGAACATATTCTGCGTCTGTATCGCAAAGTCTATCCGGAATTTCATTCGTCCTAAAAGAAGGTCCAGCAGGATCAAGTCCAACTATTTCTCTATACTTTCCTAAATTTAACTTTTGAACTTGTTTTCCTGCAAAACCTGCAATTTGTGCACCCAAACTGTGCCCAATCAATCGTATATTTGACATTGGCACTTTATTCTTTTCTACGAGTATCTCAGTAACACTAGAAAAAGAAATCAACAACAATAAAATATATATATATATATATATATATTATTAATGTTAATGAAACAATCAAGTTTTGTCGCTACTTACTCAGATATATATTTACCAACGAGACGTGTATTTTTGGCGGCTTGAGGATAACCAACTAAATTAAGAAAACTAGATAAACCGTTGCAAGCGCCCTTCTTCCAATCGATCCCGATTACAACAAAGTCATCCTGAAAATAATATTTTCTATTGTAATAAATTCATCAAAAATACTTTTATCCTACTAAATGTTTGTACAATATTATAAAAACTTACTTTTTCTATCAAAGCTTTTGCCATTTTCACAAAGTTCTTATCACTCATGCTTGAAATAAAACCATGTATAAGAAATACAACTTGATGTGATATTTCAGGTTTATTAAATAGTTCGTAACTCGTTAAATTCCATTTCGTAAGAATAATGCAGTCTTCATTATCCCTAAAACCAAGAAGTATGTTTTAGATTTTCTATACAGAAAATGAAAAAAAAAAAAAAAAAAAAAACTTGATTATTACCTTGTGTAGACGTGAAGCAAAACATCTTCTTCATTAAAAATACAGTCAGAAATTATGCCCCTTTCCAACGTCGAATGATCTAAGAAAATAATCTATCTTTATATTTCAATTTTTACTAATTATACACGCGTTTATATTATTTTGTAAATAAAATGAAATTGAAACTCAATCACAATTTGTTTTTCGAAATACAAGTAGTAGTACAAAGTAGTTTACCATCTGCATAGGAATGGTGCAACACTCCCACAAAATATACAAATAATATCAAATGTAAATTCATCTTTTCTGATTTTTCTTTACTGTAGAAATAAAATTATCCCGGTTTGAAAATATTCAAAGTACAAATAATTCTCACACTATTTATACTACTGAAATGCACATTAAAAAGATTTTTTTAAAATATTATTTAATATAAGACAAACATTCTGACAATATCTGTAAATATTCAAATAACGTGCAGCGAGTAGGTATTATCAAACGAAATAACTTTTTAAATCCAGATATGTATAAAAGTTTAGTCATATTAAAAAAGAAACGTTCATGCGTTTATTGATAACAATTTACATTTATTACGTAAATTCAAAGTCTTTCGTACGAAATGTTTTATAAGTTGAACGTGTCCCAAGTGAAATCAAAGTTACAAAAAAAAGTATTTGACTGTTCATTTATTCATTTATTATTTATACATTTTCTATTGTTTACAATTACAGTTTAATGCCTTCGTTATGGCAATAAGGTGCATCTTTATCAACAGGTACATAAAATGAGCCTTTAGCAGGATAACTTTGAGCGTTCAGTCCAACGCAAACACAGGTGTCTCTTTTGCACTGAGAAATTGGTTTTGGCGTGCTAAAAATAACATAAACAACATTAATAATTGCAGAAAATTGAATAATATAATAAAAATACCTAAAATAACTCTTCCATGGTGTTCCAATTAAACAACATTCACGTTTTATACACTCAGTCAGGTATTTCACGGCTTTCGTATGAGAACAGGATGGTTCTTCAAAACATCAAAATGATTATTAAATAATATTGACAAATTCCGAAAAATAATCTAATATAAATATAATCATTTGTGTATTAATTACCGCTGCAACCAGGTTGACTTTTTCCATAATTCACGTAAAAATCAACGCTACCAACGTTATAATATACTCCTAATATGGCTGATGTATGTATAGCTTGAACATATTCTGCGTCTGTTTCGCAAAGTCTGTTTGGACATTTATTCGTTAGAAAAGACGGTCCAGCAGGATCAAGCCCGATTATTTCCTTATATTTTCCTAATTTTAACCTTTGAACTTCTTTTCCTGCAAAACCTGAAGTATGCGCACCCAAACTATGGCCGATCAATCGTATATTCGACATCGGCACTTTATATTGTTCTACTAATAATTTTGTAAAACTGTAGACAAAATAATGATAACATTTAGAATTCAATTGAAAGTTGAAATTCAGCAATATGTGTCAGAAAACAGCTTACTCAGCTACATATTTTCCAACGTGACGTGTGTTTCCAACGGCTTGGGAGTAACCCAAAACATCATTAGTTGAAGCAAAAGCATTGCAAGCACCCTTCTTCCAGTCGACCGAAATTACAAGAAAATTATCCTGAAAATGATGATATTACCGTGATATAATAATCCATTCATCTAGAATACTTGAGAAGAAGAATACAACTCCATGAATTCTTACTATTTCTATCAAAGCTTTCGCCATTGCATCGAAATTTTCGTTATTCCCAGTTGAAAGGAAACCATGTATAAGAATTGCAATTTGATGTGATATTTGAGATTTTTGAAACAGATCGTAATTCTTTAAAATTTCTTTCTTAAGAATAATACCATTTCGTTTATCCCTAAAGTTTAAACAATTATTATAATATTAAGTATACAATTRTCATACTCGAGTATAAATAAATAAATTGTTGATTCTCTTTTTTTCGAATGGAGATTATTACCTTGAGTAAACGTGTAGCTCAATATCTTTCTCATTAAAAGTACAATCCGGAGTGATGCCTCTGTCCAAGGTACCATTTCTCAGGGTGGTCAAATCATCTAACAATAAAACAAATTTGTCATTTGTATATTTATACAACAAATTGATTACTTTTCTTTGTAAAATCATTTACCAGCCGCGTAACAATTATCTAACACTTTCACAAAACATATGAATAATATCGAATATTTGAAATTCATCCTTTCTGATTTTTCTTTACTGTGGAAATATAATCATCCGGGTTTGAAAATATTGAAAATACCAATAATTCTCATACTATTTATACTATTGAAATGCATTAAAAAATCAATATTATTGAAGATAAGACGACGAAAAATCAGTTTATATATTTTTCTATAAATATTAAAATAGCGTGCAGCGAGTAGATAACTTTTTACATCAAAATATGTGTCAGAGTTTAGGCATATTAAAAAAGAAACGTTCATACTTTTATTGATAATAATTTATATTTATCTCATAAATTTAAAGTCGTTTGAAATGTTTTATTAGTTAAACGTGTCCCGAGCGAAATATAACATATCTAATATAGTATTTGACTAAATTAATATTTCTTCATTTATTCATTTAATATTCGTTATTAATATTCATTAATACATATATTTATCGTTTATATTTATTATTACAGTGTAATGCCCTCGTTATGGCAATAAGGTTCTTTTTCTTCAACCTGTACATAAAATTTGCCTTTAGCAGGATAAGTTTTTGCGTTTAGTCCAACGCAAACACAGGTATTCCTTTTGCAATCACTAAGAGGTTCCCCTAAACTGAAAGTAAAATGGATTTTGTAATAAACAAAAATTTGATAATATCGAAGAATATTAAATACCTCCAATTACTCTCCCATGGTCTTCCAATTAAACAGCATTCACGTTTTATGCACTCAGTCAGGTATTTCACGGCTTTCGTATGAGAACAGGATGGATCTGCCAATGTAATATTTTGTTGAACATGTTCTTTTCTTTGAAATGTTCATGAAAAAAGCTTATCATTGAATATATACATACTAAGAAGGCAACCGGGTTGATGACTTCCATAATTCATATAAAAATCAACGGTACCAATCTCCGAATATTTTCCTAATACAGCTGACGTATGAAAAACTTGAACATATTCTGCGTCTGTTTCGCACAATCTATCTGAACACTGTTTCGTTCTAAAAGATGGCCCAGCAGGATCAAGACCGATTATTTCGCTATATTTTCCTAATTTTAAATTTTGAACTTCTTTTCCAGCAAAACCTGAAGTATGTGCACCCAAACTATGTCCGATCAATCGTATATTCGACATCGGCACTTTATAATCTTGTACGAGTTTCCGGGTAAATCTATGAAGATAATAGAAATATTCATGAAAGCTACGAAATCTTAGAATATTTTTCTTGCTACTTACCGAGCGATATATCTTCCAACATGACGTGTATTTTGAACAGCTGTAGAATAACCAGCTAATCGGCCGATATTGCCACGATTGCAAGCACCCTTTCTCCAATCGGTCGAGAATACAAGAAAATCATCCTAAAAATGATTAATTATCATTTATTCATGAAGAAGTATATATTGTAATAATTCAACTTGAACATAACAAAATATTACTTTGTCTATCAAAGCTATTGCCATTGCTTTGAAATTCTTATTATCTCCAGATGAAAGAAAACCATGTGTAATAAATACAATTTTTTGCGTAATTTGTGTCTTTTTAAATAGATCGAAAGTCGTCAAGTTCCTTTCCGTAAGAATAATACTATCTCGTCGTTGACTAAAGAATATATATATATGTATAGTTGGTTTTTTTTTTATATACAGTAATAAAAGTAATAAATAATCTTTTAGTCATTACCGTGTATAGACGAAGAAGAAAATATCATTTTCATCAAAAGTACAATCAGGAAATACGACTACCCTATCTAACGTAACATTTTTTTCTAACGTCGAGTAATCTAAGAAAATAATAATCTTTTCAATGATACGAATAAAATTCGTTCAAACGCGATCTGTAAATTAATTTTAAAAAATGCAAAACACTTTTTACCTGTTGCGTAGCAATTATGTAATACTCCTAGAAAACATATAAATAATATTAAATATTTGAAATTCATCTTTTGTAATATTGATTTATAGTAGAAACTAAAGTCAAACTAATTCTAATTGAAGAATATTAACAGCAAAAATCTACTGCTATTTATACTCTATTCGACTTTATTATAATGAAAATATTACGATTAAGATAAACTATATTAGATTTATTCATTTCTATAAAAAATAAAAATAGAATTTATTATATCCGAAAATGCGTCAGAGTTTGATCATAAAGAAAAATAATATCGATATTGTTATCGGCAATAATTCACGTTTTTCTCGTAAATTCGCTTTTCCTGTAAATTTGAAAATGATTTTTCGTGAATTCAAAATCGTATAGAATTTTTTTTATTAGCTGAACGTGTTTAACGATAAACCTGCACTTTAAACACATCTTTTATCTATTACAATGTAAAGATTTCTGATATTATGTATTAAGATATTATAATGTAATACCCTCGCGTGCTACAAATTTATTTTCTTTTAATTCAAATAACTGTACTTTTTTCATTGTTTTTCATCTTCTTCTGAAAGGCATGACATAGGCGCCATGATTTGTACAGTAAAAATGTCCTTATCCGAAGTAATGAGAAGACAGGACAAAAATTCAAACAATGATTTTATAGCAATCACGTTTCTGATATTAAAATTTATTCGTTTTCGCTTAGTTTTCATTGTCACGCCTAACACTATTATATCTTCATATTGTATTTTTATGATTAGATCGCGCTCAGGGACGGGAACAATGGCCCGTCCAAATTTCGTATTTGCGCCAATGAACTTTCCAATTAATAATGCCGACTGAAAAATTTCTGTTTAAATAATAGTTCATCCAGATACAATAGTATTGAAATTCCAACGTGGAAAGATCTAGGACGATTCATATATTAATGAATATATTCGAAATATCAAATATAAAAATCTTATAGTTAACACTTTACCGATCGGTAATCGATTGATCGATTTTGTTATACATTAAATTTAGTTACGATCTAAAACGAGCCAGTGTTTGAGAAGAGTGAGAGGTGAGAAAGGCATAGAATTTTCCAAAAGCCACAGGTCGGTGAGGTGTTTAAGGTAAATATTTATTTTATCTTATTTTGTACATAACAATTATGTACTCATTAATGTTATCATAAAAATACTTAAACGAACAGTATACGTATGTACACTTGAAGATAAGTGGACAATCGCACTTTTGCATTAAATAACCAATTATATTGGTGTAAATAAAATTTGTTTGAATAATCTTTTTTGCAAAGTATATAAAACATTCGACTTAAGATTAGCATCAATTCTTACACTTGTCCATCTTTTATTTATAATAATATTTGTTATATTACAAATCGTTAACAAAACGAAGATATAATAATAACTAGTACACACAATAATATTACAATATTATTTATGTATAAATATTTCTATATAATCTAATTTCTCATCATTTATTCGTGATTACATGTATTAACTTCCATAGGAACTTCCTTTCGTAATTAAAACTTAATGCCTTTGTTATAGCAATAGGGATATTTGGCCTTAACTGGTACATAAAATGAACCATCGGCAGGATAATTCTCTGTGTTCAATGCAATACAAACACAAGTCTTTTTGGTGCACTTTGAAAGAGGTATCCTGTAGCTAAAAATCAAATGAATTTGTTCCATAGAATAATATAATAGATAATATTTTACATCATTTCACTTCGATTCTATACAAAAATGACTTACTTGGAATAATCCCACGGTATGCCAACCAAACAACATTTATATTTTAGGCAATTGGTAAGGTATTCTACAGCTCTAGAATGAGAACAGGTGGCATCTTTAATTAAGTTAAGACTATTTTGGCAACTGGGTTGCAAATATCCCTTATTTATATAGAAATCAATGTTTCCAAAGCGTTTGTCCGATCCGATTAAAGTAGTTGTATGTAGAACTTGAACATATTCTGCATCTGTTTTGCAGAGTCTGTTCGAACAATCCTTGTCCGCGAATGCGGGCCCAGCGGGATCAAGCCCAGTAATTCGATGATATTTTCCCATATTTAACTTTTGAACTTCTTTCCCTGCAAAACCTGCAATGTGTGCGCCTAAGCTGTGTCCAATTATTTGAATTTTTTTCATAGGCACCTCATAATTATCTACGAGAATCTTGGTAAAACTATAGAAAGAAGAAAAATCATATTTTGGAAAAATTAATAATGTAACGGGTAAAAAACAAAAAGTAAACAAAACAATTAGAAAAAAGAACAAATGATTATTTATAAAGACAACAATGTAATTTTCAATTAACACATAATAAGTGTTTCTTTTTCAAGCGTTACTTGAAAACAATAGTTAAACAAATAGTCACACTATCTTTGACGACGCATTATATACAGGATTCTACCGTATTTTTCAATACTGTTATATTTACCATAATATATTTTCTCTTACTTACTTAGCGACATATTGGCCAACTGCTCGCGTATTTTTAACAGCCTTAAAATAACCAGCGTATTCAAGAACAGATAAGCCGCCATTACAAGCACCCTCTTTCCAATCGACTGATATTACAATTAAATCCTCCTTAAAAAGACATATTTTATAATAAATTCTTCAAAAGTACTTCTTTTTTTTTTTTTTTGTTTTTTTGCGTAATAAGTGTTGGAATAATCATACTTTTTCTAACAAAACATTTGCCAAATCCTCGTAATTAGAATTATTTGCAGATGAAATAAAACCATGTATAAGGATTATAACTGGATGTATTAGTTCATCTTTTCTAAATATGTGGGAACTCGTTAGATTCTTGATCGTAAGATTGATACCATCTTTATCCTTCCTTAAAATGTATAATTATTTTATATATTTTCGTTTGATACTCTAATAATGACACTTAAATGCATTAAATGATATTGGCCTATTACAGAAAATATTGATACATTTTTAATGTAAATAATCATTAATAATAAATCTATGAATCTATTAATCATTACCTTGTAAAAAGAATAAACGAAAGCGTATCGACACCAAAGTAACAATCTGGAATTACTTGCTTCTCTGATAATTTCAAATGGGATAAATTGTTATTATGGGACGATTTATCATCTACAAAAATAATGAATTAATGTTTTTAACAAGTTATTAAATAAAATGAAATTCTAACACGAGCTCAAATGAATTTGAAAATATGCAAGACAATTTACCATCTGCATAACAATTATGCAACACTCCCGTAAAACACGCTAATAATATGAAATATTGTAAAATCATCTTTTCTCTTGTTTATTTACTGTTTAAACAAAAACACATATCTCGAATCAAAAATATATTGACAGGAAAAATAAGTTTGCTATTACTATTTATAGTATCTACAGGGGCTCTACAACCCAAGCATTATAATTAAGATAAGGACATACTTAGTTTATATATTTGAAAAAATATTTACAAAATAGTAAATATTATCTAACGACAAAATTTTGAATATCCAAATTAGTGTTAATTGTAAGCATTAAAAAAAACTTATTCATACGCTTATCATTAGTAATTTGTTTTCCTTGACAAGTCATTACTTTGGAAAATTACTTCCGTGCATGGTTACTTAATCGTTCATTCAAAATCGTTTAAAATTTATTATTAACTACGCATCTAAGTAATAATATCAATATTATTTAGATTATTAACTTAAAATTACATTTTGTTCGTTTGAAACTATTCAATAAATAAATCTATTGCATTATTCTGGAGTCAATATTTCTTCATTTATTTTTAACATTATCTAACATATGTCAAACATATTTTAACAATAGTAAAAAATTTACTTAATAAATATATACTAAACTTTATTATAATTATTTTTTAAAAAAGGCTCGTGCAATACTTTATGTAGTCTTTCTGCTTTTAAAAAACTGAACCCAGGACACAAAGTTAAAGTATTAGTCGACGCATTTACTATATCTTTCAATGTGCCAAACGTTGATAAAAGTGTTGTCGCATCCGTTTTGTTAACAGACCTAATTGTGGTAAATGCATTAGCCAACTGAAAAATAATACAAAGAAAATAAATAGCATGTATAAACAGCAATATGGTTGGATGATACATAAAACATTAATTACTTTTTGATAGGGAGCAGTTCCACTGCGGTCCATTATCATATCAGGTGGTTTGTTTTCATAAATTTTATAAGTTTCTATAATTTTTCCTGCATCCTCCGCATTCCAAGCTAACATTAGCGTTAAATCAGCAAGGATACATATTCGTGTCAAATGTTTCAAGGCGTGATGTGGATCCGCAACATCTACCTGCATGTTTGACAAATTAATTGTCGATATTAATGTAGAAGCAAATAGACAAAAATAGGAAAAAAATAGAAAAAAAATAGATGAAAGATATTTTAACCTGAACCAAGAGGACTCGAAGATTATATGCATTGCCTAATGACTTAAGACGGTCATGAATGTAATCTGGATTCAATTGATGATACCTTATAGATAAAAAAAGAGCACACGTAGTCTGTCCCATCACATAATCTGGTACAATATCAGAATATTCCCAAGGTATATTGATTATAAATTTCAACAAGGGATTTCCTTTCTGCAAATATAGACATAATCAATATAATTGCTATTAAATATAAAATCATACAATAACATTTCTTAGATAATCTTACTTGTTTTGGGCTGACAAGAAGAGCATTAGACCGTACATTAATTTTCTTTGTCGATGGTCCTGCATTTCCTGTAAGATAATCAAGGAAATGTGTGTATAAAGTGAGATATTGTTGATAAAATGAGACAAATTATGAAATTTACCAGGATATTCATCATTAGCTTTTACTGGTTTGGATGATAAAGTATTTTGGTCATTAGGACTTGGTCTTTTATTATTCATTATTGAAATGTTGCGAATTCAATGTACATATCAAAGCACATAAAGATCTTAATTCGTCTTAATAGAACTTCATCCGTGTTTATTACTTTGAATAGGAGAAAAAAAAAAATATAAAATTGTGAGGTTAGAAAAACAATGAGAAAACAGCCGGTATATTATTTGGGCACAGTAGCGCCACAATATAACGTAGATCACGGTCTAACGAAAAGGAATATTTATATCAATAGAAGAATGGAATGAAATTATGGTTAGTCGTACGTGTACCCGTAGCCGCGTATGTGCTGTAACATTTGCTATGGGGAACCTTGAACCTTATTCAGCTAATTAAGACAAACATCTATCAAATTAGTTTCTTTCGTGATGTTGTTTTCCTGGTAAATTATCGAAAATTTTCAATTCTATTAAACATATGGGGCCGGAATTTTCAAAAGACATTATTTCATGATTCGTTTGTTTTCAAATTGTCTTCCTTATTTATTAATAATATTATAAATGTAATTATAGCTTATCGAGCCATTTTTTACTTTTATATTTATATTTATATTTTGTTACATTGTTAAATTATTTATAATTAGTGTTATATATATATACCTAAGTGAACAATTGTATATTAATGAGTAGATTTTTAAATATTAAGTTTATATTATAATTCGATATTTAATTGATGCTTAAAATACGTAAAAACATGTTTCTTGTTTGCGTAACTGTGGGATTAGTCTTATTAGCTTCGAAGTATCGTAATAACGTACTTCGAGGCGTCAAAAATATATATTCCGGTATTAAACGTAAAGATAATAAGTCGAGCAATAAAATAAAAGAAGAAATCAAAATAGAAGTAAAGCAAGTTATTCTAGCTGACTCTTTGGAAAAATCCGATTACGCTGTTCAACGTATTAATTGGTGAGTACAAACATCCGTAACCTTCAAATAATATAATATATTGTATATGTTGTGTTGTTTTTCTTATCTTTTCTCATTTCAGTGAATAATCGTGTCTCTCTTTGTTTACACTTTTTCTCTTCCTTTTACCTTAATCTCATTCAAATCATTCTTCTTCTTCTTCTTCTTCTTCTTCTTCTTTTTTCCCCCTTCAAATATTCATTAATTATATTTGAAATAATGTTAAGGTTATCTCTTGTATACTTTCAGCAATTTATCTGGTGGTATACTAGGTTTCGATTGCGAATGGGTAAACGAAGGTCCCGTGTCTCTACTTCAACTTGCTACATTTAACGGAGTATGTGCTTTATTCCGTATTGGTAAAATTGGTTTCATTCCCCCAAATTTGCAGGTACATTTATATGATTATTTTCACATTTTCACATGATGAAAGTAAGGAATGATGTTTCAAAGGATAACGATATATATGGATGTTTTCTTAGAAATTGCTGTCCAGTAACCGTATACTTAAAGTTGGTGTAGCTTCCTTCGAAGATGGACAGAAAATAGAAAAAGATTATGGATGTTCCGTTTTAGGAACCCTCGATTTAAGGACGTTAACAGAACGCCTACAACTTCCTACTCCTAAAAGTTTAGCAGCCATGTGTGTAGAATACCTTGGAACAAAAATTGAAAAATTAATAGAAGTGAGATGTGGTGATTGGGATGCGGATGCTCTTACTGACGATCAAGTAGTCTATGCTGCTTGTGATGCTATGGCATCGGTTCTTATTTATCATCAGGTATATATACTGTACATATGTAGACGACAAATCACATCTACCATAATACACATTTATCCATTGTAATAGGTAATGCAAGAAGCCAAAGAAAAATTATCATTTTTCGACAAATTGGTAATATATTTTTGGAAAATTTGGTCTAGAGATGTAGGTGTGAGATATCATGGTTTACCCACGGGAGTAATCAATGTAAGGTAGGTACAGCAACAAAATAATATTTCTTTATTTATTTATTTATTACTATTTGCATATATTTACCAATATTGGTGTATGTTCAAGGTTCAAGGATCAGAAGAGAAATATTATTAACAATAATTATACCACTACTGTAATGAAAGATGGATCAAATGCAAATACACTTGAAACTAATAACATACCCATAAGAAAAAAACCATTGTATCATAATTGTTATTTACAAGCACCAGATGGAGATATATTGTGCACGTGTGATCGCAAAAAAGCAGAATGGTATATAAAGAAAAATTTAGCCGATATCGTAGAAGAGCAACCCTTTACAGTGAGATTAAAATTTGAACCATCGGGACGTGCGTTAGGAGAAGTTGGCCAATATTATACTCAAGTTAAGGTTAATCAATGCGTTGTTTGCGGTGCTTCGGAAAATTTTATTCGAAAAAATGTAGTACCTAGAGAATATCGCAAATATTTTCCATGTAAGTAAAATCACGTGGAAAATGCACACCATTGCCATTGCTTGTGCACAAGCTTCTGTCAAAACTTGATCAATGAATCATTATTTCTAGTGGTAATGAAGGCTCATCAATCTCACGATGTATTATTATTATGTCTACCGTGTCACGAGGTCAGTAAAAGTCACGATCTGCAGCTCAGAAGAAAGCTTGCAGAAATGTGTAACGCACCTCTGTCAGGGCCGCTCACTCATTCCAGTTGGAAAAAATTACATTGTGCTATTAAAGCTTTACGCAAAGAAACAATGTTACCGTTACAACGACAACAAGAACTTGCAAGTATTGTCATAGAATACACAGGACAACAAGAAATAACTCCAAATCTACTCAATTTATTAGACGAAGAATTAGATAATGCTATATCTCAACACAACAATCAATCGAAACAACCACCGCACGGCTTAAAGGTAGGTATATATATATATATATATATTAACCTTTGTTTTTGCTTCGATAAAGGGATAAAAGTTAATCAAATAAATATAAATATTACAGGTAGTCCAATGGTTCGAAGAAAGGGAAGGTGGTCTTGTAGAATTGGAAAAAATGTGGAGAGAACATTTTCTAAACACCATGAAGCCACAGCATTTACCAAATTTGTGGTCAGTACGGCATAACCAAGAACGATTAACCATTCGTCAAAAACAAAATAGAATAGATCCGGAAGATGCAAAAGCGGCAGGATTATAATGTATTAAGATTTTATAAACGTACCTGAAAGGACTCGTAGAAGAGCGAGTACTTATATCCAAAAGACTATCAAGAAAACAATATATCTCTTGAATATGAATCATTTCATACAAACTTCTAGATATTGTTTAACTCTAAGTAGGAATAATTTTACTTTTTTAATACCTGTTATATTTAACGATGGTGTATTTTTATGAAAAAACACCATAAATTTTTGAGGTATTTGTATATCTATAATTTATTTATATAGAGATCTCTATTAAAATAATAAGCCTATAAAATAGGTTTTCATTGATTAATATGTACTTATGTGTCATGCCAAATAGAATAACCTTTTAACATTTCTTTTCATACAAATACAATTATATGAAAGGTCATATCTTCTACGTAACAAACAAACAAACAAACAACTCGTACTATGTTTATCTATTTGAAATAATCGCAAAGTTAGAAGTATTTATTAATAGTATTGTATAGCATATTATATATACAAATTCCTATATTTCGACGAAAGAATTGATATTAATAGGTAAGTATATATATGTATGTATATATGTACTAGAAAGATTTGGAAGCTTCTTGTTTAGTCGAATTATTATTTGAAAGTGGCGGTTGACATTTCATTTCTTCGTCGATACGTTCTTTTGCTCTTACAACTTTAGATTGTAAATAGAATGATCCGCCCTTAGATCTGTCGTTTGCTTCCATTAAATATTTATAATTCTGTTCAATTAGTTCGGTTTGATCTGGTCGTTCGACATTAAGAATACGTAGGGCCTCGTTCAAAGTCATGCCAGTACGAAGGTTAGATGCTGCATGTCGTGCACCTTTTTCACCTCCGCCAGCTTGTCGTGCAGCTTCCTTACTTGCTGCTAATTCTTGACGTATTGCTCGTGCAAAAGCTCTACCGACAACTTGCGATCCAGTGATAATAATTTGTATTAAATATTTTGCCATAGTTTTAGCCGCATTCAACTACACATTATACGAACTCTTAACCCAAACTGTTTCCATTACAATTTAGTGGCGCTACTCGTTACTTGCGAGAGTAACACGTGTTTTTAGTCATTTACACAACTTATACAACCTTATTTTTTTTTTCCACTAGAAAAGTAATTTGTAAATGGAATAACATTCAAATGATATTCGATATTTCTTTGGAAAGAAATGTCTATTTCATTTGTCTTGTTAACTATATATAATTATATGATCAAATTGAAAGAATACAAATTGTAATTGAGGAGCCAATTGAAAATACGAAGAAATTGATTTTCCCGCTCTACGATAGATCGATAAAATATGAAATGTATCGCATTTGGTTATCGATAGTAGTACACTTTTCTCGATTATCGACAAAATGATCGAAATCTAACGTTACCCTTCACTCTAGATATACTTGGTGGTATATTATTTGCGCGTTGAATTTTCAAGTTCCTTAACCTTTCGAATTAATCATGATAATCGTTATACAATATTAACTTAATCATTATAAACAAATAAAGACTGTAATTACTGAATTTTTTGTCGCACAAATATAATAATAATAATAATATTAGAAAAGTGTGAGTATATTTAAGTGTTCACTTAGCTGATAGCTTCTCTTTTATGTCAACATAATTGACTGCCGACTGGATACGCGTCCTATCTTGAGATCTAATTTGTTCAATACTTTGTACGATTAAATAACCATGTAAGATTCTTTATTAAAATCTAATATAATAGTAGACGTATTACCTTATCATAAAATGATCACACATGTCACATAATGTGTTTATTATTTATTCGTTGTAATGGAATTAATAGAATTACAAGTGTGTGTCATCAAATTTTTGTGTACAAAATTTAATTACATACAACTTTTTACTATTAATCGTCTCTTTTTGGTTATTATATTAGAAAAATTAATTATGCCCGTGTACATAAAAAAAAGAACACAATTGTTTATGATGATTTGGTAATAATATCTCTGTGTGTATGCGTGCTTGCGTGTACGTGTGTATGATGTGTGGTTAGAGAGAGAGAGAGAGAGAGAGAGAGAAAGAGAGTATATATATATATATAATTTGTCTCCTTAGATTTGAAATATTTATTGAAATATTGTTTTTAGGTTGTTTGCAAGTAAATATTCATTAAATCAACTAAAATCTTTGGATATGCAAAAATGCCTGGTTGTGCAGCAGTTGGCTGCAATAATCGCAGTGAGAAAGGCTATATTATGAAATGTTTTCCTCGTGATCCAGAATTGAGAAAAATTTGGCAAGAGCGTGTAGCTAGGGCCGATTGGGAACCATCAAATAATTCTTTTCTTTGTCACGTACACTTTGAACCTCATGAATGGTCTGTGGCACAAAGTGGTAGAATTAGATTAAAAAGAAACGCTATACCGTCTATCTTTACCGTAACCTCTACTAGAAAATCTCCTAAAAAGCGAAAGAAATTAATTCATACTAAACAGGAGAAGGACTGTGAAGGTAGTCAAAATATGGAATATTTTGAGATAGATACCGAATGTTCCTCCACTGGAAACATTGAAGGAAAAGATTCCGATTTCCAAGATACCGATGAAATATCTCAGTCATTAACATTTGAAACTTCTGATAATATATATCAAGTAAGTAAAGTTAGGAATACTTACGATGATAATGCACAAGATCGTGTAGCTACAAATAGCGCTCAAGATGGTATCATTGTAATCTCCGACGAATGCAATACAGAAACAGATCATTTCATAAAGAAAAACAATACTATGATGCATACAAATGAAAGCGATAAAATGAATAGTAATATTAACGGTGATCAAGGTTATCCTGCGTTAAACAATCCTGAAAATGTATACATTAAAGCAGAGGTTAAATCTGAAAATCTAAGTAACAAATTTGATGATAATTATGACGACATAGAAGAAAAATTGAAACAAATTTGTGATGGAAGGAGCGCAAACGAGGAAGATTGTTCAGGAAATAATAAGACCAATTGTGCTGCCAAAAAACAAGATGATACAGAAAGAAATGCGGAAGTAAGTTTAAGCGGTATTAATAGTAGTAAAGTTTTATCAACGACAAGAACGGATTACAAAGAACCTGTCAAGCACGAAATAGGAGATATTCTTATTGACAACAGGGAAAATGTTGAAATCATTTTTGGTACTGAAAGTGGAGACGAAAAAATAGATACTTCTCAATCGATTTTATGTATTAGTAATTCATTCACTAAGGCTCATGAAATGAATGATCCTGTGTTAAATATGGACGATGATATTGTTTCTATCAAAGAAGAAAATAAAATCTTTAATGAAGACATAGAGGAAAATTTTGGTAAAGACGAAGTACATGTTATACCAAATATGAGAGCAGCCATGAAACGTAAAAGAAGAACTAGAGAAGAAATAATGAAATCTATTAAAAAGTCCATTGTTAGTACACCTGAACAAGACATCAATTTTATGCACAATAGTGATGATATTTCCGATAACAATACAGATAAACAAGTTGAATTTGATGCGAAAGCTAACAACAAAAGTAATATTAAAAACAACAATAATCATGGTGAAATAGGAAAAACAGAATTTACTATAAAAATAACTGGTAATCCTGATGATGTGTGTGATATTGTCCAAGATCTAACGGGACAACGGCAAGGTAACGCGAAAGAGAATTTTCAAGAAATTCATAATTCTTGTGAGAAATTTAATCATAGATCTGTAGTTACATCTGTTGTCAAATTAAAGGATTATCCTATAAATCTATCACCTAATGTTACAAAAGAATTATGTAATAATCAGGAAGATTTAACAATAAAAAATAAAGATTTGTTTTTACGAAGAAATCCTTTATACTTCAATAATACTGAAACAGTTAATAGAGAACATTTGAAAATAGAATTGGTTGGCGATATTCAACAGAGGAACATTTTCACTAACAACTCTGTGCCACCACGTTCTATATTAGAGAAAAAGATGTTCAATTTATACAATAGTTCTCCGACTAATTATAGTAATAATAAAATGGAACAACAAATATTGGGCAATTTAAGTGGTCAGGACATATTTGACGAACACGAACAGTTACAACAGAAATCGAAAATGCAAGAAGAAGTTATTAATAAATTGACCAATCAACTAATTGTATTTAAAAGAATGGAAAATAATCTAAGAAAGCAAAGTAAATTACTACAATCGAAGACGAAAGAAGTTGAGATGTTAACAAATAAATTAAACACAAGATCAACGTCTACACAATCATTTACGAACAATAAAAAAAGTTTAGAATCGAAGCAAAGATTAATCGAAGAATTGTCAAATAGAGTGAACTATTTTGAGTTGGTAAATAAAAAATTAATGAAAACTATGACATTAGAATCTCAACAAAGAAGAAAATTGGAAGGACACATCAAGCAGAAGGATGAGCAAATAAAAGAATTGAATTGGAAGTTGGAGAAAGCTTCGAAATATCTTGAAAGGGCAGAAAAAAATACAAACACTTATAAACGAAAGATGTTAAATATGCAAACGGTTATGAGACGAAAAAAATTATTAGATGAAAAACCGAGTTCGTACAGTGAAATGATCATTGAAAACGATAAAGGAGAATTTTCTGACAAAACCTTGGCAATCGCTGTGACAATTAAGAATAATTGCGGCAAGGATGGCTATGTTAAATTGATCGACCTTGGTTTCCCCTTACCTCCTTTAACAACTTTGAAAACATTTCTTAGTAACAATGTGACAGAAGAGAAAAGCAATAACGAAACTAATCGAGATATTTCTAATAAAAAAGAACAATTACAAGATGTCCAATGTTTAAGAAACGAAACGGAAATGGACACTAAAGATTCTGGTATACCAGAATCGGATAATAAAGCGACAGAGTTAAATACTACAGAAACAATAACTGGGACTGTCCAGGATATTTTTAATGAAAATAACGATGGCGATGACTTCACGTCCCATGAACTTAAGAAACATTTTATGGAACAATTGAGTGCTGTCATGTAGCCACATATATATGCATATATATTTATGTATATATATGTGTGTATAATATTCAATCAATCATTTTCTCTTTTTTTTTTTTCTTTCTTTCTTTCTTTTTAATCTCATTGCAGATTTATATAAATGTATGGAAATATAGGTTTTAATATTTGAACAGTTATTTTCCTTATCATTGTACAATAATCATGAAGCATTTGTGAGTATTATTTATTGTAAAATGCGATCATAAGAATAATTTTAGATGTAAATAATGTGTACAAACAGTCTAAAATTTACATGTTATGTCACCTGTATGATAAAAATGCATTTTATTAGGGAATCTTAGTTAATTAAATTGATACTCTCAAATATCATCCATTGTATGTTATATGAATATCCCTTGTATGAAACGCGCAAGTAATTATCATTAACAGGTCTAGACATTTAATATAATTAAAGTAAACTTTTAATCATATATGTGGTTTTTTTAATTAACAATTAAAGAAAAAGTTCTTTTCTTTATGTAGACAAAAATTATCGTACTTCGAAAATACAAACTATCAAAAAACACAGTGTTTAATGTAATTCTTATGGGATTTGTAATTTCTTTTTAGTACAATAATAATATAGTTACAATGCTGTATCAGATTTACCTCTGTTTTTATTATTATTATTATTATTATTATTATTGTTATTATTATTATTATTATCGTTGTTAATATTATTACCAATTATCTTTTTTTTCTCTTTTGGCTTAGCATCTTTAGAAACACTAGTTTTATCACATTCACACCAAGGTGTACTAGACTTATCACACATCAAGGAAATATTGAGCACGGTCAATGGGGTGCCTGCAATAGTCATTTTAATTCTACTTGTTATTTTATACGAAACATTATTTAAACCAGTTTCTCTATCTCGTTTTCTAGTAACTTCCCGTTGATTATAACATTTTATCATATCGCGCTTCCTATGATTTCTATCGTGAATATGCCTGAAATAATTGACAGAATATCGTTTATTTGTAAAATCTATTAAATCATTTAATAATACATACCAATTAGCATATTATACCATTAATATAATATTGAAACATACTTGAACGTATTATGCGTTCCTGTGGATATATTTTGAGGCCGAGTAATAGTTAAACCAGCTTCTTTCAATCTAACGTAAAATTCATCATCCTCTAGGCCCCAACCCCAGTATTTATTTGACATACCATTAACCTGCCTGAAATGCTCTCTACAAAAAAATTACACATTTCTTGTCACACAATTTCACACAAAATTCTATATTTTATTAAAATATATATATATATATATATATATATATATATATATATATATGTTACCTTTTAATAAGTAATATACCACCAACAAATGTGGAATAATGATATCGAGGATGCAAATCCGGAGATGATATATGGTAAGGACCTTTACTGGGATATACGTATAATAATTCATCGTTTAATGGTAATAAATCAACGTCGTGCATGGCCATATAATGAAAATCTTTACTGGTTTCCAAAAAACCAACATTAATGAGGGAAGCTCGATTAAATCTGTATCTATCAAACTGTAACATGTGTAATAAGTTCATTTGAACATAATTTTTTAACAAAATCTTCATATACTTGAAGCTTATTTAAGACTATATATACCTGATTCAATATAAATATATGATAATCTATATCCTGCTTATATAAAAACTCTTGCATATGCGTGACAAATGCCAATAATTCATCAAAACGATCTCTGAATGGTACAAGAATAGCTAGCTTGTATTCTGACCGTTCAGTTTTTCTATGAAATTTGCCATTCTGTTTGTGGCCATTATATTGCTGCTTCATCGCAACATCATTCTCACACTTGCATTCATCTATTATTTTCATCAAATCTATTAATTCAATACATGGTACAATATGATAAATATTATCAACAAGTTATACACTTACCAATATTGATCGGAACAATACTTATCAAACAGGACATAACAAAGGTAACAAAGATACAAATAATAATATATTTGAATTTAAAATTCCTCCATACAGTTTCCATAATCAGTCAGATAATTGTTAACTTCATTTATAAAACGAAATATTTCTTTCTTAATCCACTACAGTAGGTTAAACGTATATTGATACATTTTCTCTTTCTTCGATTAATCAATATTTCATTCATTGAATAATCATAAAATTTGAAATATTTTGTAAAATGTGTTCACACTTTTGTTATCGAATCAATTCCATTTTTGTAGATAAAGTTTAATGTGTATTTCTTCATGAAAAAAAAACAAAAAAATGTCTGAAAATATATACGTTTACTTTTCTATTTTACGTTTTCCTTTCTGAAGCATTTTCATCTTCCTTGCTAAGTCAAATTTGTTATATAAATTAATCTTCTAAACGTACGTCAACAACGTTATTTTAACGAGTATTCTTTGTATTTAATGTGAGTTTCTTCATTTACACTATACGTATAATCATTCTTTGTCCTTTCTATAATCAATTGATTCATTATTAGTGCATAGCAATGTACTTTTTAATCAATGAAAATCATTCCCGCCGTTTTATTGAAGCTTTTACAATGTGACAAAAACACACTGATTTAATGGCAACGGCCATATTGCATGCACAGAGCTAGTCAAACAGTCTTACCTAAACAATCTACCTATACCTAGACAAGCAACCTCCTTTAATATACACGAAATAACTAATTTTACAATTTGGAATAATCCCTGTGATGCATTAGATGTTTCTTAAGGAGAAATAGAAATGTATTTTAAGAAACATTGACAAAACGCGATTTTATTTTTCAATAATCAATATTTTGGAAAAATCGATCAGTTTCCATCGATTTATCTCGATTATTTTCAATTGGTGCAATCGTGATGTTTATTCAGTCAAAATATAGGATTATTTTGAATAATTAGTGCAACATTGCAAAATCATCAATGTTCAACTGTTTACATTTTTATCCGCCGCCTATGCAATACAGTTGAAATACATCGTATGTATACAAAGTCTTGACTCTACTTGATTAGATTAGTGGAATATTTCTACTATCAGCTAACAACCAACAACAACAACAACAAGTATTTATTTCCAAACATTTTTACCTTTAATGCAACCAAATGTGTTAATATCTATACACATACATAACCCTTCTACTAAGTTCTTCCAAATTTCTTCTTTTTTTTTTTTTTTTTTTCTATCAAACAATTACAAATGATCTAATATTTCATTGTTTTACTTGTTTTCATTTTTCGTAGCCTCTGTTCTAAGTGATTTAATCGACGAATACGATGGATCTTGCAGACACAGAAAGTTCCAGTGATTCAGACGATTTTCAAATGTTGGGTACAATATTTTTGAAAATCTTTTTTATTATTAATCATTTCTTTCTATTTTTCTACATATATGTGTATAAACAACATATACTTTAGTTTTGGTTATTAATGGCATTTTCCAAACTCACAGAAATGCTTTAGTGTAACCTATTAAAAAAAAGTTCTTTCTTTTTCTTTTGTATTATCGTTCTCCTTATTTTCATTGAATGTATTTGAAATTGAAAATAATGATAGGTGTATTTCGTATAATAAGTTTAAAATCATAATTTTGCTCATGTTCTTCAATTTCTCTTCATCCAGAAAACGATGAAACCGAAGAAGAAGTACCCACAGAGAGTACTTTTGACTTGGCCCTTCCGGCCTCGCACTCTGTAAGTTATTTTCTCCTTTTTCCTTCTTTCGTTTAAGCATTATTATTTCCAATGTTATATTATTATTATTATTATTTGTATGTTAATAGTACTTAGGAAATAATCTAAGAGAACTCAGAGGAAGAACGATACTGGATGATGGAATCCACAGGAATTTACCATTGTTAGTGAAACATTCTATTATTCTATTTCCTGGACAGACATTACCAATGAAATCGGAGAATGTAGAAGTTATTAGAATGCTACAAAATTGCATTCAGAAAGATCGTATATTTGGTGTCATATGTTTGAACAATGGCAAGGTTGTACGTGTAGGTACAACGGCTGAAGTATTCGAATATTATGATGGAGATTTAATGGTATCAAGTTTTCGATTAAAAGCCATGGGTAGACAACGATTCAAAATATTACGTATTGTTATGAAGGTTTGTTAATAATATTTAATCCTAAGAGAAGATTATATTGCAATATATTAATATACACATACATATATGTATATATATATATATATATATATGCATTAGGGCAACGACATGTTTTCTGCAAATGTTAAAATACTACCAGAAGTTACCTTGAATCATCCATTCTCGGATTGTCGTTTAGCTTCGTTAAATCCTCTTCGAGTAAAACCGACTAATGAACAAGAATCAAAACAGCAAGATTTTGTAGAGAGAGTAGAGTCAATGATAACTCCATGGCCATCGTGGGTGTACAAACAGTACGATCCTGTGAGATTATCTTCCAAGATACGCCATCATTTACAATTTCTTCAAAAACGTTAGTATAGTTTTATTTTAATAGCGCAACATATGTCAAACGTAGTTATGTCAAACGTATTAATGTTATATGTATTGTAGGCGGTAGTAACATACCTAAGGATCCAATTGAATTATCATTTTGGGTCGCACAAAATGTATTGGTCGATGACGATGAAAGAATTGATTTATTAAATTATGATTGCGCTATTGCAAGGTTGCAGAGAGAAATCAAATATCTTATTGAGGTAATATCTCATTCAATCAAATAATCATCAAAATGGATGCATAGAAAATAATATGCTCGTGTAAATTGTTATATTTTGCAGGATAGATCTTTTGTTTGTATACATTGCGATAATTTCATTGCACATCAATCGAATATGTTTCCAATGAGTAAGGAAGGACTTCAAAGTACATATTGCAATGGCTATGGTGTCATATTCGAAACAATAACTGTCTATCATGCGGAAGGATTAATGCTTAGTATGGATTCATCCTCGACGGTTTATAGTTGGTTTCCAGGGTGAGCAAATGAATATAATTCATTAACGTGATTCTTCTTCAGTCTTCTCAAAGATTATGAAATTATTGAAATAATTGATTTGTTTCTATAGATATGCCTGGACAACAGCAAGTTGCGGTAATTGTTCTTCTCATGTGGGTTGGAAATTTACAGCAGTAAAAAATAACTTGAAACCTAAACACTTTTGGGGCTTATGTCGTAGGGCCCTGAAAAATAAAACAAATAACAAAGCAGATGATACAACAGATGATACAACAGATATTGATGCTTTGTCGTCTGATGGCAATTGAATTTTTCATATTTCGTACAAATCGTTGATGCTATAGTCGGATTGTTGTCATTGCAGTAAAACTTGTTGCTTAATTGCATTGAAATATCTTTTAATTGAAATATAGCAAGAAGAACAACCATTAAGAAGAACGTATGGCAAAAAATAGAATGCACTTTGGCAGAATGATATTGTATTTAAGAAAGAATTATCTTTGGGCAAGAGTAAAGCGTCATCCTTAGTACAGACTTATGATAATAAAATGTACATATTGGATGGAGAAAAAGTGAAATAGAGATACCATAGCTTTTATCATTATCCCTCTGGTTCAGATTAACCGTTATATGAAAAGTAATACCTTTATACTTTTCATAATCCTCCAATATATAGATTACGAATTATTTTACTCCTCTTTTCACATTGCTACTTTACACAAATAGATACAAGATTGTATGATACCATGTTATTTCCTAAATATACAAAATTTTGTGCATATAAAATTAATGGATAGCGAATATTATATATCATATAAAATAAGATATTTTGTTATGCATACATGATGAGGCATTAATAAATTTAAATTTAATGTCATAGTATTACAACATATAGTTTTTCATTTATAAATGAAATACACTTTACATGTAAAAAATGTAATATTTATATTTTCACTACATTTAATATGGATGAGAATTCTGTGCTAAGCTTATTGTGTAACTTATTTTCAGTATGTATATACATATAGTACTTTATATACATGTTAAAAATGACTATATATACATAATAGTCATAGTAGTAGTAGTAGTAGTAGTAGTAGTAGTAGAGTAGTGTATATATATATATATATATGCATAAATAAAAAATAATAAAATCAATGAGCAGCAGGCAGAATACACGATATGGATATTAAGGGAGCAGAAGGATATAGAAAATTGAATATATCATATTTGTAATCATTTTTTGCGCATATCGTATATTTCTTGATTACCTTAAATCAGTTAAATTTATAATAATCATATGTTCATTATTTCAATCATTCTCTTGTATATGTATCGTGTTGTTATTCACGTTAAGGCAGCAGATGTTTAAAATAATCTGCCGTTAAAGTAAATCGTTCAACATAGCAATTTGTATTGTATTACTATCGGTCAGATACTCCAGATATCGAGTTTTTATTTATACACCTGTGATCTGAGATATGGCCCTTTTTATATTAATTTTTGTTGACAGTCGCACAGTAGTTTTCTATATATCCCGCATGCGTTCATTTTGTTCTCATCCTTCAAGATAATGTTATTACTGCATTTTTCCTTTTATATGGACTTTATATATGCGATTATAAATGAAAAATTGACATTGATTATAAATTCAATACCATTTGTAACTAAACTGATAACAACACACCTGCTGATCTCTGATGATGTTTAATTAAATATTAAATTGATACTTTTTTCTATTATTCAATCAATCATGGAGTATAATATGTCTCCATTATTTAATTAATAAGAAGATCTAAAGCATTAGTCAAAATAACTCGTACAAGATTTTATTAATATATCTCAAATCTGTTCAACTTTCTCATTTTAATAAGCTTCAGAGTTAATAAGAACCAAATGTTCTCTAAAAATAATTGTCATGATTTTATAAATAAGATTTCATTCAAATGTTGTTTGTTATGATGTTGGTGAAAATTGTAATATACTTTTAAAGAAAAATTCGAATAAATTAGTTTAATTATTAAATCACTTATGGTTTGTTTCATAAGTGTATTTAAGATTTGACATATGATAATAGAAAATTAATATTAAAAATTTAATATATATCTTCTTCAATTTGTTACTAATATCAGAAAAAAATAAATAATAATATTCATATCAAGAGTTTTTCATATTATTCAAGAAAATGATGAATTCAACTATTTTGTTGTTTCTCATAGGAAATATTTTGTATACATTGCTCATACAGCAAGATTGCAGCAACTATACAATTAGCTGAAGGCAAATATAAACACATTATTTTAAAGAAAACATACGTTACAGACTGTCGTTTATAATTTCTTTTCTGGTTTTCATTTAATCGGATACAAATATTTCACCATGTCATTTGTAGACTTGGTGTGTTCGTAATCTTTATAAATCTGTAATATAAATATATAAAATGTATATTCATATGACTTGTTAAACAGATATTTCACATAAAGATGAAAAATTGAACCTACTCTCGATCTCTGATGTTGTCGTAGAGATTAATTTGGTGTGCGGCTGTGCAGCTGTGTTCGCTTGTTGATTACTTATTTGCCCTGTAGTTGCAGGCGCACCAAAACCCGGCGGTGGTTGCATTGCCCAATGCTGAGCTGGTGCATTCTGTTCCTATTACATCAAATTAATCGTAACAACACAATTAGCAACATGCTCATTAAATATTACACATATTGTAATATATACAATTGATAATAATTCATTTGATAGATATATATATATATATATGTATTTTATTTATAACTGGGTAACCTGTTGCGCATTGTGAGATACTGTGTGAGTAGGATGTACATGTGGAAATTGCCATGTGCTAGTAGTTTGGAATGAAAGAGGCCTAGATGAACTAACGATAGCTGGATCAATTGAAGTCCAATCTGCGATAGGCCCAAAGTTGTTCCATCCCCCTTTTTGATGCAATGCTTGATGATGAAATTGCTGTTGTTGTTGTTGGCTACTTATCTCACACCAATCTTTTAACGTGTAAATAGTATCGCCTGCGCATTTACCGATACCTACTTTAATAATAATAATAATAATAACAACAACATTTTAATCAAATCTTCTATCACAGATTATTAAATACTTTGATAACAAATTAAAGATCAATTTTACCTTGCGTATTGAGTAGAGGATTTCCATTTGGAAGATACGCACTTTGTTGCGATGGTTGTGTTCCTGCAAATTAATCATTTTAAACAGATTAATCATTTATGAATTTAATTTCATTACAATTTGTCAGATAATAAATATGTGTCAACAATAAAAGCCAATTTTCAATGAAATTTCATCGATAAAACAATGTTTACCGTGTTTCAATATTTAATTCAATAATAATGTTCCATGTATCTTTGAAGTGCTTATTTTGAATTTGTTCAGTCTGACAATAAGATTATATAATAATATTCTACAAGTGAACACAATAGAATAATAATTAATTCCTTTCTATGTATACATAGCTTTTTGCTATGATATCTTTTTCCTTGTTTCTTTTTGTCGCTACGCTTACCATTAAACTTACACAAAATGTATTATTTATTTTATGAAGACATTATATGTATTCATAGGTATGTAAATTCACGCACTGTGGGCTATGATTCCAGATGTTGGAAAAATTGGAGAAACACTAACCCGTGAGGGCATTGTTTGTAGGGGCAGGCCGCGGTATACCAAGACCAAAAGAGTTCATGTGATTTGGGGTTGCACCAGGAAAACCTGGCGGAGGGAGACGACTGCGTTGTGCCAGATTAGCAGCTGTTACGGAATTCTGTGCAGGACTCTGTGTACCGCTTTGAAGAAGATTCTGCGGAAGACGAGACAGGAGGGAATGCGATTGTTGAAGCACTTGCAAATTTTGCAAGTGTTGCGCTTGTTGCTGCAGATGTGCTATATGTGCAACCTGAAATGATAATCAGCCATTTTTATCTATTTGAAATATATTCTATGCAACAAATATATATATACACACTTGTGTATACTTTTGTTACCTGTGGAAAGTGCTGCTGACCAATATTCGCAAGACTTTGTTGATGTTGTACCCTACTTTGTTCTTCTCGTTCCCTTTGTTGTTGTTGTTGTTGCTGCTGCTGTTGTTGTTGTTGTTGTTGTTGTTGCTGCTGCTGCTGTTGCTGTTGCTGCTGTTGAAATAATCTTTGTTGTTGTAACTGCATTTCATTTTCCATCAATTCCGCAAGAGCCTTTTGCGTTTCGTGAAAGGGATCGAAACCTAAATCATCATCAGCTTTTACATCGGATCCAGATTCATGATGATTTTGAACTTCTTTTAAAGTTGCATGTCCGTTTTGCTTGATATATTCACAATTTTCTTGATTCTGTTGTGCCTTTGAAAGATTCAATGGAGAGTTAGTATACCTGAGTAAATGAGTATACCTGATGAAATATTAAAAAATTGTATACGATCTGAATCACTAACTTGCATAGCAAGCCTTTGTTGCAATGAATTTTGTTGAAAGTCTGCCATAAACTTAGATGCAGGTGAGTTAACAAGCAAATTTGTTTGAAAGTTGATAGAAGATTCGGAAATTGCGTTATACTGCGAATTACTGTACGCTTCTTCTTCTGCAAAATCTTCAGAGTTGAAAGTTACTCGCGGTGAATTAGAAGGGCTAATTTTTCGTACAATATGATTCGATCGCGTAGATTCAGGATGAAAACCAAATGCTGCTTGCCAATCTTCGCTCGAGTGAACTGTTGTGGGTAAAGAATCGGGAATGGAAGCCAAGCCTGTACTCGTCCAATCCAAATTTGTATTTCCTATATGAACAACAAGCAAACAAATATATTTCATTTTAAGATTAATTATAAGAAAAAAGACAACAAATAAATAAATAACGACAAGTTTAATTCTAGATAATCAAAGTATGACACCTGTATTGAAAGAGTTCAATTTACGTGCCTGTTAAGGAATTGGATGTGACAGAGGCGGCTGTAGATATTTTTTGGAAGGTATTTGTACTGAAGAAACTATTATTGTCCGCCTGAAAGATTGACCGATGATTAAGTTGCATTTGAGACCCATTATGCAGCCCAGGTGGTGGCTGTTGATTGGCACCTTGCGATGAATTTGTGCTAGCAGGTGATGAACCTAGACACGATACGCACATAGCGCTACACTACGAGACGCGATCAAGATGTCATTTATTTATTGATTATCAGAATGCCAGAATAAACAGCCTCTAATAACCTTTTAATTACCAAAATAAAAATATACGTACATACACGTACCCAGAAATTGGTATAAAACCTCTTAGAATAATACCTACCGCTCTGTCATTAATTTTTCATAACGAGTGCTGAAATATGCACATGTATTTCATACACAATTTACATTATTTCTTTCATTTATCCAAATGAAGAAAGGACAGAGATGATAAACATTCTTCTGGGCAAGTGTTGCACAATTTAATGTTTCTTATGAAATTTTGTAAAAAGGATTAAGTTAAGTGTATACAAAAATACAACAAACAGCTACACTTCTTGTTTTCAAGAATTCTCTTTATTTTGGCATATATCAATATCTATATTAGTTCAAGATTCACAATCTGAATTCTTTGCAACTCATTATAAATATTTCATCTATTCTCGCATAATTATTTCTATGCATTGTTCTATGATTATTTCTTATAACATTGTATTAACTTTTGATCATTACACGATGAGAAAAGCTATGTGTATCATATCATAATATTTATAGACATGTCCAATTTTAAGGACTTATAAAATTATGTTTTTTTCTCTTTTTTTTCTTTTTCTTTTTCTTTTTCTTTTTCTTTTTATTAATTCTTTTTGTTTTTATACGCAAAGGATTATAAATATTATAACAGATGAGAAAATATATGAGATAATCTACAAACATGCAATGTTTAAAACATTTATAACAAAACTATTAGCACTATCTTCATTTTAAAGATTTATTATATAAATTTCCTACGACTGTCATGTTATTAATGGCAAAGCGTCACATCTTATTATTGTAATTTTTGGGGATGACTTTAATGTTACATCGTATAACTCTATTAATATTTAAAATAATATATGTCTGAAATCAAATATTAAAGCCTGTCTGTAATGATATATATTAGATTTACCTGTGCACACGTACATTCACTTTCATCAATTCAGTGTAAAAGTAGATGGTCGATACATAAAGAAATGACGACGAGTATAAGTAACTCACCTAAAATTGCAGCACCATTGTTCTCCTCACTCGATTCCACTAATTGTTCCACTTGATGATTTACATTAGACTCTTCTGAACTTGAAATTGTACTAGCTGGTGTGCTACCTTCTCGTTGTTGATCCGTTTCACTATCCGAATGTCGTCGCTCCCCATTTTGAACTATACCATTTATTTTAAGTTCATTAGATGGTTGTTGTGCCGGTTTAGAAATTTTGTTAGATTGCTGTTGCTGGTGTTGTTGCTGCTGTTGCTGCTGCTGCTGCTGTTGTTGTTGTTGTTGTTGCTGCTGCTGCTGTTGTTGTTGCTGTTGTTGTTGTTGCTGCTGTTGCTGTTGTTGTTCAATCTTACACTTATTGCCTAACTTTTGCAATACATCACTATTCGTTTCGGCTGAAAAATTTCTTATATCCTTCTGACCATTCACTTGTGGTTGCACATTATTTTGTACACTAATTGAGCTTGATTCAGAACGTGACGTTGTTCGAGTACTATGTTTCTCTTTATTTTGACAATTTTTATGTTTATTTCGCGCTGCTTGTGCCTTACTTTCACTATTACTTTTGCCTCTACGTAGACCCATGCCATTTTCCCCTTTATTATTGTTATTTTGTTGATGTATAGAACCTCCGGATGATATATGCGTTTGCTGGGTGGTAAGACTGCTACCATTAATTATGCTATGTTGTTGTGAAGTTGTTTGGGTAGGTGGTGATGATTCTTTACAAGTCATTTGTGTGTCTGTAAAGTGTAAATATATATATATATATATATATATCAATGCAAATTGCAATTTTAAATAATAAATATATTTTTTATAAACGTTTTCAATGTTAATGTGTATTATCTGTAATGTATTTATTATAGAAAATTCTTACTATTTGTTTGTCCTGGTTGTAACGAAGGCCATGCTTCCTTGGCTTGTGAATTTGTAGTACCATTTTCACGACTGATACTACTTGTAACAGGTGGCGATGGTGTTGGTTTTCTGTATAATTAAAATGTTACATTTTAATTTGACTATAAATACTTGAAATTTGTTAATCATTAAAGTCATAAATTAGTATGTTGCTACCGCTGCAATGCTGATGCATGAGCGTGTAAAGATTGAACGAGTTTACGCTCATATTCCTGATGTTTCCCTTGATGCATTTCCTCTTTTGTAAAAGAAGCCTCCTGGTCCCCGAGATCGTGTAAATACATACAGTCTGGTTTAGGACACACCTGATTGCGCATAAAATGTGAACAGTACTTTGTTGTACCCAATGACGTTTTTATTGTCCGACCGTCCACAACGATATTATTCACAGCCTCTATAGCACGCAAAGCATCTTCCTGACGCTATTGTTAGATTCATTAAAGGTCAAGTTTTAATAAGTTTTTAATATACAATATGTTGTAATTATAATAAATACGATGAATACAACATACTTGGTAGGTGACATATGCCGAAGCGCTGGGGCCCTGAGACCCTGCGTAAGAAGTGCTTTGATTGATCACTACTTTATGAATCTTACCAAATTTTCCAAAATACTCGTGCCTCTTTAATACCTACAGTCAATATATTCTTATTATCTTTTATTATCTCTAGATTAATTAGATGTAAGCATCAAGCATTTTTTACAATAAAATAACTTACATCCGCGTCCGCCAATCGCATTGGTAATCCTACTACGAATACTAAATTTTTTTGAACTACTCTCACATTTGCTAGATGTTTACGATTTTCAGTAACTCTTTGTTTACGCTGCTGATCCTTCAATCTCTTTTCTGCTTTTAACCTAAAAAAGAAAGAAAATCATTGAAATATATGAAATGTATACGTAGTTATATGATGCATATAATAGAACAAACAATACCTTGCAATTTCTTCCTTTGTAAGAGGCTTAAAATCAGCGGGGTTTTCGGAATAGGCCTTCCGGCACGCGGGACATAACCCATTTTCATCCGTACGTATTCTATGCCAACAAAACCTGCATATTTGGTAGCCGCATGTACACGGAAAGAAGTTTAAATCGTCAACCTCCAACGGTTCCATGCACAATGGACACTCTACAGCGTCCTCTCCACTCTGATTCAATACTGACATAATTTTTGCTATAACCACGTTTGTCCAAGAGACAACAATTAACAATGTATTTCTTCTTACTTTGGACCTGTACAAAGAAAAATATTATCCGCATATTTATAATAGAAACGACATGTTAACTCATAGATCGTACTAAACTAAATGTTGAAATATGGTTTTCATTAAAAATGCACCTTCGATATCTCTCTTCAAATAATGCACATACACAAAGGGTTTTCACGATAGAGATATTAACAAAGCTTCCTACTTTCCTTTATGTTCTACTATCCTTGCACAATCTGAAAAAAAAGAAAAAAATGATGACACGTCAAATTAACCTCGTAGAAAATTGACGAAGACGGATAAGGTCACGAAAAGGCGAGTGCAGTGGAAAGTGTTGGCGTATCTCGGGGGAAAAACGCTCTTTCCTCGTTACCCGTCGTCACCCGTATGGGACTATTTGAATAGTGAAATAACGAACGTTTGATTCCGCTTTTACGATAATTCCTTTTAAATGGAATCAAAATAAAACGCACTGTATATGTGTGCAACTGTGTGTGCAACTGTGTGTGCAACTCCGACTGGGTAGATTTAGAAAAGTAACTTGGAGAGATGAAAATCGAAAAAAAAAAATCCTTTCGATTTTGCAATGGTGTAAGTTAAAATGTAAAAGAGGTGTCGTTCCTGAAGCGCCAGAAACAAAAAATCGAAAGGTTCGTCTCCGTTTGACAGGAGTTGTCACAGACGAGCGTTGAAGAGAACAAAGGACGCTCAACAGATTATGGGAGAGGCTAGAACTGAGTACTTTGACGTAAATACTATCGTCGACGAGCTCGATATCGACGATCGAGATGATCGTTAGTGACGTAGTAGTAGTAGTAGTAGTAGTAGTAGTTGAACTAGTCTAAAAGACTTGTAGAAAGACTTTCCTTCCTTTTTTCTTTCCTTCCTTCCTTCTTGCTTGCTTGCCTGCCTGCCTGCCTGCCTGCCTGCCTGCCTGCCTGCCTGCCCCTGCCTGCCAATCTATCTGTCTTCCTTCCTTCTTTCCTTTCTCTACCATCTCGGTATTTCTATCTTTTTCTTTCTTTATTTTATTGTCTTTTTTTTTTTCTTAGCGTAATAGTTTGGGAAATACAAACCGTAGGAGAGGGCGATAATCGAACGAAACAGCTGTTGGTGGCGTTGAGAAGAAACGACGAAACGTCATTAGCGTGCGAGTGAGAGGTACTACGCCATCATAGTTACGGATTTGCCTGAAAATCCGTCTAAATCTCTAGTGGTGGGGCATGACACGTTAATTTCGCGAAACCTCCTTTGCAAGAATTCTCGCATACGCAAGGACGCGACGTTCTCTAATGTTTCGCGACGTTGACTTTCAGGGAAAAAAGAGACAAGTCCAAAGAAAAGAGAGACCAAACGAACAGAAGAAAGGGGGCGCTGAGGGACGTCGAGGAAGCACCACCAGAGTGGGAGCTGGCAAATGTGGAGCTGGAGGGGGAAATGGACGTAGAAATAGAGAAAAAAAGGACATTCGCTGCTATAGCTAGCTATCTCTTTCTAACTTATGCTAGTGACATGGTCTCTCCCTTTCTATCTCTCTCTATCTCTATATATATGTAATGAGTGGGAGAGAGAAAGAGACTTTTATGTCGATTAAACAGCTTTCCTTGGCACGTTTAACTTGAAAAAAATGTACAAGGATAGGGAGGGCTGACATTCGAGATGTGGGCACCAAATCAAACGATTAGCAAATAAAAGTTCGATTGGATGGAGAAAATATTAATAAGAAAGAAAAATTAGGAAAGAGAGATTGATGCTCCTCTTTTTCTTTCCATCTCTTGCTCTTTTCCTTCGAACAGAGAAAAATAATAACTGCATAGGTCACAAAAGAGGAATCGTTTGATATTGTAGGATAACCACGAAGGAAGAATCGATTTAACCTTAATTTTATTCTTAGAGAGATAATCACTTATTTTTCAACAGAGCTAGCGCGTCGACGATTATATCGCGTCTTTCCACATAACGCTCGCCGATTCTCAATTAATCACGTATACATTCACTCGTTCATAACAATATTTCGCTTTTTTCCTTTCTTCTTGTTTACTTACGTTTTTCAACTATAACACTAAGAAATCTTTCTTTTCTCTACTGGAAAATTTGGTTGTGAGCTTTCCGAAATTTTGTCGAACGCGCACCACGATCGCGCAGGAACGGACATTACATGCTATGACTACTAGAGGGATCCCGACCCAAGTGGACGAACTAACAAGGTGGAAGAGAGAGGGGCACGGAAGAGGAAGGCGATTGTCAGAGCGCATGTCGAAGAGACGCGGATTTACTCTTTATAAATACGTAAAAGGCGTCTTTTTTAGTATTGGTCAATATCGACGCGCCCTTCCATTTGATTATTGACGTTCGTCCACGTAACATCAATCTTATTTTATAATCTATCTCCCTCAATTCTCTACATTTCTTTTCACCGATCATTTTTTATAATATTATATATGATACTTTACATCTTTCTATTACTTTTTATATTTACCGCTTTGCCTAAAAAGTCATTTAGTTACTAGAGTTAACATGTCTACCAACCGCATTAACAAGTATCCCTGCATTCCAATCGAAAATGAATTTTCTTTCATGCGTCAATGTGTTGCAGCATATTTAAAAAGATAGTTTGAGAGAATCGTTGTTGTATCAATATCTTTACTAATTATAATTAGATCAAAATTACATAGTAATAAGCTTTTTTTTTTCCAACAATTTATGTATATAAATATATATGTGCAAATATAAAGTATATAAATGTTCTTGTAATTATTTTATTACTGTTTTCTCTTCCTTTTCCTCGATCCAACCATTTTTGATTCTCTTTTGAATTTATTCTCAGTAGTAACACCTAACAACGGATGTCGCGTTCTCAAGTTTTCAGGAAACGGAACTCCTACTTTATCTAACAATATGGGTTTACCTTTTGGTATACTAGATAATTTTCTTCTAATTGTTATAGAGCCTGCTGGTTTTATATTAACTATAAAATATTTAACGATTAGTCTATAATATATTTAATCGTGTTATTTTCTTATTGCTTAAAATAAAATAAATACCTGCTTTATAGAGCGAATTTGTTTTACTGGTACTAAATACACAAGTAACGCCATGCTGCATGTTTTGTTTAACAGCGCAGTATTTTTTTTCTCCTACTTTAAGTTTGGACTTATCTCCCAATGTTAAGGTTTGCCCGATCAATTCTTCTGTATTTACCTGAAAATATGTTCTAATATAAATGACTTACTCTGTCAAGAATAAAAATGCAACACATGAAATAATATCTTACGGTTTTAGGTATATTTAAGATCCAAATATCTTCGCTGTCAGATATATCGTCAATATTGAAACTAGAATTAGTTTCCATAGTTAAATTTTCTGCTTTTATCAAATCTTCAAGCTGAAAAATATAATAATTTATTGATATTAAACTTACTCATAAAGGGAGATCCAAGTTGACAGGGCACCATATTTTTTATTACGTTAAAATGTAATACTTATATACATTTTGTGGTCTCGATGATGATGATGATGATGATGATGATGATGTGACTGTTAATGCATTTGAACTCGCTTCAGGAATTGCTTCATTTATGTCAACATTCCTGTTGGGAGTCTCTTCGCTCTGTTCCTCTAATTTTTTTTCTTCACCATTTGTAACTTCTGATTTCTTTAAAATACTTCTTCTCTGTGTACCATTAACAGATGTTCTTTTCCTGGTTGAATTACTTTTAGTATTTATTTTAATAGATTTGTTGTTTTTATTTAATTGCAGCTGATCATCATTTCCTACGCTTTCGAATAAAGCCATGGATTTATTCAATTGTGTATTTAATGTTGTAAGAGGATCTTCGTTCTCCCAATCAAACATTTCAACCATTGTAATGATTTATAATCTGTAATAATAATTACGTCGAATAAGTAATTGTATAGAATTTATGATTCAATCAAACGTTGGAATACTTACAATATTCGATTATTATATTCCAAATTAGAGAATAAAATGTTAATTCTTACACTTTGAATATATATACATATTTAGGTTAAGTTCGATGGCATGTACGGATTAGAAATAATCAACCAATATGTTCTATTCGATACATCGATATTACAATCGATACAATTGGTACATTATAATAAATCGATTCGATATATGTTCTCTACAGATATTTATCAGATAAATTTGTATTATTTCTTACCAAATGCAACACAATCAAACATATTTTTTTCTTCCGAATCGAAAATGATTGAAGTAAACAAATCACGATATAGATGGCACTCTTGTCAAATTTGTTAAAGTACATAGATAACAATTGTAATTATCATAATGTATATATATACATAATCTGATAAAACGAAGAAGCGCGTTCAAAGTATATGTACTAAAAAGAAGCAAATTAAAGTTATTTCAAGAGAAGTAATGAAAATCATTTTGAATAAACCGAAGTAGAACAAAAAAAGGAAAAGGACAAAAATTCATCACCAGCATAATGTCCAATTTTGTTTGCAAACCATTTAATTTTTCAAGATCTGAATTATGGTTTGAATGGATATACAATTTGGAGCAGGTAATGAAATATTATAATGTAGAATCAGAAGAAGACAAAATAAATCTCCTTTTTTATAAAATGGGTCCTGTAGCGAAAGAATTAATGATGGAATTGAGACCAAATTTTGAAAAAGAAATGTCTTACGAAGAAATAAAAACTGAATTTACTAAATATTTTAATATTAAGACACCAAACGTCATTGTCGAACGACAAAAGTTCAATAGTAGAGTAAAACAACCTAATGAAACAATAGATGCTTTTACAACTGATCTACTTAAATTAGTGGGTAAATGTGAATATGGACTATTGGAAAATTACGTTTTAAGAGAACGTATTTTACATGGTATTGGATACTGTACAACATCAGCATTGATAGATGCTATGAATGATTTTTCTATAGACGAGATTATATCCAAAGAAAAAAAGGTGAAAACGTAAGGAAAAGATCAAACAATTTGATTGGAAATAACATTGAATGGATGACATGGATAGACAAAATGTCAGTAATTAATACATTTTGTCAAACTGACAGAAATAAAGATGTGACAATTGTTTGTCGATAAAGAAAGGCGCACAGGTTTACCTGTGGTAAAATAAGTTCAATATATTGATTTCATTAAAAAAAAATCTTTTGTCATTTGTATTTTTGTTTAAATCAAAGAGACTTGTTAAATTATTATAAATTATAAAAAATATTATTTTATATAATAACGTTTAACTGTTTATATGTATGTAGAGAGAGTAGTAATTACGAAAAGAACATTGGCTTAATTAAGTTATATATTTACAATTATTTAAATGAATATGTTCTCTCTCTCTCTCTCTCTCTAATTTATGTTTATATTATATAATGTATCATTTATATTTATAATATAACGAAACATTATATGTCTAATATATAGTACAAAAGAGAAGAGTAAAGTACAATTAAGTAATGTATTTTTAGGAAACCATGCTAATGCAATTTTCAACAGCTGTAAATTCTACTGCACAGACAATACAAGTATAAAATGTATTTCTATTAAACATGCAGTATATTTGTATTAAATGCTTTAATCGTTATCTATAAGTTTTATTTAGCTCGTGTTAAATAATTCATTTGTTTCGCTATCAAATATATTATTATGGAAAATCTAATAGCATATTTGATTTAATAATAAACCACGTGGACACACGCTTATAGCAACGATAAAACTAGTGAAAGAGCTTACATAAAATTCCTCTAGAATTACATACATATATAGGTATTCCTACATATATTCCTATATATATATTTTTCATTAATTCCAGCTTATCAATTTTCAGTTTATCTAATAGAACGAAGAAGACATTTTTCATAATAGATTTTTTTTTATAAATGTTAATTAAATGTATTATAAATATAAATATCAATTTGAAAATAAACAATGAAAAATATTACCAATGTTGCAATTCATATTATCTGGCTGAAATATCAGTTAAATATAAACCACGTTTATATATCACAATAAGCAAAAAGTTATAAAAAATTAGCATTTCTTTTATTGTTACCGAATGGTTTGAGACATATGTAATGGTGTAAGCATTAATTCAAAAGTGGCATCTTTCAAATTTGCCCCACGTAAATTGGCTTCTTGCAAATCTGAGCCTGATAAGTCGCAACACTAAAATGTACATTTAATTTAATAATAATAAATCAATTAAATAATAATAAGTATTTTACCTCTAAATTTGCTCCAGCCAATACAGCCGATCTTAGATCACAATTTCGTAAAATAGCATTCTTTAACGTGGCCACTCTCAGATTAACTGCTGGCATATTACTTCCTTCAAAATCGGCATTTCGAAAATCTGCCCCCTCCATATTTGCAGGCAAACCATTAGGATCTTCAAAATTACACGAACGTAAATTTGCAGAAGCCAAGTTGGCACATGGCATTCTTACGCATGAAAGCAGTGCACCTTTAAGGTTGGCACGCGACAAATTAGCTCGTTCAAAACAACATCCAGATAAGTTAGCACCTGACAAATTACAAGAGTCCATAACAGCATACTGAAAGAAATAATTCTATAATAAGCACGAAATATACAACTTCTATTGAAATGACAAACAACTTCTATTGAAACAAACCTTAAAATTAATATTCCTAAGATCCAACTTTGAAAGATCAGCACCTGAGAAATTAACACCCTGAAATCTTAGTTCAGAAGCTGGCGATGTAGACATGATTGCTTTCACAACGTGTTTGCGGTTTAAAGTTATGAGACCATCTCCTGGAGAATTTTTTTCATTGGCCATTTTTGTAAGAACACTTATAGCATTTTCCATTCCATAATAATGAGCCTCTGCTAGCACGCCTAGCAATGAAAAGTATAGCAAATAAAAAACATATGTGTGGTCTATGGTATTTGATTGATTAATAAACAACATACCATCTACGTTAACATTAGAGTTTAATATTATAAGATTATGCCTTAAGAAATTCAATAATGGTTCAAAATACACAGGACTTCTATCAATTAAGAAGGCACCCGTGTGATCTTTCAAACTTGGCTTTAATGTATCATCAGACTTTTGCGTTCTTGTAAACATTCTGCAAAGTCAACATTATACTTACAATCACATACGATTGATCACACGATTGATCACACGATTGATCACACGATTGATCATACGATTGAAATATATGAAATTATTCAAACCTGGCTAGCATACTCATCGGTTCATTTCTTGTTAATGTACTTCTCGTAGTAGTAAAATATTTTCCACCGACATTCAAAGTAATCCATTCTGAATCTTCATTCATTTGATCATCGTTGGTAACTTTATTTTTATAAATGAAATCTTCTCCGCTTGAAACATACAATATATCGTCATCTCTATAAAAATAAATTCAATGTAAATAATCAAGAAAATGAACAATAAAGAGAAGCAACAATTTTACAATATAACTTTTCAAACTATAACTTCATGATTTTACCTGATCAATTTGATATCATCAATTTCTCCACCTTGCGGAGTAAAGATTCTTTTAGCACTTATTTCAAACTTTGTACTAGCAGCGGACAATAATTCTTCTAAAGAATGTGTAATCATAAATACCTAGAACAAGTAAGACATTGATAATAAATCCTAAATTCGTTGATGTTATTTAACTACAATACACGTTTACAAAATGATTTTCAAATATTTCCATGCAAACAACAAATGATTAACATTTAAACTTATCATTTAAATTCGTCAATCAATAAATTAAAATATATTATTTAGCGGAGATTTAGTTAAAAAAAAAAAAAAAAACAAACAAACAAACAAATCATAGTTTGAAACGAAAGCATTTGTATAGAACGTAGAAATATAACCTTGCCGTTGACATCGGTACCGTTGACAAAAAGTATCACTCTCTTCATAGTTTGGCAATGAGGAACTTTCGCGGATTGAATAAAACGCCGGTAATCGCCGGTAATCGCCGGTAACGTTTTATCGACTAGACTAAATTATACCTACATAATCTATGGAAATAGTAACATGTTTTTATCTACGAAAGCACGAAGTAAGGGACACCAAATTCGCGTAATACTTGTTTGACAACCTATCGAGAACGAATATACACATCTAATAAGAGCAATTTTTTCGAAGATAAGTTGAATACAATAATTTTTCAATGACTCTACATATATTGTTCAGGATTGCGTCACCGTTTGCTCAATCGAATAATATTCATTATTTTCCAAAATAATAACTAAAGTTGCCTTATATTCTATATTCGTAAGCATTTATATGCTTACATATTCAAATCTTTTATAACTTTTAACAATACGGAATGAAAATAAAAATAAACAAGAAAACGTACCAGTTGATGACAATCTCTAAATATTTTCTATATAGAAACTCTTATTATTTATTTATTTGAAGAAAGTTAGAATATGCAATACCTTTCAAGCTGTTGATCACATTAAGCTCCAACATGAAGATCTTGTATTTCTTCTTGTTTGTTACTTTTCAAAAGATACATAAACGTTATTTTAATATTATATCAAAATGTTTCTTATTATTTTTAGTGACAAATAAAAAAAAAGACTTGAGATCTGTATATACATTTAATGTGTCATGATAAATTTATATATATATATATATATGTATGTGTATGTGTGTGTGTAATAAAGTATATTATTCTTGTAGAAACTTAATTCCAGTTGGCTGCATAATTTGAACGTTTGAATATCAATAATATTAATTTGACTTAACATAAATTTCTAATATGACGTGTAAATTGGTTGTATTGCATTGAAATTCTAATAAATAGATTAGAAACTACTAACTAAATCACTTTTGTGAAATAAATGGTAGCAAATTATAATTATATATACATTTGACATAATGGGGGAAGCATATAAAGATTTAAAAAAAGAAATAGATTATAATATTTTGTAATTCATATATACATATATGTTTATATATTATATTTATATGCGTATGAAGTAATATATTAGTTTTATTTTCTGACGGTTAAGAACCTCTTGCAAAGAGGAAAAATATTGTTGTTTACTTACTGTTAATTGCAAGTGTATTCATTTAATTGGAAATATCAAGGCCTCGTGCATACTGCAGCAGTGATTAAGGTTTAGAACGATATGCTAAAATAAATTAGCAAAATTGTCCACGTTTGTATTATTCCTTAGCCTAAATGAATCAATGAATGAATGAAAGAAATCGCGTTGCTGCTCCAGTATGTTGTATGCCATGTATAAACTAATACAAAACAAAACTGGGAACCAAAAATAAGATAAATTGTCAATATGTAAATTCCATTTTAATGGGAATTCAAATACGCCTTGATTATGTTCTTATGAATATCTAGATATATCAATATTATTCGATTATTTTTCAATTTGTATATATGTACATGTTAAATGAAATTTATATGAAACATGTAGCATACATGCTAGTAATACAGTAATGAAGAACTTGACAACAAAATTGGATCTTCGAAAGCCTGATCTTTCTTTACGAACAATGGAAACATTTTATAATTACATGCAGATAATTAATGTAAGAAATAAGGGACATTTATATTTTCATTTGCTAAAGTTAAAATAGTGTAGATATATTTAACATATCTTGTGACACTCTTAATTTTAAAAATTGCTTCTATGTGAATGCCAAGTTGGATGTACAATTTATTGACATTAGTCAGCAAAAGAGTTCTTCATAGTTTAAAGCATTCAAATGAGGAATAAACTGTTTTGTTCTTTTTTGTCTTTTTTTTTGGTGTTTTCTTTTTTTTTTTTTTTCATTTAATACATTTAGTGAATTAGTTGCAATTAATATTCATGCTTTTACAAAATGGATTTATCTTTCTTGCACATTTACTTCTACGTAAATAAAATAATATATAAGTATAATAATATAGGTAGAATTTAGCATTTTGCATGTACATTGTGTAGATTGATTTTTAATGGGTATCTATTTTCATCAAAAAGATTCTTCACTTTTTCATTTTGTACAGAATTCCCATTCAGACGAAGATAGAAACTGTACAATTCAAAGGACCAAACGAATGTTTGGCACAGAGCATTTTTTTTTTTTTTCGATGAATCAATATTATGTACATCCATATGCTCATAATAACAAAAGATTAATTTGTCTTCTTTAACTGTGTCTTTACCATATCTTATATTAAAACTGTCCAACTGGCAGGATTACACAGAGATAAGAGAATTTTGCTTTAAAAAAAAAAAAACATACTTTATAAATGTTTATAAATGTTAAAATTTCAGTTTTTCTTATTTTTTGATTTTTTTTTCTTTTTCATCTCTTTGCACTATAATCATTTTTGTAATTTCTCTTCAAGTCAGCAATTCTGACTTTATTTTCTCCTATTTCAGTATCTTAGGCAGAAACAATTGCTACAGTTATTTAATCCTTTGCACTCCTCAATCACCTTCGACATAACAATATTTAATGAACAAAATGCAATATTGCACAAATCCCTTATTTAATATAAAAAAATATAACGTATGAAGAGTATATAACAAAAGAAATAACAACACACGCATTTTGATCTATCAAATAATCGAACAAATCAAAGAATTATTCTTGTTTGTTTCTTCAGTGTCACGTCAGAAGTGATTCAAGAGTTTTAGGGAAAATTAGTATTGTCACACGCCAGCAATATGAGTGCAAAGGGTTATATTTCTTTCTAATAATTTCCGCTTACAAATTAAATTATAAAAGAAATCTGTGAGCAGTAAAATTCACTTATTATATTTATTAGAAGCAAAGTCTGTAATTTATATACCACCATCAAATGTAGTAAACATGTAGTACAGTAGCTCATGTTACTCCGATGATGTATGTCAGTATTGGCAGCTTGACAGACATATATTTGCTTATCACTTATCTTCAGTTAGACAGCTCAATTGTTATTCGGCATATAGGCATAAAAATTTGTTTTTTTCTTTTTTTTTGCTGTTTTTTTTTTTTTTTTGTTCCTTTGGATATATATTTAGAAGATCAAAATCACATTCGCGCGCATGAATTTCGTAATCTCCAGTATTTGAGATTGTATCACGAAGTGCACCAATCTGGTGTATAATTTTGTTATAGACGAAATGTTATAACTCGTTGATATTTAAGCTATGGATTATTGGATTAGATATTTTACAAAGCGTATCCACTAATCGATGAATGGACGATCGTTTACGCTATAAATGAATAATATTACTGACTAACATCAACTTGCTTAATTTTATATTAGATATACATTTACAAGTTCACAATAACCTGTGGTTAATAAGAAACGTAATGAGAGAGAGAGAGAGAGAGAGAGAGAGAGAGAGAATGCTATTTTTATTATAGCTCTTTGCAGTGCTAAATCTCTGCAGGAATGTATGCATCATTTTATATTACACTAGGATGAATTAGATTTGAAAATGCCAAGTTTTGCTGACAAATGTAAAATATAGATCACATTGCTGTCAAATCTTTGAATTTGGAATGGTTCTTTGTTTGCACACACACACCACACATTAGTAAATGCACATCTTATTTGTAAGATTTTGTAATGACTTCTAGCAGAAATGCCTTAGCACAGCAAAGAATTTTGATATTGAATTTGTTTGAGAAATACCTTTCTACTTACACCCCCAATGTAATGGAAACGTCATTAGAAATAGCAGCACTATGAAAAGCAGCGAATTAGAAAGTTATAACAAAGAATGTATTAAAGCTGGTTATCTCTTGCACAATATAAAAAAGAATGCAAGTTTTCAGACCAGCATTTGTCTGTATAATTTTCTTGGCAAATTTGACTATTTTTGTAAAAGGGTCTCTTAAATAAAGCTATATATATATATATATAGAAATATATATATATATATATATATATTTAAATTCGGAGTACTGGACGCATTAAAATGCATTCGATTATTTATAATATCTAAGAGTAACGAGAAAGAGTATAGGATACTAGTGTAATTACGTTGCATGTCTCTAAAGTATATATAACTTATATTTCTCATGATTCTTTTCTTATGGAACACTTTATTGCACAATCTATTGCACAATCAATTGCACAAATTTATCATTACTAGATTAAACATTCAACTTTGTCTTTTGTACCTTGTTTAATTTTATTAAATGAATTCAATGATACTCTTTTGATGCACCGACTCTTACTTTCACATTAAACACAAATAATTACATGTACGTATGATCATTGAAATATGTGCGTGCCTCTCTATGCGGACTCGAATGCGGACTCGAATGCGGACTCGAATGCGGACTCGAATGCAGAAAACTCGCCAACTCGACTTGACTGGATATCGGGACAAACGTTATTTGCGACAGTATTCGGTGGGTTTGATACAAGCGAGGAAGAACTAAGGTTCCAAGTAGTGTATCCAGACATCTTCCTCAAAGGGATATTGTTGCTAATAAATCCCAATATTTCATTTCGATTGTACCTTATTCTTAAAAAAAGAAACAAAACAATAAAATCAAATTAACAAATAATGTTATCTGTTTGTATAACGGTGTTGTAATGATTTAATCGAATATCTAAAGTATGACTCTAAAAATTAATCCAATTTCCCAGCAATTTGTTCAATATAAAGATTCATATATATATATACAGTTCTTATGTGTTTACATAGTATCCACTCACTCTTCCTTCGATTCTACTCTTAATTAAGCAGCTGCTAGCTTAAATTACTAGAAGTAGATATGTGCAGCTGACGTTTGCCACACCTTTGGGGGTGTGATTGGTCCTAGCTGCTGGTAGAAGCAATAGGGCTGACGGGACTTAAAGGGGTACGTGCTGAATCCCTGAGACAACCGGTCAACGTTATGATTAATTTGCGACTTCCTGCATTATCACGATGTTCGCAAAACCAAATACCTTGCCATGTACCAAGAGCTAACTTTCCATTCGTAATTGCAATGCTTAATGAAGATCCCAAAAAGCATGCTTTTACATGAGCCGGCTAAAAAACACAATTTTAATCATAATTATTATAACTATATTATAATATTTGATAATTATTATAAAATTATACAATTTACCATGTCGTCTGGACCTTCGCAATCATGTCTATAGTCTAATCCTTCAGGAATTATTTTGTTAAGCATCATTTCTATATCATCTCTTACATCAGGATCCCAGCTTTCATTTAATGCTAAACTAGCTGATGTATGAAGAACTAGTATAAAAAGTAAACATGATTGTTTTAAAAACCTTCTTATATATACATATGCTAGATTAAAAAATCAAATAACAGTTAGGTAATTAAAGAAATCAATTTTTTTCATATACTTCCTAAAACTTCTTTTCCTGAAAGTATCATATATACATATTGTATATGTGCATGACTTGGCAATAATTGTTGTTAACATTCTCATCTCTATTCTACATAATTTACATTTTATTCAACTAAATTTCAAATATAAACATATTTAAAACAACTTAATAATAACTATTTATTGATTTTTTAATATTATCTCAAAAAATAAAAAGCAAAGCTATGACACAGCATAGAAAACATCTTTTATGCTTTAATATATATATATATATATGAATACCAAATTGATTGTGGTATATGTTATAATAAGTATTTACAGTTAACAATATTTACGAATTTGTGTCTACATTTTATATATATATATATATATAAATTATACACATACACACACAATTATAGTTCATATACATATATATCTATAATGTAATATAGATGTAATATACGTTATTATATAGATTATAGAATAGTAGAAAGGTCGTTTGGGGAAAGAAAATGACTTACTCTGTATATGGCAAAGACCAACAGAGAACTGATATAGTTCTGGAATTTGTTTTAAAATTTCTTCGGTAACAAGATGTATGCCACGATGTTGTGGTCTTAGCTTAATATTAGTTTGATACCAGGCCGAACCAATTTGAATACCTCTATTTGATGAGGCCATGATATGGTAATTTTGATGGAAGGATCGCACGTTTAAATGGAACAGTTAAAAACTTAATCTGAGATGTTGTGTAAACTGCAGTCAGTCTGTTCGAAGCCGAAAGTCACGATTGTACAGTCAACTCCATTTGAGAAACACTACATACGTCTCGCATCGAAAATTGTTTGACTATTCACAAATGCGGAAGAACCACATCCCACGAAACGTAGAAACGTTTTTGATTGTCTAACTTTAGGTCTGTCTAACACGTTTCTCTTCGCAAAAACGTGATATATAACGATTGCCTTGACGAATATTTCAAGATATATCCGTGTTGCGTTCACAGACTTGTATCACAGTTTAGCAGTCGGTCGACTCTATGTCTATATCCATATCTATATCCTTTGATAGCCGTGCCGCCGGAAACCGCCATTATTGACGCGGCGAACAACCCCAACTCGGTTACCTTTAGATATACCACATGGATATGTTTAAAGAATACAGCTGTAGTACATAGAAGCTCACAAGTCTACTTTTCGTGTAACCAACATCTTCTTAGTTATCACCGGGATCACCAGCAGGCGATAGTTGCAACTTCAAGCGAATACAGTATATAATATAATCAAGTTATATTGTAATAAATGTGTTATGCTCATGCGCAACGTTTGGAAAGTCATATAAACAATGTTTAATAAAAAAAATTTTCATAGAAGACAACAACGTGTCAGTCTGAAGGTAAATTTCGAGGGAGACGGTGTATCTACGATGCTTTTAAACAACAATGCACATTTACTTCGAATAATTAATAATTATTTCAATATTCTAAAACACTCTACTAACATTATAGAAAAATTGTACCCTTGAAGTCATCACTGCGCAGGACCGTTAAAACAAATATAATTCAGCTTAAAAAAATTAAAAATATTAATAGAGTAAAGTATTATGTTCGATGTACCGTAATTAATTATTAATTAAATGAAAAGAATGTATATTGTTATCTGAAAACACTCAGTATATGATCGGAGTACCGTATTCCTCGAAGTCTACTGTTAGACTGATACATTCATTGTCCTCTATGAAGGTTGTTGGGGCCTAAATTCCTCAGTTAAGAGGAATAAAACATGTTCTCAATGGGGGATTATTGCATCAATGAGAACGTTTCAATATAATGTTCCTCCGGCAATGTCGTAACTGGTCTTTAAACTAAAAACATGTGCAGGCCTTAATGCTGTTGAGTCATTTGGGTCTGACGAGATAGGACATAGCGGCCGTAAATTTGAAAATAGCTTCGATTTTGATCGCGAATGTGGTCCACTCTTCGTATGCGAAAAGAAGTTAATTCCTAGTTTCTAATTCCTAATTCCTAAATTCCTTAGTTAAGAGTCCTCTGACAATTATGTATGTGCTCTCGCACGCCTCACGTCGCGATCACAACTGAAAAGGTTGTTCGCTTTGTTGTTCCTTGTGGCTGCTTCTATGGTCCTTAGGTGCTGAAGATGTGTCGTCGTCGTCGTCGTCGTCGTCGTCGTCGTCGTCGGCGTCCGGTGATGAAATAGGAAGAATGGTCCTTTCAACTGGCCCAGCAGGGTGCATATAATGGGGATGCGAGAGGTGGTGGTAACTACATAGGGTTGCTCATATATGGGGTAGCTATCGTTGCGCTTCGATCTAAAATCTTAATCGATAGAATCGGACGCGCGTATTTTGAATACAGTTAGTTACCGTACGATCATTTCGGATCGTACAAAGGTTTTTATATTCAATGTTGTTTTATCTATTACGAATATATTATTCCTATCATGTAAACAACAACATTTAACGAAGGAATTTAAACAGAGAGCAATGAGCCAGTTTAACGGCGGATTTAGAAGAGGATGGTACTTCGATCATATAATTCGAGCTTTTAGACAACAATAAACATTCCCATCGATTAATTAACAATTATTTTTATATTCTAATACACTTTTTTTATATTACAGCAAAATATAACACTCGAAGTTATCACTGAACAGGTGTGATAAAAAAAATACATTAGAATACAAATATAGAACGTTATAATCTTAACTTCTCTTTATTAACATAAAATAATAATATATATATATATATATGTATATATATATATATCGGTTAAAATAAATATTATGGCACGCGATTATGTACTTGTAAGAAAAATACAAAAGAAATATAGGTAGAAGCATAAATCATGAAATACTTACCAATAATAATATATAGCAAATTGAGATAATTGCATTATTGTAAAATATCATCTAATTGTATAGTGTTATGTTAAAAAAATATAGAACATTTTTAATTATTCATAATTCGTCTCGATTTTTCAAAATATTGCTTCCTTGATTGTCAAAAACGATCTTTGAATTTTCTGTGTCACTTATATATCCCAGATCACCCGTATAATGAGTAGGATGTATCAAAAGAGGATTTGTAGATAGCACTCTCAAATTACGTACTGGATAATGCTTTTTCCAATCCTCTCTTTATATTGAAAATAAAAACATGAAAACATCAAAACATGATGTTTTTTCTATTTGAAATAAACATTGGGCTTACCTTGGATGAGCATTTGATAGAATAGGAATATATTCATCAACAGGTATCATATTTTGAAGTGGTTCAGCTGCAACAAGTTTTCTGGCACCAGTAGCTGATAAAATATAACCGAGAGTCCAGTAACTATATGCTGCATTAACCAAATACTTAGAACCTTCTACCCACGATTCATCTTCTTCTATTAATCTTTTTCTTCCTATGTATCTATAAAGTACCAGTAATATTATAGCAGTTATTTTCTAAAAGTTACATAATAAACATTTTCTATACAAGCTCTTACATTAAATCCCATGGAATCTGTAATGTACTCAATTCGGATAGAAGAAAATACAATTTCTGTCGAAAGAATGGCTCAAAACTAATGTCATCTTCCAGAATCATAACTCGTTCGTATTTATTTTTTAATACCTGATTATTTGATTATTATCAGTAATAAGTGTCTTCATTCTATTATTAGCCTATTATAAAATTCTGTTACATTACCTGATTCCAGATATAATAATGGCTTAAAAAGCAACCAATTTCTCCAGTTGTCATAGGTCTATGAACAATTAAAAATACATCTACATGTATGTAGAATATTTTCTCTTTAAACGTATTTATAATGTTTTACTTTTGAAAAATACCTTTTATGGTAAGGATCTTCATATTCTGCCATTAATTTTATACCCAAATTATCTAGATCTTCTTCGCTTAACTGGCTACAATATTAGGAAATAGATATTCGGAAGTATTCAAAGTAAATATAAAAAGTACACCGTATTATATGAAATTTACCTGCCATCCACTGCATTAAAAGTTTCTACTTGGGCGCCGAGTTCTTCAAAAAGACGATACATTCTAGTACGTCTCTCTGATCTTCTTAAAAGATTAATCATATAAATATTGTCCAACCCAAGAGTGTCTTTTTTTGGAAAAGATATGAATTTTTTCATACTATTCGATATTGATAAATGATCTTCTGCTAAAATCATTTGAATAAAAAAAGAAATGTAACATATATAAGGATAATAAAGATAATATAAAAAACATCAATATTGTGCATACACAACATTTGTAATTTAATATTTGTTAGCCTCTGAAGATCTTCTTTAATTGTTTCATCTACTCCCAATGGTACCATGATGTATCCATATAATTGATCGTTACAGATATACAATGGGACACCTGCATATTTATGTAATTCTTGTGTGTATTATTTGAATAATATATGTAAAATAGAAATGCGAGCTCAATGATTTACCTGATTCATTAGCACCAACAGCAAAAGTTATAACATCGTCTAAAGGACCATCATACTTTGGTAAATTTGTAAAATTATAAGACAACAAATCTGATTGTACCATATTTAAATTAATAAGAACAGCACTATGAACCATGGGAACATTAAAACATCCTACATCTTCGCGATATAAAATAAGCTGGTACTTTTCTGTTCGAAGATAGTAATAATTATCGGTCATCCCAGCCCAAAAATTACTGTATAATCCATCTGATTTTAACAAAGGAGCAACCACAACTTGCTCTTTTGATATTAAATTTGTCAGAGTATTTGGATCCATCAAAAAAGTATCAGCATCGATCATCTACAAATTTCTAAATTATTATATGTTGAATTGGATTAGCAATTATGAACAATGATAAGTACCCAAATAAAGTCAGCCCATATTTTTCTGGCATACTCCAATGCTTCTTGACGTAAATTAATGACATGTGTGAATCGAAGAGGCGACCAATCTGTACTACTTTTTTCATCTTCAAATCCATTTGAATTGTCATCTATAATCGTATTGATAGTATGATATTTTTCTGATTCTTCTGTTAACCATGCTCTCAATATCTCACTCGTATTATCAATATTATTATCGCTACGAATCCTACAAAAGATCAAAGAAAATGATTAGTACATAAATGGTATACAACTCGACTATAGTTACGTCTCCCCGACATAAACATAATTATGCACCGAAAAGTTAGGTTAAAATGATTATATCTTTGAAAAGAGAAGTTATTTTTATCTTACCATAACGTTATCCGATTTTTAGGATAGTTTTGTTGTTCTAACAAACTTAGAAAGTATGGTAATGTATGGGCTTTATTTCTAATTAAAATTGCTATCAGTACTGTCGGCTTTTTCAAACGTTCGGTACATTGAATGAACCATGTGCAATCAGATATCAACAAAAAACAAATGAAACATCGAAATATTATTTTATTGAACATAGTTATTAGTATAATTGTTGATGATAAATCACATGGAAGAACATCCACAAATTATTGATTATAATAGCGGATGAATGAACAAATATATTAGTAGCGAACGTGTTAAAGAACTACTTTTATTTTCTTTCCTCCTCTATAACTCTCTCTCCTCCTACGCCCCTTTAGCTTACCAGCTATGATCAGATAAAATACAATATTTTGAAATAGTCTTATTATTTGCATCAAATAAAACATTCATATAAAATATCATTTTATATTTTTTTAATACAAACTTTCTTTACAAAATGTTGACACATATTTTTTGTACTTTTTTTACAGAAAAATTCTACAAATATATAAAATATATTCACTGTACAAATCCATTCATTTTTGTCCTGATTCCAATTTCAATTGTATATTCTACGATTGTAATTCTTCATTGGAATTACATTTCGTAGAACTTTTAGTTTCAGATTTGGCTTTTTTCTTACTTGCATAGCTTAAACTAGTTTTATCAAAATCCAAAGGCATGATACCCAAATCACCGGTGTATCTATTTTTGGCTACCTATAGTATCAAATGAAAAAAAAAAAAAAAAAAAAAAAAAAGGATTATATACTTGTTGAAGAAATTTTCTTGCATCAAATTAAAATTTCTATATATATATATATATATTCTTACTTGTAAATATTTTTTCCCTC